TTTTATCTTTTTATATTAATACTCCTCTAATAGTAAAGTTTAATAAATTAATTTTAATTTCCAATAGTTTATTAAGATTATATATAATAAGTATAGGCTCGCTAAAGAGAGTGTTTTTAAGTTATTTAAACGCTTCCTTTATTTCTAGCTTATATATAAGTTTCTTATCTTTTAGTTTTTTCTTACCCTTTTTATTTTCTTTAAGTTAAGTAGCATTAATAAATAACTTAGCAATCTTACTATAGTTTCTAATAAACCTTTAATAATAATTCACTAAGCCTAAGAAGCTTTATATTCCTTTCCTTATTTCTAAGAATTCCTAGTCTTAAATTACTTTAAGCTTATTAAGGTTTATTTAAACTTATCCTAGTAAAATTAAGTATCCTAGGAACTTAACTTCTTAAACATAGAAATAACATTTTTCCAATTTTACTAAAAAATTAATATCTTATAATATTTACAATACCTAATAAATATATTTCTTATATTCTTTAAGGGTTTTCAAAAAAATAAAAATATTATTAAAGTATATAATTATAAAGTTATTAATATATATTTATAATATATAATTAATTATTTATTAGAATATTACAGGTGTATTAATAAGCCTAAATAACATAACCAAGCATTTAAATAATCTATAGTGTATTTTAAATACTATTTTCTATTTATCCCCTTCGCGGATGTAAATTAAATTATACACTCCCTTAAGGTTTAAAGCAGTAAACTAATTTACACTAGTTAAGCAGTCTTAAATTTCTATAATAAGCAGTAATAGGGTTTAATCCTTAATTATAATCTTATTTAACTATCTATAGTTAATAACTAGTCTAAGTTTCCTATTTTTCTTTAATATAAATATAATAGGGTATTTAGCTAATAATATAAATGGCCTAATATATTCTTTTTCTAGCTATTCTTATATTCATTCTTAAAGTGTCTTAAGTTTTACTTTACTAAGGTTATAAATTAAAAAGAACTTTATTATTTTTCTATTTATAAAATTTATATAATAATCCTATTATAAATAAAGCAGTTATACTATTTCTAATATTAAATTAAATAATTTTTTATATTTCCTTTAATATTATTAAGGTGCTTTTAAGAGAGTTTCTTTTAATTCTTTAAGTTTATCTTTTTCTTTTACTTTTAGCAAGGCTTTATCTAAAGCTTATAATTTTATTCTTATCCATTTAATAATTTAATTAATATATACTTATTCTCCCTTAACTTATCTATAGTTATATTAAGGTAGTACTAGTAATTTTTCTATATTAAATTTAACCTTTCTTCTAAGTTTTATTTTTATTTTTTCTAATTTTTCTTTATTTTATTACATATAAGATTTTATTTTTAAGTCTATAGGCGCGTCTTCGCCTTCCTTACCCTCTCTATAGCTTAATTATAACTCTAGGGTAATATTTATTTCCTAAAGTATTTCTTTAATTCTCTAATTAATTAATAAGTTACCTTATTTTAACTATAGGTATTTAAGTAAAACATCGCAGTTACCTAAAGGCATAATATTAAACTTAATAGTTTTAGTATAACCAATAATTATAATTAAGGGATAATTAATTTTATAATTAATTATTATCTTAGCATTAAGTATAGTAACACTAAATATATATATAAGTTATTTTTTCTTAGCATATAGTAATTTAAGTAAATTTACTATTTTAAAAGTAATAAAGTTATAATCCACACTACTATCTATATATATTATAACTAAGGATTAATTAATATATCCCTTAATTTATAGCTTTTTATTATTTTATTTAATTAAATTAATATAAATGCTATTTAAATAAGTTTAATCCTAGGTAACATTTTAGTATTTTATGCACTATTAGCATTTTAATTCCTTATTTCAATCCTTAATTAAACAGTAATATCTCTTAATTAAGGCTTTATTACCTTATCTTAGGTTTAAATAATTTTTAAAATTATAGCTTATTTATATTAGTTTTTAAGTAATTTAATAAAATTAGCTTTTCTTTTCTTTATATATACTATAGTATATAATTATATAGTCTAAGAAATAGTTTATTATATATTCTTTATACTTAACTTATTTTAGTTAATATTTATACTAGTCTTTTAGTTTATTAAAGATATATATTTAGCAGTATATATTATTATACTATTTCTAATTATATATTTCACAGTTTTCTTCTAGGGCATTAAGGAGGCTTTAAATAAAAACTTAATTATATATATCCTTAAGGTTAATTTTAGTAAGCTTAATTTATTCCTAAGCCTCTTTTAAAGTTATCCTATAAAGTAGGTTTTTATTAAGGTATTATTATCTTTCCTCTTATCTTTTTTATTTTTCTACTTATTTTCCTAGAATATATATATAGTTATATTTAAGGTTATAGGATCCGCAGATGCAGCATCTATCGCAGTTATAATCCAAATTTATAGATTTATAGATTTTACATTTATATATATTTTTTCCTTATTCTTTAATATTATAAATATATAATATATTTATACTATTATAGTATAAGCTTTTTTAATATCCTAGGCATTTATGGTTTTTATTTCTAAACTTATATAAAGGGCATTTATATTTTCCTATATATTTTAAGTATATTATATTATATTAGGGTTCTAGTGCGCTGCATTAATAATATTCATTGCCATTAAGATTATTACTATTATATATATCTTTAAAAATAACTAAGATTTTATTCTTAGAGTCCTTTAATTTATTATTCTTATATATATATATAATATTTTATAAGCTATAAAATAAGTATTTATAAAGTATATAAATAAAATAAAGTTCTATAAAGCTGCAGTTATTACATTAATATATATCCCTTCTAATGCTATTCCTAGTTATAAAAGGCTTATAATTTAATTTATTAATATTATAATCTTTATAACTATTACAATTAAAATCCCTTAGGTAAGGCTACTTATAAAAATTAAGGGTGTTAATTTATATAGTTTTATAAGACTTCCTAACTTATAGTTTCTTTAAATAGTATCCAGATCCTTCCTTACTGCTTTTATATATAAAATATAAATCATTATAGCAAGCTATCTAGCTAAGGTAATCATAAAGTACTTCTATAATAATATCTATTTAAACCTTATCTTTAATAATCTTAAATTTCTTTATATTTTTCTTAGTGTAATAATAGGCTTTATTATAGCCTTTCTTACTACAGAATCCATAAGTTATCTTAAAACAGCAGTTTACTTCCTTATAGCCTTTCTTACCACAGGTATTATATATTCCAGTAAACTTTTTCCTATTAATATTATTAATATTTATCCTTCTTAGTTAAGTTCTATTATCCTTTATAATATAGTTATCTTATTTCTTTCCTTAATTAACTTAAGGATAGTATTTAACTGGGTTTTTAGTCTTTTCTACCTTTCTTTCTTATTTCCTTTCCTACTGTTAATTATTAATTTTAATTACTTCCTAAGTAAGGTTAATAAAACTAATAGCTTATTAGTTAGTCTTATAAATTTTATTCTTAACTTCTAGCTTTAAACTATAGTAATATATTTCCTTCTTTAATTCTTTAGTCCAATTAACTTTAGTAAGTAATTAAATAAATATTAAAGTGTGTTTATAGCATAGGCCCTTTTATCTAAGGTCCCTAAGCTTTTTTTTAGCTTTTTAAGCTTTATTAATAATTCTAAAGGATTTTTTTAATTAATTTTTAAATTCTTTATAGCTTTTAAATATATCCTTAATAAGTTATATTTACTAATTAAGAGATTTTTATCTATCCTTAAGGATTAAGCTAAACTAATTAGCAGTAGCACCTTCTATTTAAGTTCCTATAAAATAAATATAAGTTTTATATTTATTTACTAAAAAGGTATTTAAGAAATAATACTTAAAGTAAATTTATAAGTTATATTAGAATTTATAAAGTTTAGTAGTATCTCTATTAAATTTAATTAATTATTTAAGTTTTAGAGTTTTTCTTAGTTTTAGTTTAGTATTATCTACTAGAGCAGGTACCATTAGTGCCACAGCAGGGGCTATAGTAGGTGCTACAGCTAGAGCTATAGTGGGCGTAACCGCTGGTGGGTTATATAGTTACTGCTATAGGTTATTAATGGTTTAGTTTTATTAAGTAATAGTAGCTTAGTGTACTCCCTGTTATTACTGCAGGTTACCTAGCTCCCTATTTTAAGCGGTAAGAGTGCACTAGAGTTATTATATTAATTCTTCTATAGCTATAAGTTATATAGTAGCTTCTGCGCTATTAGCGGGTAATTAAAGTTCTTTAAGGTTTAAATCTTACGTTTTATAGTTTATTTACTTAACTGGGTCTTAGAAATTTTCTTAACTTATTTTTATTATTACCCATAGATCTAGTAACTATTTAAATAAGAGTTATTAATATATAATAAACTATACACTAAATAATTAGTAATATAAGGGCTTCCTAAGGGATAAACCTAGAGTTTAGTTTTAGGTTTATATTAGCGGAGCGGTTAAGAGATCTTTAGGTAATATAAATAATAATTATAAATATTATTAAATAGTAAGCAGTGCAGAGTGTATTATAATCTTAATTCTGTGTTAATAACTAGCTATTTAAGTTATTTAAATAAGCGTAGAGAAGTAAACTTATATATTTAGTTAGTTTAAATAGATTAAGGGAATGTTCCTTAATTTAGTTAAGGATTATTATTTGTTTTATTAATCTTATAGTGGATTAAGAAGTTAATTCTTAATCTATCTTTAATTAGTTGCCCGGTCCTAAGTTAATCCGGTTCCGTCTACCCTATAGGCCCATTGTCGCGACCATAAGTGTTGGGTTATGACAGTTAGGCCCCTAGGGTATAATATTATTTTCTTTTCTAATACTCTTATATAATTAGTTATATATTCATTAAGATTATCCAGACTAAACTTTCCAAATTAATAAAATTAGCTAAAATATCTATCTCTATATATTAATTTAACTTAGAAGGCTATAAAGGTATTTGCTAATAAAGTGTAATATAGTTAATAAAGGCTAATCAATTCTCGATCCATTAGACCATTTTGAGGTTGCTCTTAGTTTTTTTCCATATAGATAAAAAGCAAAAGGGACAGGAATTAAGATTGCGGCAAACCCTCCCGTGATACTTGATCCTGGGCCAACTCCTATATTATGATAGAGGGGCCCCACAGCGAGTGGCAAGGCCCCAGCAAAACACGACCGCAGAAACGTATTCGCGCCGATTGCTGAAGCTGCATATGCCTGAAATGTATCGACGAGATAGTTGAGTGCCGCTTGAAAGATAGTAAAAAATCCCGTACCCAGCATCACCAAGCCAATACATGGAGCAACCCAAGTGGTACCAGGTTTAGCTGTCCAGCCTGTTAGGAACTGACTTGCACAAAAAACAAATGAACCCAGGATCATAGGAGGCAGACGCATCTCAGGAACAGCTTTGTTCCCTGCCGCATAATAAGCCTTGTTATAGAGGAATTGGTTGTAGATGTTTATACCGCAACCTATAGCGGCGCCCAAAACAATCGATAGGAATGGTAAAGCAGCTGGAATTGGATCCCACCCACGCACCTCCCCGAAGATAATGGGGATCGCACCTAGTTGCATATATAGGATGCCGTACACGAAACTAGCATATAATGTTACAAGGAAACAGATTGGCGTAGAGAGGATCCAAATGGGGCGAACGAGAAATTTTCGCGCCAGTTGACGAAGATCAATCTGCCACTCTTCGAATTGTGCATGGAGTGCCCAATTGCCAGTCTCGTGCCGTAATGTCTGAGCTTTATAGACAAGAAGCAAGGGTGGGTAGCTTTCGTCGATAAACAGGGTGGCTATCAAGAGAATGAATGATTGAAGGATGCCGGTGAAATACTCGGTCCATCGCCAGCCTAGAGAAGGCTGTTGTGCAAGTACTGTAGAGACAACCGGTCCTGGGAGAGTTAACAGGATGTTCATGCCACCAAGGGGCACCATCTTACCGAGAGCAGGACCGCAAACAATAGCCATCGAATATCCAGCTAGCGCAACACCTCTCCAAGTTGGCGAGAATAAGTCGCCGAGAACACCGCCAGTGTTGGTCATTGGTGCCGAAGCACAAAAGCCCCCCCAAAATCGAGTCAACATAATCGTCTGTATATCTTTTGCCGTAGCTGTAGCAAAAGTGAAGCAAATGGCAACAAACATTGGCGTCAGAACTGGCACCCTGCGGCCATATACCTCGCTTAACGGGGCCCAGAGTAAAGGTCCGATTCCAAAGCCAACGAGATACAGTGTTGTGCCTAGAGTGGCCACTTGTGTAGATATGTGAAATTCTTTGGCAATCTGGTCCGTACCTACTGAGTACGAGGAGGAAGCCCACGTTGCTGACATGGTAATCAAGCCATATAAGAATGTAGTAAGGATTTTCTTATGTGTGGGCCAGTTTAGTGGTCGGTAGGGATCCTCAATTCCGTCGAAGTCAACAAGGCATTTCTCCGCTGTAGGCATGTCGGCCAACGGATGGGAAAATTCTGCGACCGGCCGTGATCGAATGCGCGAGATGATAGTCTCTACTCGTGATGGTGCATGAGTAAGACTCATTGTCGTACTCAACTCGCCCTGGCATCTGCTTTGACATCTTGTTCTCGTACGAGTCGCAATCTCATATATGCTCGGTCGATGGCCATCGAGAAAATCTTCTTCAAAATATTCGCCTTCAGACGATGCTAACTGCGATGGGCGCGCTCCATCTTCAAGTGTTAGGCTGGCGTTGGATGTCGTTGAATGGAGAGATAACTGGTTCGCGAAATCATTCAGAGCAGCCATGGCTTTTTTGAGATGTAAAATAGACAAAGTAAGAATTGATTATACCTTATGGCTATCTGTACCACCATCTTGAAGACTTAGGTGCTATATACATATATATATATATATTTCACAATGACTTTATCCTGCAGGAACACTGCTATTATTGTCAAAGTGCGCTTTGTTATTGTACCACCGGGCTTTTGCTCTTGGGTAATTAATCATCCAGTAGTAGTGGTCGGATGTCGGTCTCCAGCCATCCATAACAGGCAATTCCGATCACGTGATGAATTTAACACCGATATATTCTCTACGATTTTTAGGCGTATCCGATTATTCGGCATCTTTATTCCGCGGAGGTAGTCAAGCATGCAGAGAAGCTTAGGTGCAGTTGTTGTGGCTTGCTGGAAAATTTCTACCTCGTGTTCATTATCACCGAGCTATCTCTTAGCAGGTTTTTAAATTTCATTACAAAGCGCATCGGACCGCAAGATCCGCGGGCTATTGGTAGGAGATGAGTTAATAGTATCTGAAATGTTGGATTAGGTACATGTATAAGATAGTATCGTGCCACCATAATATCTGCATGTAGACTTTCCGCTTGTGTACAGTAACTGCCTCAACATTTTCTAGTGATGATGGCCCAGGTATAATAATATATCTCTACAATAACTCAGACAAAGTACTCCTCCATCATGAACACATACAAAAAAGAATCCCAGCATCTGGCCGCAGCTGCCAAGAAACTTGTCTTATTCTCATTGAATAGCTTGTCTCGCGGCCACACACAGAGTTAATACTACTCCCTTCGCTTTCACGATGACCAATGTTGAGCGCTATTCAGTGCGTGAAAACCGACAAGCTCGCTCGCCAAGACCTAGTTTAGGGCAGCCGTTCTACATTCCTCCTATAGCAACGGCGACAGTGAGGGTTTCGATAGAATAAGTCCAATTCTTGTCCAGGGAGGTCACAAAGCCTTCTGCCTTCAGCCTAGAGAAATCATGGGCTCTGCTCTGCTGGTCCAACGTCGAATATTACGCACGCAGCCATCGCTATGGGCCATGCCTCTAGCACCGTTGTAACGAAGCGCTCGGCGCTCAAGTACGCTAACAAGATCCCTGCCATAATCACTGCTGCACCGATTATACCAAATGGTGCTGCCAACATCGCTGCTCTAGCACTTGTGGGTTTTGCCCGTCGCCTTGAAAATATTTTTAAACTCCAAAAATGATGTTGTCATTTGCCTGGATGAGAGATGACCAGAGACACATGTATTCGAACGTGCAAGGTGCTGAGACATGACAATGTGTTGCGAAGGGGCAAATAGAAGATCCATTCCACTCGACAGCAAATGGAAGGTTTATCGACCGCGCCACCATTGCGGTAATACCAAGTGCCTCACATTTTTTTCTCCGAGAATCTTCTTGGTGTAGCCATCGCCGTTCAGCCGTTCTTATAATACAGGGCGCAGGGTTACGTTAAGCTAGCCTAATCTATTGCTTCATCGGGGTTCCCGTAAGAGCTCGCGCTAAACCTATAACATAGGATAGTTTGACGTAGTATCGCAATAGACATTCTGTTCGAAATGTGTACAGATCTTGAAGAGTTACATGTCGTGAACAATGCTTTCATCTAAACCCTGTGACGTAAGTTCTACCACAGTGGCAGTTACGAGGGCTGGGTCGCTGATAGCTAAATATAGAGAGAGGTTCTACCGCTGAAGTCTCTGCAATCCCGACAATGATGGAGACCGCAACATTCAGGTCTATATGGACCCTAGTTATGCTGTTTTCCCTTGGCGCATTTAACGACGGAAAACAAGGTGACAGAGCAGTCATGCCAGCTTCATGCTACCAACCATTGAAATCTCATTCGCACCAAGTCCCGCCCAAGTACAGACGCAGGCGGACAGCGCTACATGTAGTTAACCAAATCAGGATTGGATGTTTCTCGGACAAACCGCGAGCCTGTCATACGTCATATGTCTGAATTGGTACCAATGTAATTTGCCAAAGATAGCGAGATAACTGCCCCAGAAAAAAAGAACCTAAAAAATAGCTCTAATGGCTGGCTCGGATCTGTACCGCAAAGCATCCAAATAGCTCAGGGTCTGTAGCGTAGCGTCTGTCGAGCACCATCTACATCCCTAATAAATATTAATGCAGTTCGTCATATGGCGGGGCTCAGGTTGTTGTTATGTTATGATCACTTCTGCACTCAAGAGTAATGGAACGAAGAGTTGATATGGGTGACAGCGATCGCTGTGGCCGACCTTCGAGGGCGACAAAACGAAAAAAGCGCCCCCCCTTGTCATGCACCGAGTGTCGCAGGAGAAAGAGAAAGGTGAGGTTCTCGAGGCCCTTCAAAAGCAATCGCAACTTAGCTTACGCTTGGATCTATGTTGCAGTGCGATGGCAAGCTCCCATGCTGCGACTGCAAGCTGCGCGACAAGCCCCAAGGCTGTCGATATGCAGACGGTGCCATGCCACGGAACCGAGAAGCAGTGTCTCCTTACGGTAGCGCGACGACCATGTTCGCCCACAGCCCGCAGTCGGCTACGGGCACCATACCTTTGGAATCGGAAAGCAGCAAGGGACATCAAATAAGCAAGCTTGGGTACGCCCGAACCGGCTCTTCAACGGCAGATTTTCTGGATAGAATCGATGTCGATGATGATGAGGTCATGGGCGAGCTCGAGATGTGTCCCACTGCGAGCCATGGAGATCTCTGGGGGCGTTATAAATCCCTGGTCGAGCAGCTACCAACACGTGAATGTATCGTGAGACTAACTGATTTCTACTTTCAAAAAATCAATTGGCAATACTACGTCTTGGATGAAAGTTCATTCAGGCAGCAGCTCCATGCTTGGTACCGGCTTGACTTGCAGTCATCCGCCGCAGAAAAGTTTGAAGCTCTTCCCGCGGACGTGAAGGCTTTTCCAGCTCTATTATTAGAGGTCGCCGCCACTTCTTTGCTATTAATCACACCAGATAGGGCGCTGGAGCTGGATGGTCTCAAGCATATTGGCAGCACGTCATTCGAAACCATGGCTGTGAAATACAGCGAGACTGGCATGGCCATGCTGAACCTTCTTGGAAAAACCCAGGTCTCTTTAACAACGGTTTTTGCGGACTTTCTCCGCGTTGCTTTTCTCAAGTACTTTGGACAAGTGATAGAAGCAGTGAGTAGTTTTAGGCAGGAAACCGATGTGCCAGGTTTCATGTTAGCTTACACGCCTGTAGTGGCACGCCCTGGGACAAGGCGTCAAAGATGCACAGGAGATCGGGTTGCATCGAGCCAGTCGAGATCCAAAGCCTCGCACGGACGATATTGCGACAGTCTTCGAGAACCAAAGGATTATTCAGGATCGTCGGAGACTCTGGATGCTTCTATCTGGCTGGGATATTCACACGGCTATGGTTCTTGGACGGCCTGCGGCTATTGACGACAAGTCAGAGCCGATGCTTCCAGTCGATGTACCTATCACCGCAAACCGGCCGGTGGCTCCGGTCCTGCCCAGAGGCGCGGATGATGTCCCAACACCTCTCACGCGTGCCATCTGGGCGTACCGAATTATGAAGAATCTTCGGCAGATTCAGGCTTTAGAAAAGGAAGGGTCCTGTCCCGAACTTTTCTCACAGGTTGACAATCTTGACCAAGAGCTGCGGCAGCTTGACCAAAGCATCCCACCCTATTTCCGTCGCCGCAATCCTGACAAGAGTTTTGATTCAATTCCCGAGTGCTACTGGTTACCAAGTGCAAGGGCCACTCTGCCACAGCTCTTATCCTTCAACCTGATGGCCTTACACCGTCCATATATTTTCACACGCTTTGAAAGCCGGTCACGCGCCCTGGAGGCTTGTCTCGACATGCTCCAAGCACAAAGAGAACATTTTGACTCAATCGATGAAAACCAGTATAAAACGTTAGTGTACCTCGGAAGATTTTGACCCGCGCCTACTGACGTTAACCTACAGCTTCTTCTTGTTTTTCGGCACCTTTGATGCTATTGTGCTAATTGCTTCGATATACATCTTCTTTCCAGCAGATCATTGGGACAAGCTCGCTCAGGCGATGCAGCACTTTCAGTGGTCGACCGAGCGGTTTGAGACAATGTCCGGTCACAATTCCCTTGCCAAAGCAGCGGCTGTCACACTACGTACGTTTTCCGCACGACTCAAGCAGACTCTTCAATGGGAGGCGTGCTATCCTTCGGTCGATGATCTACCTAGCTCGACTATTACTCCAGGCTCGCACATGCAGGCTTGGAGCTTTCAATCTGAGCTCGATAGGCAATCTGAGCTCGATAGCTTGGTATTTTACTCCGACGCTATATCAAGGTGCTCAGATACAGGGGTGTCGCCTTCCGGACCGAAAATGCAGCTAAGATTCCCGAACGAGGGACCACCAGCTGCACTATTTGATTTATCTGTTATTGAGCCTACCTATGCAACAAATGATCTTGTATACAACGACTTGATCGGCAGTTTGGAATTGCAAACTCCTTTTAGTCCTAGTTCTAACCCTTGCTTACCTCGGTTCAATGGTAACTTTAGCAACAATAGTATATGGAGTATACTAAATAATAGCTTTTACTATACTAAGACATAATATAAGGTAATTAGCTAGTCCAGTTTAGAAAGGAGATATAGGAGAATAGTCTAGTAAGGTTACTAACCCCGGACAAGCTTTTTTACACAATGTATATCCCACCCACTCCATCTATACTTTGTGTTTTATGTTCTTACACATAGGCGCAATATTGCTGTCCTGTCCAAATCAAGTCTTTTGCATTAAAGCATACAAGCAATGTGAAATTACAGTGCTGATTACTCCCGGAATTTGAGCGCCACCTAATTATAGTTAAGGTATAGTTTTTGTTAACCTTTTAAGTGGCATCCTGGCGAACTGCATTAGCTACTACGCCAGCTGCGTATGCAGGAGAAATACCTATTATTGGTTATCTCTATTACTACTGCTTCGATCCTTAAATCTTCTAGTATTATCTTGGCAGGTTTATCTATGACAGTTTTGTTACAGTATGTTGGTATTTCCCAAAGAGAATTATACATTATCCATTGGAAATTACTTCCACATGACATCAAAGTGATGGTGTTAAGGTTTAACATGACGCCTTAATAACTTTAGCGTTATTTTTTGCACTACGTTTCCAATTTCACAACAGATATTCAGCGTAAAACGGAGCTCCTTTGGTCGCATAGTCTCTGTGCCAAAAACTCATGAGACTGGTATAAAGAAACTGTATGACGACACTATGTATCGGCCCCTATGTTAAATGGTGTGTTACAACAGCTTGATGTTACCGGAACATATCGCCCGCCGCTCGCTCCTCCCCGCCTGACGCACAGATGCCAAACATAAGTCATATGCCCCTCTAGCTTTCTAGGATGCTCAGAGAGTGCCCGCTCTTCTGGTCTGTTAGAATATTAATTGAACCTCTCATTTACAATCGCCATCACATTGTCCACTTGGCTATCAGCATACCACTACATGCAAGCAAAAGAACAAGATGGCCTCTTTAGGGATTTTCAAACAGCGCTCAGGGTCTGACGACAACCGCCCCAATCGTGATGGCTTTCATCCCAGCACGATACAGAAGCATCTTATTGCATCAGTTGGGGAGTTTGTTGGAACTTTCTTTTTCCTGTGGTTCGCTTACGCCGGCAGTATGCAATACGTAAAGCAAGCTACCTTGTCACCACCCACTGGGGGACTCAGCGATACAACTGTCTTCTTCATTGCGCATGTATACGGCTTCTCCTTACTTGTCAATGTCTGGGCGTTTTACCGTATAAGTGGTGGTCTATTTAATCCTGCAGTACGTCTCCGTCCCTCCCTCCAGCGCCTAAACACCAGAAAATCTACATATTCAAGGTATGCTGTGATACAGAATATGGAGTAACTTTCGTCAACTTGATAGGTGACGCTCGGCATGTGTTTGGCGGGGACAATGCCCTGGGCGCGAGCCGCCTTCTTAGTCCCAGCACAAATCATCGCCAGCATGTGTGCAGGCGGTCTAGCACGCTGCATGTTCCCAGGTGACCTTGCCGTGGCCAACAGTGTTCTCTCAAGAGACACATCGATCGTACGCGGTCTCTTCATTGAGATGTTTTTTACAGCCTTCCTTGTATTCGTTGTATTGATGCTCTCTGCCGAGCGTTCTAAAGACACGTTTATCGCACCCATCGGTATCGGATTGGCGCTGTTCGTCGCCATGCTAGCTGGTAAGACACCTACTGAGAAGTATCGGATTCTTCCGCATTATCTCTATGCTGACACTTTACCTGTCAGGGACTTCTTATACCGGCGCATCACTTAATCCAGTTCGCAGTTTCGGATGTGCCGTCGCGACGCCTAGTTTCCCTGGTTATGAGTGGATCTACTGGCTTGGTCCCTTTATGGGCGCTTTGGTGGCTGCAGGTTTCTACCGTTTTGTCAAGTGGTCTCATTATGAAGAAGCAAATCCCAACCGGGAGGAGACAGACTATCCCAACGGCGACCAACCACAAACAGCACAGCACTCTTCAGTATAACCATTTCCATAAGGGAGCTGATAGGGCGGCCAACCATCTAACGTTCAAGAGTGGAGGTAGGTTTATCCTTGCACAATGATGGTCCGGTTCCAAGTACATACAGCTTGTGGTTAGAATTTCCTAGCAGTTTAATATTCCCTCGTCCGAATATATTTACACTCGCCCGCTATAAGATCCTATTCCAGTATACCTGTGCTGTATCCTAACAGTACACAATCTTTTTCTTCTGACCTTGATCCTTATAGGTATAGGGGCGAATATTATAAGCTCGTTTAGTGTGCCCTTTAAACCAACTGCTGGGGTTTCCGGAAATATCTCCTTTTCAATCTTCAGGGTATGCTTGGCTATTGCATAGCCTTCCTATTAAAATTCCCTGCTAGCAATCACTAAGACTTCCTCAAAGGTTACTCTTTATATATTGCGTCTCTAATGTATTTATTAATGCTCTAGTTTACTGATGTTAGTTAACCTTTAAGCTTTTGAATTTGGCAATAACTCTTGTAAGGATTGCTTTTGTTACAAGTTACTTTTATAAGGAATATTATTTCGGTTCCCATTGGTCTATAATAAACTTCAAGCCCAATTCATATAATTAATAATTTCTCTTTTGTTTTTCTGTAATATTTATATTCTGTTTTCCCTATAAATAAGGAGCATAGGAAAATATATCCTTTTGTAAAGTTTCAGTATTCTATTATTTTTTTGCCTTTTCATTCTCCCTTTTTATAATACTACTATGCATATAATCTCTAATCTCCAGCCCTCTAGCTAATACTAAAATATCATTAGCCCTATCTTTATTGCTGCTTTCTGTTTGAAAGCTAATATTATCAATCTCCCCTTCGCTACAATCACCTACATCACCCACAGCATTCCTGTAACATGTATAACAATGAATCTCTGGAGTATATTAGCCATTGAGACGACGTAACCTCTCACTCTAGTATCCTGTGACCCTTCGGGACTTCCTCTATGTAGATTAGCAGAGGCTTTCCAAGGCCGCAGCTAAGGCCGGGTTTGCGATTGTTGTCATCTTTTAATGACTATCATCTTGGCCGAATTGCATGGAGTGCAGAGAATTCTATTATATCATCAGTAAACAATCCTCCTCTTCCTATAATGTCTTAGTGGTTAGAGGAGACTGATCGCTAGCATTTCTATATCTTGCATCGCATAAATGCAAAGTTGTTCATTGGATACTTGATCTAAAGCAGGGCATTGTCTAGATATATTACACTGTATACCAGTACATATAAGTTGTAGCGGTGCCCTCCTAGGGCCAAGACATTACTCTTCGAATTTTGCATTCGCAACTCTGTTACGACCTGGTCCCTTGTAAACAGTTGAACCCCTTATAGGCAGCTGGTTCCGTTACAGTAACTGCTATAATAGTGGTTATTGGCCTAATCTTTTGCCCTGTTTGGCTTAACGGTATGACGCATCGTTACAAACTCTTTCCACTAATCAAATTCCACAATTTTGCTGCTGAATACAGAGCATAGTTCCTCGTGAGCTTTTGTCATAACCATAGCAGAGCATAGCTGCGCAATACGCTCGGGGTCTGTTAGCTCTAGTACTGATTCTAGATCTGGGTTTCCTTACCGCTGCTTTAGACCTTGGGGACGAGTCTCACATTCCAAGTGTCTCACGCGGAAAATTGGCGTAATATAACGAGTTCGAAGCCACCTGGTGTACCCAGGCCGCACTCCACTAGACCCCCGCAAAAAAGCATAGACACTTCAAGCGTGGCTTGAAGCACTTGCTTCACCAGTCTTGGGGTGGTCTCGTGGCCTGGACCTCGGCTGAGTAAAAAATTAGATGTGAGCGTGCGCACAAACTGACGGCGCCGTAGCGTCACGATGCCGTCTATGCATGGCGTCATCCATATATCATACGTAGTAGAACACTATTGAATTTCACGTGGCTCGCAATCCTATATTTATAGGGTTTTCTTGCACTTATCTAATCCTTCAATAATTTTATCACGGCATTGTATAATTTGTATTTTCATTGTCGGAATGTCACAAAGAGCGGTAACACGCCATTTGGTCCTTGACCAGCTGTCCAGAGTCTCACTACTTAGAGGACAAAGTGGAACTGGAGATCCGTCAACCGCATTACCCATCAAGAATGTCCTTACACACCCTACCAATCCAACTAGCAAAGAAAACGCCAGTGTATTCTTCATCGGAACTGCTACCACAGTTCTTGAATGGCGTGGTTTCCGCATTTTGACTGATCCAAATTTTCTACATGCAGGAGATCATGTGCATCTTGGACCAGGAGTAACTTCACAACGAAAGACAAATCCAGCTGTTGAACTTGATAAGCTACCTCAATTAGATTGTATTTTACTGTCCCATTACCATGAGGATCATTTTGATCGGCTAGTCGAAGATTCGCTTAATAGGAACTTCCCTATCGTTACGACCCCGCATGCGAAAAGATGTCTGACCTCTTCATCTAGGACAGAGCCTTTCAAGTCTGTCTATGCCCTCGACTTCTTTGAAAGCATGCTTTTGGAATGTCGAGATAGTATCAAGAGTGAAACAGAAGAGTCACTAAGACCTGCGATAAAGGTCACCGGCATGCCAGGAAAACATGTACCTCCTGGTCCTATCTCAAAGTTAAACGACATACTGAAAGCTGTACCACCTACCAATGGATGGCTGCTTGAGATGGGCTGGGAATCTGTTACAGGGAATATTGGCCTCCATGACAAGCCAGCGTCAGAATTTAACTCAGGCTACCGCATATATATATCTGGGGATACACTATTTGTCGACGAGTTACAGGATATTCCAAAGTGGCTTGAAGGGAAGCAAATTGATCTTATGCTAATCCATCTTGGAGGCACCACCATTCCGGGTGCCCTCGCTCCGTTGGTAATGGTGACTATGGATGCCAAACAAGGGCTCCAGTTGATACGTCTTGTCAACCCAGATATCACTATTCCTATACATTATGACGACTATGATGTGTTTCTTTCACCATTATCAGACTTTACGAAAGAAATTGAGCATGCTGGGCTACAGAACCGAGTTGTCTATCTCAATAGAGGAGAGCAATACCAATTCACTGTACAATAACATTATATTTTACCATATCTACTATTAATTATCATGGTCATTTATTGTATTTCAGCAGCAGCTCTTCTTAGTTTGTGACGCATATTTTCGCTTTGTGATAGTTCTAGAGAAAGCCACTAGAAAAAGAAGACTTAAAGCCTCCTCTTTGCCAGTGATTTCACCAAGGCCCTCAGCGCAAGAAGAACAAAGGCCGATCGTACTCATATGGTACCGGAGAGCGAATTTCCCTCAACCCACTGAGCCCCAATCAGTATACTGCTCTATCGGCAATTATATACTTATAGAATACTCTATCGAGCATAATATCGCTGCCTTTTGATATTTGGTAGTTTAAGGATCATAGAAGCGTTCGACGTTCCATTACGTTAGTCATCGAAGATCGAAGTTGAAGAAAAAATAAGAAAAATGACCAGTGATGAGGATCAAACCTCGGCTGCTTTCTTTATGCTCTAGTGTTGGCCAAGTAACTTTACTACTACTTGCACCCGCGCCTGGCTTACTCCCAATCGGGGATTTTTTATTGGACTGGATCCATCGAACGAATGGCTCCCATACAGTTTCTTCTTTCTTCAGATTGTCCTGTTATTTTAATCTAGAAGCATTGGTAAATTCCTCCAGCAAGAGATTATCCTCAATGTCTTGGGCTAGATTCTCTACCGTCGTAGAGTTCGAGATAGGAGCTTCAAGATCTAAATCTGCCATAAAACCTGCTCTAATGGCCTCATCCAAAGGAGCTGCATCGGAGGCTGTACTTTGATCCAAATCTGTTAGAATCTCCCGTGCTGCAGTACTTGAAATATCCCCTTTCCGCAATGCTAAGGATAAGAGGGCAGTGGAAATCGCCTTTGTAACACGCCAATGCGTGTGGAGTCGCTCGTAGCCGTATACGCAAAGCAAAAAGTAAAACACCCAATCCTCTTCTTTTGGTTGGTATAGAAGCGCGTTTGCAAGGTAGGTTAAGGCAGCATGCCACAAAATAGAGTAAGATGAAGAAGAGAATTTCAGCCTATAGTTCATTATAAGGTGTTTTAGTTGGTGAACGGACGCATTGTAAACTCTGTCCGCAGAGCTCGCTGGGCTGCTAAATGTTCGCAACCGACTGTGACGTAATGGACCGGAAACTGCGTATCTGAATATATCGAGGATAGATGCATGTAGCCAAATGCTGGAACGCATTAGACACAAGCCATATATGAACAAGCTTCAAAGCACATACTACATAACCTGAACATAATGCGGATTTTGGTCGTTTCGGCAGAGGTCGTTTGGCAAGCTATTGCTCCATGCTAATAACTCGCGAAATTTATACTCGGCAAAACGTAGGCTTCTTTGGTCAGCGGAGGGCTTCTCATTTCTAGCGTACGACAATGCAACTTCATGCAAGATGGACCAAAAGTGACATAACTGAGGAAACACGCCTCCCTTGTAGTCGATATGTTCAGTCTTCTTGTTCTCAGACTCCTTGTTCTCCTGAGTTCCGGGCACTGGTAAATGTGGAGGGGACTCTGGAGGTACTAAGCCCGGTTGACGATAAAATAAAGACATGTAGCTTGAATAAATGTTGAGTACATCAATGAACTTTCCCACGAACTCGGAGTGGAAATTGCTTACGTTGCACAGTTGAAAGAACCCCAGGCCGCATACATATAAGCCTTCCTGGACTCCTTCGATAGTATGGATATTTCTTGAAGCGCAGGATTGTCTATTTGGACTCCAAATAAGCCCAATCTTACAGCCATATGAGAGGCCTCGGAGGCATATGACAAAACTGCGTGATCCCGTCCCTGGCCTAGATATCCTAAGCTCAAAAACTGCGCCGCTATTAGGTTTAGTATACAGTCTGTATGCTTCTGCGTATGCCATAGTTGTTCTGCTTCCGTACAAAACTGGAGTGTGAATGAACCATCATCGGATCCCTGTGCAATGTTCATTTGCTGTATACTGCATTAATATGACAACCTGAATTGAACAATGCGACTGGAGCAATACGAACACTTGCCCAGTATAGCAGAGAGTTGACTAGCAGTGAAGAGCAATGTTTGGTCTTGCCCTCTATGAGATCCGACAAGAATTGATCAGGCTCAAAAAAGCCTAAAAGCGGGTGGTCGGTTTCAAGGTACAAGGAGATAGTCCGCGCAGCGAGCTCGCTAGAAATAGGCACCTTTGTCCATACTTGAATATCCAACTTGGAAAGACGTGGGTCACAGAAATCTGAAACTGAATCAACTGAGTTTCGATCTTCGATTCGCGCTGAGGTTGATTGGTGCCCCCCGCTGCTTCTCTCAACAAGCTGCTGATAGGTTGTCTCCCGCAAAGTATCCATATTCCGACGAGGCACAGTGGGATATACATTGGGGTACTGAGAAGCAAGTTCCAGCTCTTGGAACGGGTCGTCTTCTTGAGAACTTGATTTAGACTGGTCGGGTTGTTGGCCGGAGTTGACATCCTGCCTCAAAATTGTTAAGATGACTGAGGTATCAATCTCTCTCCTTAGGACTCGTAGCCTTTCTAGCGCTTCATCATCAGGAATTGAGTTCAGGAGACGTATAACTTCAAGCAAAAGTAATTTTGAGTCATGGGACAATTCGGAATCATCTCTATAAGTACAGACATCGGTGCTGTCTTCGCAGTTCCAACAGGTCGGCCGTTGTCCATCGCACTAACACCAGTACATGTTAGCAGATATCCTCCAATAGTTCAAAGAATATCAACGCAAACCCTAATTTTCCTACGACGACAGGCGTTGCAGGCTATAGACACGCCTACACGACGTCGCTTGGTTGTTGACGCATTACCCGCATTACCCGAACTGGATTCAGAGCTTTCAAGGTTCTCGCGATTAGTAGAGCTAGCGGGCTGAATAGGCACAAATCGACGCATGTTTGGTGTAATATGCAGGGAATTAGATATGTCGGAAAGGACCTTGCGCTATCGGTGTACCTCGAGGCCTTGAGATATGACAATAGTAATGTTGGTATTCTCAAATCATAAGCGGAATTACAAAGATGAAGCTTCTGATGCGGGGTAGTACTACATCATTCGGAGGAATTGCCGGTTTGCCTAGCCAATTGCGCTTGCCATTTAGCACGGGCTAACTCGAAGTGTTGTAGTTAGAAGCGCGCTAAGTTATTACTATTAATAGCGGAATCGGAGATTCTTTTCCCACCAATCTTCGAACAGCTCCTTATACTTCTCCTATTCCTACTGCAAGTAATGGTGGAGCTGCTGCTGCTGCGAATGTTAAACCTCCTTGGCAAGTGCGCCCGCTTTCTCATTGCCAACAATATCCTGGTGCCTGGGATTCAGGATACCTTTATTATAGCTTTTAATTTAAGACTTTGTGCTATTTTTACATAGCTCTATGTAGGCTAATTGTAAAGATATAGGTATGTGTTGTCTCGATTGTATATACAAGAAGCCCAAACGCTAAGGTGAAGATGCAATAATAAACTATCTATCCAGTAAAAAGAAAACCTTAAGAAACTACCTATACTATTCAAGAAAGACTGGTTTTATTATGCTCCATATTTTTTTAGCTTATTCTGTCCCCACCGCCTTTCAAAGCTCTCTAACCCTGATGGCAAACCGGACTCCAAACTGGGGGCCGACTCGGCTTTTCTACTTGAATGCGGGCGAGTTGAACCAGGTGATTTGATTGCGCTTATACCTAAACGCTTGGGCAGTACCCTTTTGAGCTCTATCCCTTTCCAATAGAACTAAGTATTCCCTCTATGCTTGGTAGGTGTTACCTAACTCTGTAAAAAAGTCTTTAGTGTTAAGGCTATATATAACTTAAAGCCTCTGCCGACAGTGCAAAGAAGAGTCTTGATCCTCCACAGAAAGCAATTGCGGGCGCCTATTATAAGTTAGTAATTAATTGATTCGCTAATTTTTAGTCTTTGGTGAGTTCTGAAAGCGGACTTGTTTAACTGCACTGTAAAGTAGTTGTTATTAATTTTCCTTTGATGCAATACTAAGTTATTTAGCCAAGCGGTTAATATTGCAGACAAACTATAGGTATTTGCATGAAGCTTGGAATCTTGTTTAGGTGATGTTAGTGCTTTTGCTCCTAAGGGCATAAAGATACATATACCTAGATTCCCTAGTATAAGACCTACGTCGAATATTGGGTCCTCTTTTAGTCTACGCAGTAATGCAAAGCTGGTTTGCCATTATTTGTCATGATTTTTTAACAGTAATTAATTTTAGTATAACATATAAACAAGGTTGCATCGAAGTAAGCTACGCTGTTATTCTAAATATATATTACTACAAGTAATAGATTTATATCGAAAATCTACCTTACTCCGCTGTACTGAGGATTGATTAGTTAACAGTAAGCTGACATATTGAATAATCATTACGTTCGGATATGTTTTTATAGTTAGAATCTGATCTGTTCTAAGGGGAAGGTAAGGTATAAATTCAAGCCCCTTTCGCGTTGTAGATAAAGCTCTTAGACCATAACCATCGCAAACAAATCAAAGCTCACTCATAACCTTACATCTTAACATATTATAAACCTTCCCAACATGAAGTCTGTTCTGGCTATCCTTACGCTTACTATTGGCCTTGCCAGTGCCGATACTTTGAGCATTGATCTACACGCCGGCAGTTGCTCTGATACTGCTTTCCAAACCTTCACAATTGGAAATGTGGGTGAATGTCACCCTGCTCATGAAGCATTCAACTTTTATGTGCAGCACAACATCGCCCAGAGTTTCTTCGGCCGAAATCTTGGCATCCGGGCCTTCCGCAACGGCGACTGCACTGGTCCATCCAGCACCAACTCGTTATCTAATTCTCGCTCTTGCGTTTCGGCTGAAGGAGCTAGCTTTATGCTCACAACCATCAATTAAGTCGGGAAATATAGGACCAGGTGGCTCTGTCGTTGAGATGTTGGAAGAATGGAGCCGAAGGAGCGAGAGGAGAACGCAAGATCAATGAAACTTCCAGTACATAGAGAACAGCTATGTAGGACTTCAATATCAGAATCAGGTTCTTCTCGCCTGATACTGCAGTTTCCCACACTTGATGCTTTGTTCAACAACTTGTAACATTGTCCTGCTATTCCTCCCTTGATGCGTAACTTTGCTTGATCAACCTATACCCACACAGTCATGATTATAATAGCTCTGTCTTCCGCCCTGGACATCATCCATGCAGAGTGTTGACGCCAAGCTGCTGCAATGATTTATTCTTTGTAGCCCATGAATTTTGACAAAATACTTTCCTGTAACCGATTCCCGTATTTTCATTGTTTCTTTCAGCGGCGACGATACAAACCATGCTGTATCCGGGGCATAACTTTGAGTCTCGAAATATAACTATTTTATTAGTCTTCCAGAACCAACTTATGATCTACCATGCGATGAAACCACCCAGTGAGCACCAACGACGTGGCCCTTGCAACCTCGTCTCAGGCCACCTGACTGCGGAGCTTAGACCTTGATGTAGTTGTTGGCTTTCATAAGATGTCTACCATTTGTTTTACCAGGCTGCCGAGGTAGCTGCGCCGAGCTCTTAAAGTATCAAGCGTATTAGTCCCCACTGCACACTCGACGCTGTCCAGATCTCACAGCTGATCGGTCTTATTGTACACCCAGAAGCAAATATATGTCCACGCAGAGTTCAAACAAGAACTGACGGCATTGGTATGGCCTTTGAGAGTGTGAAGACATTGGCTAGTTCCTGTGTCCCAGACCCTCATCGCCAAGTCGTACAGTTCCAAGGCTACCATTTTAGGATTGAATCGCTACTTTGGCTCTAATTTAAGTACCCAGGTCGCTTACTGGATGAAATCGGTGTGATTTGTAAGTGTCCCGGATTGAGACAGTCTTGTCATAAGACGCGGTCGCAATCGATGCCGGGTCTTGTGATAAGGTCCGACGACAGTTTTTCAGCTTTGAGCCAGAATCTACAAGGCTCCAGTCAGACAAACATTAATAGCTAGATTATGCAAAAGATGTCCAGGTCAGTTGAATTGTGTAATCTCTGTGTAAATTCTTTGTAACTGGATTTTTAGAATGCAAGTATATGCGCTAGAAGTAGCCAGTAGCCTATAGAAACTCACCATCATAAGACACTTGTAAGAAACCAGAAGATACATTCAAAGAGTAATTTATTAATTGCCCAAGGACAAATGTAGCCCAGTAGTGCAAAAAAAATACATATCCCATTTCCGCTCATCGTTGCTATCTCTCCGGCGGCCGCACCAAGTGCTGTCAGCAAACCTTGAAATGTCAGAATCAATGGGTTGCTGACTCACAGGCACAAGCGCTAGGCCTGAGAAATGAGCTTCTCTATTGGAGTGTAGTGGGAATCGGAGCCGTAGTAAGAGGCAATTGCCGTGATTATTCCCTGATTAGTATAAACTTAGGGCACAAGGCACAATCAGTATAATTCAGCCTTAACGTTATATCGATTGAGAGTGAATCGGCAACAAACATAGCAACTGTTGGTTATGTACCCATGAATCGGACGTTTTGCTTGATTCGCCGCTGCTCTTAAGGCGTAAATTAAGAATGAATAGTAAGTATTCTGCCCATACCAGGAGTCCTTCGACAGAACACGTCCATATGATCGTCATATGACTTTTATCTCATCAATCTGATCCAAAGGTCTATAATCCATTAGATTCGCTCTCATTGTCTCCACACAGTATTCACCGGACCACCGCCGAGTTTTCAACAGTTTTTCCCAGCAAGTCATGTTTTAACACCTTAAAATTTATTTTGAACAAATTGTTATGCCAGCAATGCTTCAAGCTACAGCACTGTTCACGGCATTTATAACAGGCCTTGGACCTGCTGCGACTACTTCCGTCATCGTAGTGAAAACCGTGGATCTTGCTGGGCCGAAATCGCGAAACAACATTACTCATACAGAGTAGCACTGACGAACAATAACGGCGCGTCAGACCCTTACTGGATCTACCTGCCGCATGACAGTAGCACTACTAGCTCTAATGCCGTAGACTGCTCCTTATACTCTCGCCGCTATGACACCGAGTTTCATCAATGTGAACAATACAGCTGTCGCTAGTGTATGTACCAGCGAAACGGTCAACCAGTTCATCACTGCAAGCTTTGTTTGCCAGTGCGTAACTCACTTTGCCGGCCGTCCACTTTCAACCAGGTATTTGTGTCACCCGACGTACAAGGGTTTACGATCATCTTCTATGGTGGCCAGGGGCTCGGGGGCTGTAATACATTTGTTGATTAGCTGTTCGGATTTGTGGGGTGTTTTATTGGTAGGCGAATGGATAGCCTCTCTGTATGGTACCTCAGTGGCACAAGCATTGTAATCAATTGGTCACGCCGCACCATGTTACACAGCCAGCTACCTATGACAACCCAACACCTATGGTCGTGACAGTAGGCCTAGGACCAATAAACTTCTCGAGGGCGGATCATTAGATTATTCCAATAATCCATGGATCCATGATACTTTATCAAACTACTCAAATGTTATAGATATTACAATTGGATACATATGTTCACGTCCCTACACTTATTTACATAACATAACTGATCAGTTACTAATATGGAATTACAATTGCAGTATTATATACTGAGTTATAATTACAAGCGAGTCTATTATTTACATTGCCTGAAGGTCTCCTAACCTATCCGCTAACATACACCTAGTGTACACACACTGAGCTATATTATTCTACACCTGACTTGCACCGCACCTTATATATAAGTACCTGTAAGGACATATTGCCAATCAATTATGCAACTATTTTGCTGTTATAAACCAAGAACTACAGCCTTGTTCTTAAAAAACAGTGTCTTGTACTAACATATACAATCCGGTGTGTTACAGCCGGCTAATTTGCTACCTGTATCGTAGCCTACCTTTATCCAAAATCGAGTACTACTAGCGGCTAGCTTATTATACAAAAGCAAATAAGCTTATTATAAATCATCCGGTATAGCCTAACTTGAGCAGAATCCCTTGTTGTTCCTTGGCAAATATTTTTAACAGGACTGCTGTTATATATACTATAAAACACAATGCTTGTATAACAAGCTTGTATTTATAAATACTTTTGGTTCATTTGAATAATAGCGCACCCTTTCACAATATTATATTATCCTTGTTATAGCTATCTTCACAGCCTCAGCCAGTATAATACATACCAATAGGAGGGGACAAAGGTTCTTGTGTAAATAGACAGTTTAAACTACAACACATACTAATAGTCTTTTCTTTAATGAGAATAGTAAGTGTCTTTAGAAATCAGGTCAACCGGCTGATTTGCCATTAGGCGAGTTGTATCGCGGGGCGCCATGGATCTATAGTCTACGCGCGCCAATTGTAAACAGCTAGACGGTTGCATCCATCCATCAGCGGCTAAGTAACAGGATAATTGAGGATGCATTGATGTCTCCGAAACTCTTCATGGATTAGAAGGAGTATAATGAAAGGAAAGAAGCACTTGTTCGTATTTTTTGACAAAGGTCCAATTTATATAAAGGGCAATGCTTCCCTGCGACAGCCCACGCCCAAGCTCTCTGTTTATGCGCCAGCTTCCCAGCGACTCACACAGTCATAAGTCAAGATGCTCTCTTTTGGAAAACTCGCTCTGCTCCTCCTTGCCGTCAGCTTGCAGGAGGCTGCGGCTTCCCTCTCATCGGGCTGCGGCAAGGTTTCAGGCACCAGCAGTGGCACCAAGTCCATGACAGTGAACGGCAAGACGCGGCAGTACATCCTGCAGCTTCCGGCAAACTACAATGCCACCACCGGTTACAAGCTCATTTTTGGCTACCACTGGCGTGATGGAACGATGAACAATGTTGCTCCCGGCTACTATGGCCTTCGGGATTTGGCACGGGAGACGGCTATCTTTGTCGCGCCACAGGGCCTGAACAACGGCTGGGCGAATAACGGAGGAGAAGACCTGACATTCACCGATCAGATGCTCGATTATATCACGTCCAACGCCTGTGTCGATAAGGACCAGATCTTTTCCACAGGATGGAGTTATGGAGGTGCCATGACCTTCGAGCTGGCATGCTCCCGCCCAAGTATGGCAGCCAAACGTGAGAATTACCTCTTCAAGCCTAGCTAACGTGTCCTCCTAGATGTCTTCAAAGCCGTGGCCGTCATCGCTGGGGCTCAGCTCAGTGGATGCGACGGCGGTACCACGCCAATCCCGTATCTCGGCATCCATGGAGTGGTCGACAGCGTTCTCCCCATCAGTCTAGGCCGAGGTCTGCGCGACAGGTTTCTTCAGCTCAACGGCTGCGCTTCAAAGAACGCCCCCGAGCCTGCTGGCGGCTCTGGTACGCATATCAAGTCAACGTACGACTGCAGACCCGGTTACCCGGTCTGGTGGATTGCTCATTCCGGTGATCACGTCCCAGACCCCAAGGACGCCGGCCAGAGTCAGTCGTGGGCACCTGGGGAAACTTGGAGCTTCTTTACCCAGCAGGGGTTGAAAGGGCAGAGCGGCAGCAGCAGCAGCAGCGTATCAACGACATTGACTATCACAACCTCCTCCACCACTCCGACAACAACAGCAGGTGGTGGTAGTTGTTCGACCAGATACAGCCAATGTGGCGGTACTGGATGGTCGGGGCCAATATGCTGCCAAGCGGGAGCCACGTGCAAGTACATGAATGACTATTATTCCCAGTGCGTTTAGAGAATGATGTATTGCACTCTAGCGGCTATATATGTGAAAAGACACTGTTGTAAGAGGTTATTGCTTCTAAAATGACATGATCCAAAGAGGAACAACCTGGAACACAAGGCTGTGTATTACACTTGGTATATAACAGTACCTGGGCAGGTAGTAAAGCATGGAACACTAGTATCTCATAGCATAGAAATAAGCAGTTGCCCTTGTAAGCATTTTGGAAGTCAAATACAGTATCTTCGAGAAGGTACTCCGCAATGTCACGAAATGTAATTTCATAGTACTGTACTAAACTAATATTCATTGCAGGCCGACTATAGTAAGCAAACTAATATCTTAGATCCTCAGCGCCATAAATAGTGATTCATAGGTAACTTTCCTCAATTGGAAATACTTGTTTTCTAATAGCTACAACCGGTTCGGCCTACCTAGAACATTTATTTATTTATATTATCCACTAGAATGGAGGCAAAAAACACACTTTGCCGTGGACAATATTTAGTACAACTATTAAATTTGTTTGTCATCTAGTTCAAGAGTTGACCGTTCAGCCTTGGGAACAATGCTAGAGCATTCTCACGATTTACCTGAGCGGCCAGGGCTGAATCTTGAAATGGGTACGCATCCTGCCGGGATGTATGGAAGCCGATTATATCATTATTTGCGTACGGAGTATCGCTGCCATAGAGTATATGACCAGGTTTGGCAAACTTCTCCAGAATACACAGTACGTTTTCTGTCCCAGAGACGGCAGTGTCGTAATAGAAGCTGCGAGCATCCTCCCAGAATGCATCGGCGTCTTCCTTAGTTTTGTTTATCACACTTGTCGGGCGGCCAATAAGATATGGCAGGGTACCGCCAGCGTGTGATAAGATGATCTTGCAATTCGGGTTGTTACGGACTGTCTTGTTGTGTAGCATGTCGATGGCGGTCTGGGTCGTCTCGAATGGATACCTAATGACCGGCTGTGGTAGGCCGCTGACTTGGGAGGTATCAACCGGGTGAGTAGGATGAACGAGAATTACGGCAGAGCGGCGATTCAGCTCTGCCCAAATGCCCTTGAAGTCCGGATGGCCAAGGTAGTGGTTGCTCTTTCCATAGCGTGTGAACAGGACCACACCATCCGCCTTGAGAACGTCATAGGCATAGGCAATCTCGTTGAGCGCGAGCTCCTCGTCCAAGAGATTTGGCAGCGCAGCGAAGAAGCCATAGCGATCAGGCCTCTCATCTCGCAATTTGGCACAGAACTCATTGGCTTGCCGGGCCAAGTTGGCAGCGGCCTGGGGATCTTGCAATATACAAGCTCCTGGAGCCGTAAGAGAAAGAATGGCAGTAGTGATACCAAATTTGTCGTTGACTTTTTGATCCAACTCCTTTGTCCATTCGGGAATAAACCACCCAGATGGATCTCCGCCGGAAGCCTCTACAGCTATTAAAGTATGAATTGTTAGTGGGCCAGACATAAAGTTCCTGGGAAACGCAATATTACCTTGACGGTAGAAGTCTGGGACAAAGTGGTGATGGACATCGATTCTGTTGGGCCCCATTTCGTTCTGAAGAAGCCAAGGTATAGATAAGCACTGGCGGTGGGCTGAAGCTCTTATTAGATGGAACTGATTTTGAAGTCTATCAAGTGTGAAAGAGTGTCTCCTTTATAATCACACAAGCCCCACTTCTCCGGCCCTAGTCTCAAAATCTCTACTCGTTAAGATCTTCCCCGGAATGTGGAAGCAGAATCCGGGGAAGAAATGTAAGCGCATAGGATGACAAACTTGCGTTGCGTAGATAGGAATTGGAGCTCTCCAATTAAGACAAGCGACGTCACTCTGAATCCAATCGGCCACACAGTTGGCTCTAAACGCCTGGTAGGTGCAGTTCGAATCACAGTTTGAGAAATTGTATAGCTTCCCGCAATGTGTGCTATGATAGCGCGCCCGGGTCTATATCCGGACTGGACCTAAGATCCAAGGTGTACCACGGATCCGGATCCGGCCCGGCTCCGGCTCATGGACTCGGGCATATGATTTCAGGCCTCCGGATGTCTCCCGCAGAGTCGTATACATGTAGGTGAGTTATCATGGCAATACACTGGTCAACAATTTACAGTGACCATTTCAGTTTCCAAAAATTACGACAACAGACGTCATGGAGAAAAGCTCTACTAACCACGTGCACGATGTTATCATTGTAGGTGCTGGTATTTCTGGTATCAATGCAGCGCATCATGTACAGAGAAAACTTCCTGATTCCGAGTATCTACTTCTTGAGGGTCGTGATAACATTGGTGGGACGTGGGACCTGTTCCGCTATCCTGGCATCCGGTCGGATACGGACTTGCATACGTTTGGATTCGGCTGGCAGCCCTGGCAAGAGGGTCGAGCCATCGCAGATGGTGATGCTATCGCCCAATATTTGCGCAACACGGCGGAAAGGGATGGAATATACAGCCATATTCGGTTTCAACACCGCACCGTCGCGGCCAACTGGTCATCGGAGCTGGAGCTCTGGACGTTGGAGGTCGAAACCAAGAGCGGCCGCGTTGAGCTACATACCAGGTTCTTGATACTAGGAACAGGCTATTATGACTACAACGAGCCCCTCCAGGCTGAAATCCCGGGTCTGTCTGATAACTTTCGTGGCACTATCGTACATCCACAGTTCTGGCCGAAAGATCTCGACTACACTGGCAAGCGAGTGGTCATCATTGGCAGCGGCGCCACTGCAATCACGCTGCTTCCCAACCTAGCCAAAAAAGCAAGCCATGTGACGATGCTACAGCGCAGCCCTACTTACATCATGTCCATCGACAACGCGACAGGTGGCTCATGGATACACAAACTTCTGCCTCGGGCATGGGCATTCAAGCTGGATCGCTGGATGTTCATGTGGATGATTATTATCCTGTATAACTTCTGCAGACTCTTTCCTGAGCGCTCTCGGGCTGCTTTGGAAGGCGCGGTTGCAAAACAGCTCCCCAAGGGCGTTCCCATGGATCCTCATTTCCGACCACTCTACAAGCCTTGGGACCAGCGTGTCTGCTTCACGCCCAATGGTGACTTCTTCGAGAGCCTCCAAGGCGGAAGGGCGCATGTGGAGACAGCTCACATTAAAGCAATGTCCTCGGACTCTATACTTCTCGATAATGGAAAAGCCCTGGAAGCAGACATGGTTGTCACCGCCACGGGCCTGAAATTTTGCATCGGTGGCCATATACACATAACTATAGATGATGAAGAGATCAACCTCGCAGATCGCTATGCTTGGAACTCGGCAATGCTACAAGATGTACCGAATTTGGCCTTTATGATGGGCTATGTCAATGCCTCTTGGACCCTGGGAGTCGAAACCAGCTGCCAGCTCGTCTGCCGCCTGCTATTACACATGCGGAAGAAGCATTATTCCAGCGTTATTCCGCGTTTACCCAAGGGATTTTCCATGGAGCCCAGGCCGATTTGGAACCTTGACGCCACGTATGTGAAAAAAGCACAGGGCTTCATTCCCCACTGCGGCAATACTGGACCCTGGAGAGGACGCACTAATTACTTCGTGGACCTGTGGAAAGCCCGATATGGCAGTATCACCAAAGATTTAGTCTTCCGAGCAGTGAAGCCGTAGCTGGTATCAAACACATGATACATGCTCGGCATATTACGCTTGTTTAAGATAGGGGGCTTCAGTATCGGTATTAAGGATTTGAAGCTGATGGGTTCGAGACGATTGTATATCCTGCGACAAACAAGAATTAAACTATGCGAAACTGCAATACGTGCAGAGGAATGATTTCATTGGTCTCATTAGGTATCTCGGCTTATATCTAAATAAAATGAACATTTGAATGCTTATACTTCCGGAATTGGCGTGAAACTGGCCACGCCCTTTGCGCATAAACTTTGTTACATGGGTGTTACCTGGCAATTTATTCCTATCGAAAGGACCCAAAATGATTAGAAGATTAATGGTATCTTGTGATATAAAAGGAACTTGTGCTATTTACTTATTTATTACTCGAACATGCTTTATTATTCATAGAAGACAATGAATATATATATATATATATATATTACAACCTAGTCTCTTGCAAACAGTTCATTCCCTTATAGACAGCTGGTTCTGGTACAGTAACTGCTATAATAGTGGTTACTGGCCTAATATCCTGCCTTGTATGGCTTAATGGTATAACGGATCGTTACAATATATATATATATATATATTCACTTACAGAATTATTCATGTACTATCGAAATATTTCTCTCTATCACCTGTATATAGTTGGAGACTGATTACATAGTTTACTTTGGTTATGATTCTGTAGCTTGTGTATGCCTTGGATCTCGACCGAGTCCTTACGGTCGTGCTGTGCCCTTTGCAACATCTACTCTAGCATAGCTTACAGTACATTTCGTCCGCTTGGCTCTTATGGCCGTGAAAATGCTCTCCTCATCTTCTGGGAACCAGTTGGTGACCAAAAAGAGTGTCTTACCATCGTCTCCACCGAGAGTACATGCCGTCGCATGCCCCTTTACATGGATTTCGTGTGTGATATTTCCGTGCTGGTCGAGGCGGATGAACTTTTCTAAGCCCAATAAGCTCAGCCACATGCCTCCCTCGCCATCCATGCATCCCCCGTCAATACCAATGAGGCCGTGGGTGGTATTGCCGACCTCGCCGCTTGGTGAGATTGAGGCGGGAGACCACACCTTTTGGCGGTTGGAGATCTCGCCGCTGGCACCAATATCCCACTTGAGCAGGCCGTATCCAAAGGTCTCGGCGCAATATAGCGTCTTCCCATCGGTACTAATAAACAGGGCATTGGGAAATATGATGTCCTCCTCAGCAACCTTGACAGAGCCGTCTGTCTCGATGATGAGAAGCCTACCCGGCCGCGGCTGTTCGCCGTGTAAGACTCGAGCTCCCGTGTCATCCAGGTACACACGGCCGGTGCTATCGATCACCATGTCGCCGCAGTAACCGGTCATGACGCCAGACATGTCGGTGTACTGTGTGTCATTACCGGAGGCATCGCGACGATAGAGCTTGGCATCAAACATGGACGACCAAATGAGTGAGCCGTCGGGGGCAAAGCACATGCCGTTAGGCTGATTCTCTACCTCGCGGAGCACTTTCTTTTCACCCGAAGAAGGATTTATGGTGTAGATGATACATCCAGCCATATCACTGATATAGAGGAGGCCGCTGTAGTATCGAGGAGATTCGCCAAACAAGAGTCCATCGGCGAGTTGTGTATCTCTTAGCTTTTGGGGCTCCATTTTTGTAGCAGTTTGATAGATAAGATGGTTTGAGTATATTGCCCAGAGCTTGTTGTCTGGCTGGCTAAAGCAGGGAGAACAACACTTCCTATTTTATGCGTATTCAGATGGCTGTATTGTAGCTTTGCCCGCAAGTCCCGCCAGTCCCGCCAGTCCCGCGTTCCCGGCCCGACGCCCCGGATGAGATACCTAAATGCTAATCGAGATACTCCGTTTTGCTGCTAGAGGATCATACCCGCCTCGTACTAATTACAGGGAAGGTGGCTGCCAACGCTAAGTTTCCCAGATAATGAGATGTTTGGTTAGGCTAGTGGAACTAATACCTATACTTCTTTCATCTGTAATGAATAAGAGTGGTACTGATGAGAGTAGGAGAACGGATTGAAAAGGGTTGTACGTTTGCGTTTCATCTATCACTGATCAGCAATGGCTGACTTTCTTGAGAGATTCTTGAGAGATTCTCCGAGAATATTCGGGTGGACAGGAAAGAATTGCTTGGTTTTCGCTTAGTCGCGCAAACTTCTCCCTAGTGAATTCTTGGTGCCATTTTCCATGGAAGCTTGCGGATTTGCTTCCGTGGCCTGTCTCAACTCGAAGCGCCCACTTCTCTGAGCCATACTCTTTTGTCAGCAATTGTCTAGCTTGAAATAGGAAAGTCTTGAAATGTTAAGCCAACCTTCCGTGACGATAGTTGCTGTTCTTTACATGCACCTATCCATACCTCCTACGTACCATTATTCTTCAAGAATTGGTTGATTCTAGAATTCCTAGATTATAAAGGTGGCAAGGAAACATGCAACTCGAGCTTGGAATTCAACATTGAGCACTGCAAAGTAGGTGAAAACTAGAGAAATTCCATGCAGACATAGGTAGTTTAGTCCGCCTAAACCTTGAGCCCCTCCTCCGTAATTGTCTTCTCCCATTGTCTCGAAACTTTGGCCTCATACTCCGATATACCTCCACCCTTGACGTCTGGCAGAGGAGCATTAAACGCGGGGACTACCCGCGTGCCTCTGGCCGTTGCCTCAAATATCGTCCCATCGCCGTATTGTGGATTCTCCAGCAGTTCCAACATGGCTTCAGCAATATCATCCGCGCTGGCTGCAATATCGTCTGAGCCGATCATGTTGCTTTTATCAAGATCATCGCTCCATAGCGGTGTCTAATAAAAAAAGGAAAAAAACTGTCAGCGAATACCCCCTCTCTGCGGCTGTTATGAACATACATTGACAGCACCTGGTGCAATGGCCGCCGTGCGAATACCTACCGTGTCTCGCAGACGGCCGAGACTGCGCACAAAGCCGTGCAATCCATGTTTGCTAGCATGGTATAATGGTGACCCGATACCGTGCACGTATCCAGCCATGCTGCCAACAACGAGCAGCGAGCCCGGAATACGGCGTGAGGTCCAGTGAGCGATGGCGAGCTGGCTGAGTCGGATTGGGTGCGTCAAATTGACATCCATCACGGCATAATGGCCCGGTTCGCCGTCTGCATCATCTCGTGAAGGGCTATCGGGATTGGTTGGTGACTTCGGAGGGTTCCAGAAAGAACTCCACCTGGGCTCAAAAATGCCAGCGCCAGGAACGACAATGTCGACTTGTGGAAAGGCCACCTCAGCCGCGCGAATCAACGCCGATAGCTGTGGCCATGATGCAACATCCGTCTTCTTGAAGAGTGCGACAGGCGTATCGGCAGAAGGCGGTGTCGATGGATTGTGTGGATACTGCTTTAGAAGCTCCTGGGCCTCTGGTCGTAGGCTTATATCACCAACCAGAACCGAGCAGCCGCGCGAGAGAAGCTTCTTCGTAAATGCAAGGTTGATGCCTAAGAACGTTAGTCAGCCTTGGGCTGTCTAGCACAATGACAAGTTGTTGCACCTGAACCACCACCAGTGACAATAGCATGTCTGCCTGCTACAGAGAGAGCCATGACTGTATTGAGATACACAATGTCCGACGTGCCGAACTTTCAGATTGGCTGCCTCTTTCGACTCATGTAATCCTGGGAGACATATGTATATGCTATATTTCTCTAAACCAGTATCTTACGGCAAGCAACAAGTATAGGGGCTCTAGGCTGTAATAGTCTATTGACTGACTTTAGCTGTTTTGATAGTGGTCAATGTTGAACGCATTCCCAAGAGTCAATCGCGCTCCGGATGTGCTTCCGGAGGTGAGGCCGGATGCGTTTCCGCTAGTACTGAGCTAGTTCCACGATACAACACCGTTCTGTTACGCAATAATCTTGGCCCTTTAGTATCAACCTTCTTGTCCACTTAAGGAATATATTCAAGAGAGAGCCTAGTTGATTGTCACCAACTGAAAACTGTCAACTCTCGGTTCACCGGATGTGAACTTCATTAGTTGTGCCCCACATCTTGTTTATTCCTGTCCGAATCTTGAACAAACAATGTCCGAAACTTCCTAAATGCCCTACCCATGCTCCGATTGAGATACTTTGTCAGACCCTTTTATCAGCATCGAGTCGGCTTGTTGTACAATTTTGCGAAACAATAATGAACAAACCTCTGTCGCCATTGGTAAATGCTTCATTGGAGACCGTGATAGGGCATTTTGCGGACTCGGTTTTAGTTCAATATATGTAGCAAATGTAAGCGAGTACAGCATGCCCATTATAAATCAGAGATTCCTGGCATTTAGCGCAGCAGTGTCTGCCCCATGGGGTATTTTCAGCCACATTTGCTTAGTCTGGGCGAATGTGCGGAGAAAGCGGAGTGTAGCCTGGCGCCGTCTGCCTCAGAGTGCTCTCTCCTTCTACCATCCTTATACCACATACCATTTAAGCATATCATTTAAGCAGGGTGCCAGAGACCACGTAGAATCAGATCCTGTGCTTTAATTATTACATGGGAAACTTCTTCGCCAAGATTTGAGTTTGTTTCCGTGCTGTCTAGCAGATACCGTGGGACCATGCCAATGGTGTCACAAATGTCGCCGAGGTCTACGGCCGGGTCTCCTCAGCCCGAAGGCGCCCGTAAGCGGCGCCGCACTCCGCTTGCCTGTGACGAGTGCCGCGATAGGAAGCGCAAGTGTGATGGTGTGAAGCCTGTATGCGGCGCATGTCGTCGCCGAAGCATCACGATTTGCGTCTGGAACGAGGAGAGAGTCAGCAAGGGGTGGACCAATAGGTAGCGTCTTAACTCTATAACCTGTCTCTGAACCACTGCTGACAATCTCTCAGTTATGTCGAGGGCCTCAGGGCTCGGATACGGGAGCTCGAGTTGGCACAGAATCACCCACCAGGACAACCTGTTGATAGCCTTCTGTTACCGGGGCTGTCACCTCCCGAGCCCACCAATGCCAGTCCAGAGATGCCTCAGCCAATGGGTCAATTCACGAGCCCGCCAGCCGACCAGAGATTACAGAGCCCGCCAAATTACTATATTGACGTGCAGGCCGACCATAGGCCTAGCGTAGATAATGGCATTCCTGATCCGTTCAACGACTTGTCGCAATCACTGCGCAATAAGCCGGACTCTCCAGCCTACCAGGACGCAGATACCGATCTTGACTCTGACTCGAACAGCGACGACACTGGTGTCAACGCAATGGGTGTCATAGCGCCCTTCAACAGCATTAGTGGTAGGCGAAACCGGAGACCTTCTGAGTATTTTGGCCCCTCCAGCACTGCGAGCCTGGTAGACAGAGCAAGGAGTACCATGGGCCAACAGTGCCTCATACACCGGTCTATAATGAATAATGTCGCCTGCTCTCAATGTCAACGTGAGCCGGTCTCTGTTCTGAGCCCATCTTGTACTTCATCAGGATGCTCCCACTCGCTCAAGACGGACAGCGCGGTTTTTGGCATGACAATTCCGCCACGCGACGAGGCTGACGACCTTGTGGAAAATTACTGGCGCTGGACACACTCACTCTATCCACTTATTCATCGGCCGTCGTTCGAAGAACGTTACCGTATGATCTGGTGTCCTCAGACTGAATCACGCCGTCTTCGCACAGAGGCCCACGCCTCCAAACCGGCAGGTCTTTATACCTCCATAGGTGATCGTCTATTTTACTGCATGCTTAATAGCGTGTTTGCTCTAGGTGCTCTCTTCAGCCCCAGGATGGACCACAAGGACCGAGAGCAGTTGAGCCGCAGCCTCTATGAGCGCGCTAAAAAGCTCATGGATTTAGATATGCTCGCCGCAGGTAGTTTGGCTCTCGTACAGACGTTGCTGCTCATGGGCCAGTATCTGCAGAGCACTGAGATGTCGAGCACGTGTTGGAACATCGTTGGGCTTGCGGTGCGTGTTGCCCAGAACATCGGGCTACACCATGACCCCAAGAATTGTAATCAAAGCTGCTGCCCAGCCCAGTCTCTTGACCAAACGGTGATGGAGATGCGAAGACGAGCCTGGACGGGTTGTGTACTATTGGATCGGTAAGTACCTGTTGGCTATCTTTTTTTTTACACTCGGTTAGTGTCTGACCATCTGCCAGGGTCCTCTGTTTGACGTACGGGCGGCCCTTGATAGTCCATGCGGCCATGCCGCATAGCCAGCTCGTCCTTCCACTAGCAGTAGATGATGAGTACCTGACACAACTTCCGGGGGCGCCAGGAGCTCAGCCAGACGGAACACCGAGCCTGACGGAGTGCTATTGTGAGACGGTCCAGCTGCAGGATATCCTCGGCGAGGTCCTAGCCACAATGTACTACCCGGATCCCAATCCAAATCCGAGCTCCTCAACCAGCAATGGAGCAAAAGATATTGATTTCCACAAGCTTTTCGCCATCGACAGTCTTCTCAAAGCATGGCATAAAAACCTCCCACCGCATCTTCAAGCCTGTCGGTACAGAAACAGCGGAGAGCCCCCGGCGCTCAGCCCATCAGACAATGAGGTGGTGTTTCGTAGACAGGCAACCGTTCTAGAAGTAAGGTATGTCAATGAATCCCTGTAAAAGAGGAAAAGTCAAATCAGTACTCACAAACGTCAAAAGATACCTGCATGTTCGCTTAATGATGCTCCGGCCAGTTTTGTCATGCATTTGTGACCCAGCGTTCCAATCAACTGAAATGGTCACGGATTCCATACAAGATGAGACATTTCTCAAGGCAGCCAACCTATGCGTGGCTGGAGCACAGGAATTACTACAGTTCATTGAAGAGAATATGAATTTCAAGACAGATCTCCTTGCTCCCCCGTGGTACACGGTCTTCTGTAAGTCACCTCTAAGGCTCTGTGAGGCGACAATAGTGCTTAAATGCCTCTACAGATATTCAAAGTTGTGCTATTGTTTTTCTTATTAGTCTATTATGCTCTCCGAAACATATTCGTTGTATGGACGAGGCCTCGCTTCTCAAAGGACTGAGCCGCTGTTTCACAGCTCTCAGAAGGTACCAGAGCCGAAGCCGTGCGGCGGGACGCTGCCGCAAATTTCTTATCACGGTTCAGCAAGAAGTTTTCTGCTACCGGAATCATAACGGTTTGTCTCCGTCTATCTATAATTATTCAAGTTGTCAGGCTAACGAATGGATGCAGGAATGATGAACGACTTAGCAGTTCTGGAAGCTCCGGAGACCGCAGCCATGTTAGGTGGTGAAAGTAGACGTGTGCGGCCAGACCTTTCCACCTGGAACAAAGATCCGCTCTCTCCGTCAAACATTTTGCAAGAAGATGTACGCTTTGACCAGCACCTGTGGATGTACAATACTTCCGATATTACCTGGCTTACACAAGGTTCATACTACGAGGAGCATCCACAGAGCAGTTAGGAAAAGACTCCATGAATCCTAGATTCAGTGCCAATGCGGTATTATTTTTGTTAGAGTCTTAATGTATATAATTTATCTACTTATTCCTACGCTGGGCCTACGACAAGAAAATCCACCCGCTTGTCGCGAGCCGGCGCGGCGCGGTAGCCGTACTCGATCATGGCCCACCCCGGCCGGATAGTGATCCGATCTATGGCAACGTTGTCCGCGAAACAGCGTTAAAAAGAGCCCGCCCTGCGCCCATGAATTGTGGAAGCCCATCGCGGATATAGAGCCAAACGCAGCGCAGAAACTCATCATTAGAGTTAATCATGTCACTGCTGGAGAGGCGAACAGTTCCTCTGTGGATCGGCAACGAGGCCGTCTTGTCAGACATTACTTTCCCAGTAATCAATAGTGCCACCGGAGAGTCTGTGACGGCGCACGGCGCTACACTGGAAATCGTTCAGAATGCAATCGACAGCAGTTACCATGCCTTAAACGCCTGGAAGCGGACAAGTCCGTGGAAGCGGCGTGAGCTGCTTACCAAAGCGGCTAATCTGTTACGAGAGCGTAGAGAAGAAGTGGCAGCTATCTTACGGGCAAGTACAACCACCACAGCAAATGCTCCATATTTCAACGCATGGTTCTAACTCTTTCTTTTGTGCGTGGTTATTACAGGTCGAGACGCCAATCGACGATTTTATGATCCAGCAGATCAATATTCAGACCAGTATCGACCTCTTGGAAGAACTAGCGGGCCAGATCATGCATACCACGGGTGCTGTTGTCCAACCCAGTAAACAGTCAGACGATATGTTGGCCATGGTCTTTCGAGAACCTCTGGGCGTTCAGGTCGGCATCGCACCCTGGAACGCGTCATTACTTCTTGGCATGCGGGCGGTGGCAACGCCCATCGCTTGCGGCAACACGGCGATTCTCAAGGCTTCGGAGAAAAGCCCAATGGTTCATCACTTTATCGGTAGGCTTTTCCACGACGCAGGCTTCCCGGCGGGTGTTCTCAATGTCATACAACACTCCCAGGAGGACGCTGTGTCGATTGTTAACGCACTCGTCTCTGATGAACGTGTACGCAAGATCAACTTCACAGGCAGCACGGCTGTGGGTAAGATTATCGCAGCCAACGCTGCAAGGCACTGCAAGCCGGTTTTGCTGGAACTCGGTGGAAAGGCCGCACAGCTCGTGCTCGCCGATGCTGACCTCGAGAAGGCAGCACAGGCAGCTGCTATTGGAGCTTTCACACACGTTCGTCGGTTTATACCCATTCTCCGCGCCAGACAAGACTAACATAGGTACACAGCATGGCCAGGTATGCATGTCGACGGAGCGGATTTTTGTGAGTGAAAGTGTCCTTGACTCGTTCTCGGATAGACTCGTCGCAAGTGCCATACAGGCGAGTAAGAACGTTTGTCCAGGAGCTTCAGTGGAACATACATCGAAGGTTACGGCGCTTCTAGAAGATGCCTGGGCCAAGGGAGCGACAATTCTGGGCGGTGGAGAGGGTGCACATCAAGACGGCTCTTTCTTAACTCCTCTAATCCTTGTCAATGTAAACCGAGAGATGAAGATCTGGCATACTGAAACCTTTGCCCCTATCGCCCTACTCATCCCCTTCAGCACTATCGACGAAGCCATAGCACTGGCCAATGACACGACGTACGGCTTAACGGCGAGCGTCTATACGGCCAACATACCACTGGCTATTGAGATTGGGCGGCGTCTTGAGAGCGGTTCAGTTCACATCAACTCCATGACAATCCATGACGAGGCGCATATTCCTCATGGAGGCGTCAAAGAGAGCGGTTGGGGGCGATTTGGGGTGCCTTGGGGTAAGATTATACTGATTGTTGCAGTCCGCATTTTGAGCCACGCTAACTGAAGCCAGGATTTGCTGAGTTTACACAGCTAAAAACTATCACCATCGCAGATTCGCATCTGGCAGGCTAAGAGGGATATTAAAAGCGGTAGCTAGTTTTGGGTATGGCGGGTTTAGGATTCTTGTGTTAAATAAATCCGCAGTGTTTTTCTCAGAAAATAGGACCGGACCTTTGCTGGTCAAGAACGTGGTGTATCGGATGCACATGTTTCAATACTATCTTATTCAGTATGCCAGCATGAGTGGAGCGACGGGAGTGTTTCCGGCGGCTTAACGAATAAATATTAACACCGCAACGCACCTTATTTCAGGGTGCTTTGTTTCCCATTCCAATGCTCTTCTAATTGCTTGAATCGTTTTATTATTTGCTGTCGAAATTATTTATTTATTTGTTTATTTATATATTTGGAGAAATGGAAGTTCCAAGAAAAATCCGCACGAAAGCCTACGTCGTACAGGGTAAAGGCAATCCATTTACTCTCTGTGACGTGGTGTTGGACGAGGTGCAGCCAAATGAGGTGCTAGTGGAGATCTGGTACACAGGTATATGCCATACCGTATGTATTCCTCTGGTATTAGTTGTCTTCTCAATAAGTTGACCTCGTGTAGGACGTCGTTGCCCAGCATGGGGGCATGCCACTGGGAGGCTATCCGGCTGTGCTCGGGCATGAGGGAGCGGGCGTTGTGAGGTGGACAGGTTCCGCAGTCCGGGACAAATCTTTGAAGCCAGGGGACGCTGTGCTGCTCTCATTTCACTCCTGCCGCCAATGTAGATTCTGTCTCAAGGGTCGATGTGGCACATGCCCACACATGACGGAGACCAACTTTATCCGCTCTGCCCGTCGAGGTGCTGGAGCAGAGTCGCCGATATCACTCCCTGACGGCACAAAGGTTCACGGCCAGTTTTTTGGGCAGTCATCTATGAGCAAGCTAGCAGTTGTCACAGAGGCTAGCGTAATCAAAGTTGATGCGAGACCAGAGGACCTCCGTACACTACCTCCCCTCGGCTGTGGCTATCTGACAGGTGCTGGAACTGTATTCAACGTGATTAAACCACGCCCTCAAGACTCTGTAGCCATCGTGGGGATGGGGGCCGTTGGCATTGCGGCGATGCTGGCTGCAAAGTCTCTCGGGGTACGACAGGTCATTGCTCTTGATGTTGTCGAAGCCAAGTTAGAGTTGGCATCCTCTCTGGGGGCAACACATATTATCAACTCAGCAGCAGAGCCAGATCTTCATGCCGCGCTGCATGCCATCATCCCGGGTGGCCCAGACAATGTTATAGATACAACCGGTGTGGCAGGCGTGCTCGAGGCCTCGGTGAAAGCCCTTGCTCATGGCGGAACGCTAGCTCTGGTCGGAATCCCCTCTCCAACAACAATATTGCGAATTAACGCTCTGGATTTACTGCTGTCGTGTAAAAGAGTAATTGGTGTCATTGAAGGAGCCGCCGATCCGCATATTGTATTGAATCCCTTTCTTTAGTGTTACCTTTGAAGAATTGCTAACACTCTGATCTACAGTTGATTCCTAAACTTTTGGCGCTTTATCGCGAGGGAAAGTTCCCCGTCGACTGCTTAGCAAAGGTCTATCCCGCGGAACAATTGAGCAAGGCAATCGCAGACCTTCAGTCAGGACTAGTAAGTGCTGCAAATTACAAGAGTATTCTGACTAACAACAAATCTCAGATTATCAAGCCCATTTTGTCGTGGGAATACCTTGACTAAAGTTGGTGATATGATTCAAGTTAACTCGAGCCTTTGCACTCTACTTTTCAGAAAGTAAGTGAAAGGATGAAAAGAGGTCTACGAGTCGCTTAGCATGTATTGAATAGACGAGAAAATAGGAATCCCTGTAGACAGATGTCTCCATTACGAGCTAAAACCACACTGAAAGCCATGCGGATGTGTACCCGTAGGTTGACCCCACGTGCGGCATGACTTCCGACTACAAATATGGAAAGCCGCGATAATGTAATGCGCTTTGCTATGGGTTGACGTGAACAATATCTGCACGTATTACGACTTTCATCATGGCTTCGAGTATAGCTCGTGCTGGACTGTTGGCTGGCAAAGTGTCAATAATTACAGGAGCCTCGTCCGGCTTGGGGCAAGCCATGGCACTGGAGTTTGCCAAGCAGGGCGCCACTGTCGTTTGTGCCGATAAAACACCTGCCTTCAAAGGAAATCAGAACCAACTCACACATGAGACAATATGTGAACAAGGGGGTAGGGCAATATTTGTTTCGACAGACGTCGCAGACCAGAATGACATGCTGAAGCTCATGCGAGATTCGGGAAATCAGTTTGGACGGATTGACATGTAGGTTGCAATATATGGTCGAATTTCTATTTCTAGATGCTGATAGTACATAGAATGGTCAATAATGCTGGCATTGCTCCCGAGGCTTCTGAGCCGCGACCGATCTGGGAGACATCTCTACAGACGTTTGAACGAACCTGGGGGGTCAACATGCGCGGCGTCTTTCTCGGCTGCAAACTTGCTGGAGCCCAGATGATGCGTCAGCAGAGAATCTCTGGCGACGGTAGGGCTGGCACTATCATCAACATCGGATCTATACTTGGCGTGTTGGGAAAAGCAGGCACGCCTGCATATTCGGCCACCAAGGGGGCCGTAATCGCTTTTACACGAGCAGTAGCTATGGACTATGCTCCGCACGGCATCCACTGCAACTCGATCCTTCCGGGATGTATGTATGGTTGTTACAAAGACATATAGTATTAATGCTAACTCAGCTCATTTCCCTAGTCACACGAACCGCAATGATCTCGGCTATGACAGATAACGTTGAAATCGAGCGAGAGATGGCACAACGACATCCTCTCAAGCACCTTGGCAAGCCACAAGACATTGCAAGTGCTGCTGTATTTCTCGCGAGTAACATGTCGAATGGGATTACAGGCCTGAACTTGTCTGTGGATGGCGGATTACATAGTCAACTAAGCGTGTAGCCCTTCCATTAATATATTGGACTTAGATAACAATTGTAGCACTAGTAGTACCTGGTAAATATTTAGAATAAGATCGATTCGCATAACTCTATTAACTTCGAGCTCTTATACGTTTGAATGCCTACATACTATCTATGTATCTGCTGCTTGTCTCTCAATACCTTCGTATACTTTGGATTCTATCCCCATCCAAAGCTCGACAACCTTGAGGTCGGCAAACGGTAAAATCTGTGACGCGACAAGCCCAGCAATGCCCCGTTCTCGGTCACACCACCAAAATGCGTTGGATAAGCCCGACCATTGACCTGTCTTGTCGGAGCGACCGGTCGGGCCGGGGGTAATCATGAAGCCCAGTCCCCAGCCCTGCGGCGTTGGCAGCGGGCAAGGAGGATAGAAGGCCTCGGCCACATAGACCAGATCCGGCTTTACGGCAGGGAAATGGCGTCTGGCGAAGTTTGGCAGCCATGACAGCTGGTTGGTAAACATGGCTTCAATGGTGGAGGGCGCAAGTATCACCTTACCCGAATGAGATTTGCCGTCTCTGAGCAACATGGCGAGGATTTCTAAGACAAAGGTCAATATGATGATTAGGAACCATGATTTGCGTAGGACAGACTTCCAAACTCTCGGGTGCTCCCGAAAAGTCCTGCGCCGCCGCTATGGAAGCTGTCGGATGCATCTGCCCCCAACGGACGGCTGAGGAGAGGTGTGTGATGAGAGAGGTGGCCCTCTTTGTCGCGTTGCCACATGCCGATGAATCTCTCTTTCATATCCAACGAAGGGATCATAGTCAAGTCCTGGATGCCCAAGGGTTGGAATATGTGGCGATGCATGTAATCACCCAATCTCAGGCCCGTAACTCGCTCAACGGCCACGCCAGCCCAATCCATAGAGATCTAAGACGCGGTTTAGCATGACTATGTTAAACAAGAAATAGTAAATTTACTTACTCCATACTCGAATGCCTCCCCTGGTTGGTTGACAAGAGGTTGCAGAAAGTCGTCCATATGCCCAGAAAACTCGTTAAAATTGACTCCGTTATCGCGATACGTCTTAGAGTAGGTCTGGAGCTTGGCGTTCAGAAATGAGTATCCAAACCCGGCTTTTTCAATTGTCAGAATTGTATGGTCTTCTTCTCTTTGGTTCATATCAAATACCTGTATGAGTCAACAGCATCCGCAACGTGATGCGGGACCGTGCCGGCTCAAGAGAGCCATCCTCTTGTACTACTTTGAGGTCTACAAGCTCCGGGCACAGACCTTCCAACTGGTCTGCATCGTCGAGATGGAGAATAGAGCTCTCAACGAGCTGCATGCAGGCAATGCTAGTGACAAGCTTCGTACACGACGCCAACCAGTAAATATCGTCATGGCCCTCGCAACCCTGTTTCCCCCGCGACGCCGTCGTGGAGTGCGCGAAGAGTTCTGGTTGGAAACCGGTTCCAACAACGACAGTGCTTGCACAAGGTATACTTGCTGGTTTCCCGGTGCAAGCGGCATCGAGAAGGCTGCGAATGTCAGCCATAGCTCGTTTAGAAAGAGATGCATTTGCCATTCTGGCAATTTAGAGTATTTGCACACGTCGTGAACGTCTCGTACAGCTCATCTCATTATTCAGGAAACCCTTATAACTCTTTACAATACATTCCATAATGAACAATACCGCTGTAAAACGATATGGGAAAGGGACAATAGTTGGCGGGTAAAATCCCGAGCGCCGGGCTCCGGATGTGCCATCCCCGGATACAGACCCGGCGCCGGTTTATGACCCACTGAGACAATCCCGCAGTTTCAGCAAGCAGCCATTCGTAATCAGCCTGAAAGGAACGTCAGACAATTCACTGATAACCTTGGTGCACCTTGCGAACTGTTCGCTATCACGATACGGCATCATGGCTGAACAGGTTGATGTACTCATCTGTGGTTGCGGGTCTGCGGGGCTTTGCGCAGCGGTCTGGCTTGCAAGATGCGGCATCAGCTACAAGATCCTCGAGCGCCGAGCTGGCCCGCTCGAGAATGGCCAAGCAGATGGTGTACAGTGTCGGACCGTGGAGATATTCGAAAGCTTCGGCATAGCCGAGGACCTCCTTAAGGAGGCATACCATGTGCTCGAGGTTGCCTTCTGGGCAGCAGAGGGCGAGGGCATTAAACGTACTCACTACGCAGCGGACACGGAGCCAGGCTTGAGCCACCAGCCTCATGTCATCTTAAATCAGGCGAGAATAAATGGCATGTTGATTGAAGAGATACGCCGGGTGTCTGGAAGCGCAGCGATTGAGTACGGATGCGACGTTCAAAGCGTGGAGCTCGACGACGTTGTTGATGAAGGCAATTGTGTTACCACTAGAGCGGTTTCTAACGGGCAACAGAAGGTCTTCCAATCTAAATATGTGCTGGTCAGTTGACTGAACAATCACAAAATTTACCATTTTAATCCTCTGCTAACAATAGATCAGGCCTGCGATGGAGCACATAGCGCAGTTCGGAAATCCCTGGGTATTGCCTTGGTCGGAGACTCGTCAAATGCCATCTGGGGTGTCATGGACCTTCACGCCAGAACAAACTTCCCCGACATCCGGAAAAAGGCAATCATCCACTCACGCACCGGCAATCTCATGATCATTCCCCGCGAAGGTGACTCCATGGTCCGCTTCTACATCGAGCTTGGTGATGCGGTTGTCAAGGACATCACGCTAGCTGACTTACAAGGACGGGCGCGTCGAATTTTCCACCCTTACGCCGTAGAATTCAAGGAGACGGTCTGGTGGTCGGCATACTCGATTGGCCAGCGTCTCGCTGACAGCTTCGCCCAGGCCAGGCGCATCTTTTTAACAGGCGACGCTTGCCACACGCATTCGCCAAAGGCCGGACAAGGTATGAATGTGAGCCTGCAGGACGGCTACAATATTGGCTGGAAGCTGGCATCAGTTCTGCGGGGCCAGTCCTCTGCCAGTATTCTCGACACATATGTCTTAGAACGCCAGAAAACGGCCGCGCAGCTGATCGATTTTGACCGATTCTTTACCAAACTCTTCTCCTCCTCTTACCGACAACAGAATGGAATTTCTTCACAGGACTTCAAGGACCAATTTGTCAAGGCAGGCCGATACACAGCTGGCCAAGGCGTGAGATACGAAGAATCGGTCTTTGTATCTCCCGGCCCGACGGACGAGAGCCTAGCCCGGGGCGTCATCGTCGGCATGCGCTTCCCCAGCGCCCAGGTTGTCCGGTTCTGCGATGCTCGCCCGATGCAGTTGGTGGCAGCGCTGCCCGCCGATTCTCGGTGGCATGTCATTGTGTTTTCAGGAGACATATTGCAGCAGACAGTAGCCGCCAAGCTCTTCAAAGTCCGTCAGACCTCCGAGTACAATAAAGAGGTTCTCCGCTAATAAAATTTATACGAGAGTAGGCTGCAGTAGAATTGCAGGAAATCATCAATACCTTTACACCGAGTGGTCAGGAACCCAATTCTGTCATCCAAGGAGTGCTTGTGCTGGCGTCAAAGCGTACACAGGTTGAGCAGAACATGATTCCAGACGTGTTCACCCCGGTAACGGGAAAATGGAAGATCAAACGTTGGTATTTGGGCTGGCTCCAAGACTTCCCAGGCTAACGTGAACAGATCTTCACAAAGTCTTTGTAGACGACGAGAGTTACAATTCAGGGCACGGGAAAGCATACCAGGCATACGGCATTCATCCTGAGGGATGCTTGATCGTCGTTCGCCCAGACCAATGCAAGTGATGAAACTGTGTACAAGCCAATAAGCCTGAAATGCGCTAACTATGAGTAGATGTCGCAAAGATTTGCACTTTAGATGGCACAACGGATATCCTGAACTTTTTTGGCCAATTTTTAGTTCCTATTCATTCTACCTAGCTGCTACCATTTTCATCCTTTAGAGCGCAAGACGTCGTACATAAAGGCCATGACTACAAGTATTCTTTTTGCCTGCGTTATGCCTTCAAAGAAGCTATATCCCTCTTCTGTAGTATATACCAGCTCGTTATGTTCCGTACGAGTATAGGGCACGCTCAAATAAAATAATCAGCTGGGGTACGCCCCGATCTATTAGTAGCAAGGGCTGGATAAAGCTTTACCCAGCTCGCCGTCAGCAAGCGGGTCCAAGTAATTCGGTGGAACATTGTACAGCAGCTTGCGATGAAAGAAGGAAAAAGGAAAAAGGCAATAATAATAGGATGTAAAGGAGAAGCTGTTTCAGAGACTTCTTCGGAACGGGATTGACTAGACACAAAAAGTAGCTGTCATAATCTTTGCTTGATACATCATATAATGCTACCCTCATGCAACTGTTCGTTACTAGCGCCAACATGAATTGTTTCTATGCAAGAGAGAGGGATAACCAATCATCGCGACTTATGGCAAAACGATTGTGGACTATACGGTAACCCCCCTAGTAAGTTAATATTATAATTCTAAATGAACAGGATTACTGGCTATAGGCCCCTTTGCGTTGGCGCCTCCACAATCCTGATGGATCCCGTTAGCCTTTACATCACTTCACTTTACAAAATAGCTCTTAATAGCGGCCGAGTGAGAGATTTGTTGGTCCTGACAGATAATCCTACAGAGCTTAATGCCAGGGAACCTTGTCAAACCCACTGTACCCTAAACTCTACCTAGGTACTTTAATGGAAATTCTTCCTCAATAAGCCAACTGTGCTGCCTCGAGAGATACTTGGAATGCGGTTACTTGCCTACAGCCGGGAGAAATTTTACTACACCTTACTCAGTTCAAATCTGGCTTCGTGGGATGAGTTCCATACCAAACGAAGAAAATCTATTCTTAGATGTAGTTGTATATCACATCAGTGGTAACGCGAGTTGTATAAGCGCAATACATGTCTTTTCAAGCAAAGATTACCTGAAATTTAACATATCTTTGGGATGAATATATCCAGTGAGCAGGTCTGTCGGTTGTTCTTTCTTGAACACCTCTGAATGGCTTTTCCTTGTGATTTTCCTAAAGGCGGCATGGGCTGCAGGGGGTAGCCTTTCAAATTTGTCAAGTGCTTCGTTCTCACTGTAGGACAGTTAGAGGGCTACAAAAAGTGCATATGGGCATGGAAGACTGTATAATATTGCGCTAATCCAATAAAGGCGCAGCCATCCGTTGCAGTGCGCAAATCAGGCCAATCAGTTATTGCTAAGAGTCTAGCAGCGGCGGTAAAGATTCCGTTCTTGCCGATAGTGTACCATCCATGTCTTCAGGGAACTCGCACTTGCTTGATTCGAGTTGCAATCCAGCCGCCCTTTCTTAAGCAAACTATCGCCTCGTGCCTATAAACACGCTATACGCCCCCGGTCAAATGCGCCTGGACACATTTAATTACAGAGCCGCTCCACCATAGCCTCTGAATCACTTTGAGCTTCTTGATGCAGCTCTATCAATACTGTACACAGCAGCGAACTCAGTAGTTACAATGGCTACGCAGAAACACACATATTCAACTCTTCCCACAGAAGAGCCCTCCTCGCCTCCGCCGTACGAAGCACACACACAAACAGAAGAAGGAACGCGGTATATGGTGGCGACTCTTGTTCTTACTATAGTGCCTACTATAACTGGACTCATCTGGTGGTTTTCTTGATGCACATGCATACGGAGATGCTCAGGCAGACTACCGAAACGATGCTGTGCTGAGATTTAGGTAGAAGTTTCGGGCTGCAGAGACACGCGAGTGGGTTGAACATCAACCCAAAATACATTATCACAGTGTATCGAAAAGCTTTAAGGATTCTTTCTGTTACAGGAAACCTGAAAAACACTTACTATATAAGACCTTTTATTATACTCATTAGATGGAAGCTCAACTATAGCCTTTATACAACAGTTTGATCTAGCTATTTCTGAACTAGAATCATCGGCTACGTGACTAAAAATGCTCCTAAAGTTAAGCTGATCTCTCTGCTAATATAAATCGACTTGGATTTTGTACTTGGATACTATTTTATACCTTGGTATAAGACTAGTAGCATAGACCAGAATGTTACAGTACCATTTCCAGTTTGGAATGTTATTAATACAGGTACAAGTCGCGAACTATTCTGTCTCTACTACAGGATCTACTATAGAAAAACAATCTCGGCACAACAACAACTTGATAAGCCTTGGATTTTCTTCGATCCAAAATAGCCCTTGTTGGAGATAACATTTTACATCATAAACACAATGTTCCAACATGAATTAATGATTAGCTGACTTTTACACCCAATTTACCTTCTGCCTTCTAGAGTTAATGCTCTATTAAAACTATTCATGTACTTTATAAACCAAGTTTTAAGCAAATCATCCAGAGATTCTTCACTTTTGTAAACGAACTGTTGTCTGTTGCGTCAAATTATAATTCGTGTCTCCTACTGAAACTAGCGCTACAGTCGGATATTCCGTGAAAAATACCCAGCAACCGAACTTCATTGCCGCTCCAATAAACTTTTAGTAGCGTTTTGCAGTTACATGGGCTTCCCTTTCCTTGCTACCATCCTGTGAGACAAGCCGTGGGGAAAGGGGGTAATGACCTACATCATACAACAGTTCAGGGGCCGGTTCGGGAGACGTCAATAGAACTTGACCTGGGTGGGAACTCTCTCGGTCCAAGATAGAGCAATCGGTATTTTTCGTATTGCATTTGAAACATTAACTAGTGGGCCTCTCTATTTGCTAACTGTAACAAGCTAGCTGGGCACTACCACTGGTTAATAATGGGGCAGTTTCGATCAGATAGCGGCAAACCCACTGGCTAATGTTTCCAGGAAGTACGGTACTACAGCCTCACCTGACACTTCAGCAGCTAGTCTACCAACTGCTTTACTCAGGAGTGGTGGAGTCGAACGGGTGGTTCAACATGTGATTTCGAATACGATTCTCAGATTAAGTATCGGAGTTGTGGCGGTGCCGTCCTTTTATCTCGGGATATGGACTACTATCTTACACCTTGTGAACATTCGGCAGTAAAGGCCGAGACACCAGCTATGTGGTGGGTTTTCTCGAAGTTTTCGATTTCCCCCCAATTTTAGAAGTGTTCTATTCTATTCGCACGATAATGTGTACTCGATGCAAGGATGCTCTTACACGTGAATTAGTTCGTATAAAGAGTGTCGGCCGCCGCCTGTCTTAGACTTGAATATTCCATAGAGCTTCTTCTCTACTGAGCTAATCTTCCATCGAAACTCTGACATTCTTTTTAACTGTGACACCCAATTACAATTGTGACGTTTTTTACCATTGTGACACTCAACACTCATTCATAAATTGGAATATTCGCCATCATGCCTTCCTTTGGATTCTTCCTCGCCATGTTGGTAGCTACGGCAGCTGCAAAGCCTACGTCTATTGACCCCCGAGCTAGCTGCACCTTCACCGACGCTGCAACAGCAATCAAACAAAAGACGTCATGCAGTACCATCACTTTGAATGGCGTTGCTGTTCCGGCTGGACAGACTCTGGATCTAACTGGCCTCAAAGACAATACCAAGGTTTGAATGCCATATTACTCTTGTTGTGTTGGATGCTAAATGTCCAATTCGAAATATAGGTTATCTTTGCCGGAAAGACCACCTTTGGTTACCAGGAATGGGATGGCCCTCTCATTTCAATCTCTGGCAATGGGATTCAGGTTCAAGGTGCGTCTGGACACACTATTGACTGTGCTGGCCAACGATGGTGGGATGGTAAAGGTTCCAACGGCGGAAAGACAAAGCCGAAGTTTTTCAGTGCTCATAAACTCAAGAACTCCAACATCAAGTCACTTAATGTCTTGAACACACCAGTTCAAGCTTTCAGCATAAACTCCGTGACTGATCTTGGCTTGTACAATATCAACATCGACAACTCTCTCGGAGACACCGAGGGCGGCCACAACACGGATGCTTTCGACGTTGGCTCTTCGACCGGCGTGTATATTTCCGGAGCTATAGTGAAGAATCAGGACGACTGCTTGGCTATTAACTCCGGTACCAACATAACTTTTACTGGCGGTAACTGCTCCGGTGGGCATGGCCTATCCATCGGGTCGGTTGGTGGCCGAAGCGAAAACACGGTTAAAACTGTTCGCATTTTGAACTCAAAGATATCCAACTCGCAAAACGGCGTTCGTATCAAGACAGTTTCTGGAGCGACTGGTTCTGTTTCTGATATCGTGTACGACAACATCTCCTTGTCCAACATTGGAACCTATGGTATTGTAATTGAGCAGGATTACAAAAATGGTGGGCCAACTGGCACGCCTACTGCTGGCGTTCCAATCACTGGTCTTACTGTTAATAAGGTCGTCGGCACAGTTCAGAAGAGTGGTACAAATGCCTACATTCTATGTGCTGCTTGTTCCAACTGGACCTGGACAAATAATGCAGTTACCGGAGGCACGAAGACTAAGACAAACAAGGGCATTCCCAAGGGAGTTTCCATTTAGAGGATTCATTAATCTTTCTCTTCTCTTTCTTTCTTCCTTCTATATGCATATACATATGTGTATGTGTGTGTGTGCATAGCTTCTGATGACATACAAGGTCATTTCAATATATAACTAGATACGACTGTAAAAGTCAGGTCATTGCACTTATATTAGTATCAACTACCTAATAATGTTTCCCTCTTGTTTTATCATTCCCTATCATTCGCTGCCACGTTACTACGCTTGAACCATTGTAAGTGATAGATAAGCGGAGTGCTTAAACTTCCTAGAGAGGAAATAGTCTAGAGTGCTAGTTTCAGTCACTTTTCTGCCCAGCTCTGGCATCTCGACTAGCCCACTTCGTAGCTGTTGCCCGCTCCCCAGGTGGGCCCGCCTCGGATTTGTCCTCTTGACAATGTCCTGGAAAGATTTCAAGATGTAATTAGTATTATATTCAAAGGTCTTAGTTTATTCTATAAGTTGGGAGGCTATAGTTAGAGTGTTGTTCTAAGAATACCACGATTTGCCCGCAATCGCTGTCAAGACCGGGCTGTCGTTCTAAGCCGACCTCCGTCTATTGATCGTTATTAATTGGGAAAAGGCTGTTCATCAGGCGCTTGATCCAGTCTCAGATTATATGGTATATCAATCGCTGCTAATCGCGACGGCGACAATAGATACCCTATGCGATATGGAGAGTATTAAGAGCTCCGGGGCTGATCATGTTTACTTGGCATTTCTTGAGCTAAGAATAGATGCTAGTCAGTCAGCATCGTGCCTCGAAGGATCAGCCACAAGTGGGGCTTGGCTTGGCTGCGATGTTGCACACTCCAGTCCATTGCATTCACGTTCTCTCAAAGCTGGGAGTTTGCCTCATTCTTTATTGCTTTTGATGCCCGAGACATGCCTGTAACGAGAGCTACTGCGAACAGGAGCGCCTCTACCGTAAGAAAGGCCAAGTCAGCCCCGGCGGAGGTCTCAAAGCCATCACGCGAACGCAAAGCGAAAGTCACTAAAAAGACCGGCCCCGTGAAAGTAAACAAAGGGAAAAGTGATGAAAGTACGACGTTTCACCTGAGCATTGGATCCAAGATCCCATCAACTGATAATTTCGGAGGAGAACTATATTTCTGTGATGGAACCAAAACATCGTTGAAACAGCTGGTGGATAAGAGTCGCAACGGGGTGATTGTTTATGTATACCCAAAGCCTTGGGATGACGATGGTATGGGACAGGCACTCAAGTATCTGTCTTGTATTTTGTATTAACCATTTCGCTAGCATACGAAGTATACGGGGAGTTTGAACACGCCCAACTAGACTGGGAGCCGGCAGAACTGGACACGATAGGCGTCTCACCAGATTCGGCATCATCAACTGCTGCGTTTGTGAAAGAGAAAGACACTCGACTGCCTCTCCTCAGCAATCCAAGCGGATCTTTGTCCAAAGCAATGTCACTTACTTCGCCCAGGGGAAACATGATACAAGGGGCTTTTATTATCTCGAAATCAGGGATTCTTCTCGCACGTACGACGGGAAATCACCATAAGGTTCTTGATAATTTACATAAAGTAATAGTTACAGTGATTGAACAACGAGAGGAGGAGTCGAATGAGTAATTATTGAAACTACTGATACGAATGGTTATCGTCAATATACAATATCACCATATGGCTGTCATTGTATCGGAAAGTTGTTGCATAAGATTCACGAATTTGCCAAATCACTTTCAATCGGGCATGATCATGAAAATGAGAGTCCCACTGCTATAGAGGGAACAGTGCTAATTTGAAGGAGATATATACATCGTTAGAGCGGCCGATGCATCGCATTTACCTGTAGTTATCGTCCTCGTGTTCCCGATTGACTTTTGCGAAGCTGTCAAGATTACTTGTGAGATCCAAAATTTCTGATACAGCTTTCTCCCCACTCACCAGAGCTTCAGTTTTAATACGATAGTTGCTGCTACGAGCTGGGCAGAAGTAGCTTGAAGTTTCTCGACCAGTAAATTGAATGTATTAGATTAGGTAGCAGAAGTTGATCTGTCAAGGCCAGAAGGTGCCTATTCATGGAGTCGCTTCTTATAGCTAATCAAGTGGGAAGCCAGTAGTTGTGATTCATAGCGATTTCACTGGCGATAATTCTCATTATGGCTTTAGAGTACTGAAGCATTGTCACCGATTACATTCTTGAACCAAGTATTCTGTAGAAGCCTTGGCCTAAACCGTTGTGAAGCGCACAACCCAGAGAACGGAGAAAGATTGCCATCATTCAGCAATTGCTGGATAAAATGGTTCCGACCAGGTATGAAATAGAAAGTTGGACTCAAACTAAAGCTAAAAAAGCAAGTCTTGTGTAAAGTGATATAGTCTTTAGCCAGGGGTGTAGTATCAAACAGTGAAGCGATTTCATGTCAATGCCAAACTGTATATTCAACGTTTGGTCACTATAATACAGCGCTTAGAGGCTGATTTTCAACCCTAGCTCACTATAACATTAGCTAGGTATACTTACTTACCTACTGAGCTACAGCGCTTATTATTGAGGCCCGAAATATCGGTCTAGTCAAGTGCTGTTAGTTACAAGAGCAGCCAGCTTTATACAATAGGCCGAATCCGGTGCTGTGACCTACCTGCATGTGTACTTTGTGTAATCGCTTCTATTTTGGTAGAGCGCGCCGTGGCGGCCTTTCAAACAAGATCAATGAGATACTAAACTGCACACTCCAGTTCGTATGAAGCAACTACGGTTACTATTTCATAAATGAACAGTTCATTTGATATACCAGATTCAAGATTGTTGAAGTTATATTACGTTGCCACATCGGAATGATGATAGAATGGGATTTCTTTGCAGGTGCGTTTAGAAGATGTAACGATCATAGTAGATATTCCCAATTCATACTATCACCTAATCTGAAAATGCTCGATGCGTTTTCAGGCTCTTTACCACTCGCTCAATGTGAGCCAAGTCTCCCGATTGCTCACACAATTGCCGAAAGAAAGCTCTGTCTCCTTGCTTATGAAGAAGTTCAGCGACTGGCCCCTGTTCTACAACTCGGCCGGAATCCAAGACGACCACACGGTCATAATCTGCAATAGTCTGTAGGCGGTGGGCAATAGTCAAAACGGTAGTCCCGGCCGCAATGGTCGATCGCAGTCCTGCCTGGATCAAAGCATCTGTGTCGTGATCGATAGACGCTGTTGCTTCGTCTAGGACCAAAACCCGAGATCGACGGAGAAGTGCCCGCGCGATACAGACTAACTGACGCTGACCCATCGATAAGGCCGCAGCCGGATGATCTAGGTCTCCTGATGGAAGAGACTGAAAGAATTGCAACCTCCTGAGAACGTCGCGGAGTTCGTCGTCAGTATACTGTCGCAGTGGATCTAGGTTATCGCGCAAGCTGCCGTCGAAAAGAGTGGGATCTTGCGGTACCACAGTCACCGCTCGTCGTAAGCGATCCAGATTTACCGACGCAATACTGACACCGTCAATAGTGATACGTCCTGCGTCAGCTTCAACTGCACGAATAAGGGCCAGTGCCAATGTACTCTTGCCTGCCCCTGTGCGCCCAACCACCGCCACCCGTTGCCCAGCGTTCACATCGAAATTCAAGTCCACCAGCACTGGGTCAAGCTCCGAAGCATATCGTGTGGTATATTCTTGGAAACTCACATTGCCATGAGCAGGCCAATGAGGCGATAGATTGTACGGTGATGTCTCAAGTGGCTGGCTCGGCTCCTGCTTGATGTCTGTGTACTCGACAATACGCTCGACTGAATTAAAGCTCTGTTGAACTATCGCGTATAGTTGGACAAACCAAAGAACGTTGTCGCTAAAAGTAGCAGCGTATGTGAGTGCTAGACCAGCGATTCCTGGGCCGACAGTTCCGCTATCCATGCGCCAGAGCAGGAACGTACCCGTCAGCCAAGAAATCAGAGCGCTCAGACAGGCGATACGTAGCGTCAGCCATCCTTTAGCTGCCCAGAGCAAAACATAAGGCTGGTTATATCCATCAATGAGCATCTGATTTTCTTTTTTATATCGCTCGATTTGCCCGTAGGCACGCACACTGATATAGCCGGCAAGTGCCTCTCCAAAATGCTGATACAAAGGAGATCTCTGAACAGACTCAATTCTCTTCAGATCTCGTGCACTGTTGATGTATATAACAGTGATGATGTAATAAGCAAAGCAAATGATAATGGCTATTGGGAGAAAAACAGGTACCGTAACAGATATCAGTATAATACCTGTAGCAAGGGAACAGAAAGTGTAAAAAGTGCTCATTGAGTGGGGAGCAACTTCTTGGTCGACTGCTTCGACGTCCCTTGAAAAGCGATTTGTGATTTGACCAAAGGGAACCTTGTCGAAGAACGTCAAGCGAGCATGAAGAGTAGAATCCAACAAGCTATCGAACAATCGGGCTGAGGCTTTGAGTGCCCCAGAGAAAGTCATGAGATCACGGACAAACGAGACAAGAACATATGCCAAGCAGATGAAGCCATAAACAGCAAGGTAGTAAACGGAGTTTACGTGCCTAGTATCTCCTTGAGAATTTGCCGAAGCTTCCACTAGCTGGTCGAACTGATGCGCCCATGTTTTGACCCAGAGATTCGTCCCCAGAGAAGCAAACTGCTGAAGAGTGAATGCAAGGAATACAATTGTCCAGAATCTCCGACTGCCCATAGACGTAAGATATGCTTTGATGACAGAGAGAGAAACAGCTCCGGTCCCCATTTCTTCGTGATAAACCGGTTCGACTTTGGCTGCTGAAGATGCATCCACACCCCCCGAGTGACTATCCGATGTTTCTTCTTCTTCTTCAGATACTTCCGGTTGTATCCCTGTATAAGCAGCTGTTTGTGAACGCTGTGCAAAGTACAATGACTCTAAACTGTTGTCCGGTCTGGCAACGAGTCCATTTGCCTCGATAATACCCAACTTTAAAAGTTCTGAAACACCTCCCTGTTGCTTTACATTGCCATTGTTTAAGAAGACCGCAAAGTCACAATGGGGAAGAACAAGCTGAGCATGGTGTGTCGCAAGAATGCACGTTCTTCCTTCCATCAAAGGACCTTTAATTGCATGTAAAAGTATATGCCTTCCAGTACGCGAATCAAGTGCACTGAGACAATCATCCAAGAGAAGGAATGGAGCAGGACTATACAATGCCCTTGCTAATGCGACTCTTTGTTTTTGGCCACCAGACAAGCGGCTACCGCGTTCCCCCGCGATGACAAGATCACCGTTCTCAAACTCCGCAAGATCTCGATTCAAATCCACCGCATCAAGAACCATCTTGTAGCGGTGGTTTTGCAATGGCAACCCAAACAAGATATTGGCTCGGATTGTTTGGTTCATAATCCAAGGTTCCTGCGGACAATATGCTGCGTTGCTAGTCAGAGAATCAGTGTCGATCGGCTGCTGTGCCAGAGGTAAATGTACACGGCCTCGGAGGAGCTCCATCTCCCCCAGTAGTGCCAACAGCAGTGACGACTTTCCAGACCCGCTAGGCCCGCAGACGACATTTAGGCCATCTTTTTGAAACTTTATCTCAAGCTTTGATAATCTAAATGCCTGTGCGGGTGAAGATTCGGTGTGTTGGATGTCTTCGCTAGCACTGGGCTCACCATCGCCTTGAGTTGGCCATTCAAAGGTGGCATTTTCGAATCCAATTATCACTCCATCGCCTTCCATGCGCTGATTATGTCGACTACTTCCCCTTTCATTCAAGAACTTTTCAATGCGGCTGATAGATACATGTGCCTGAAGAATAAACGATATCATGGCCGCCATTCTGTCGAGTGGGATGCGTAGAACTGCAAATATTGCTAGAGCCGGAAAGGCAGTCTTTGTTTCCAATGGTTTGCCTTCAACAACAGTGTAGATGAACAGAGTCAAGATTGTAGTGACAAAAGGTAAAGAATAAAATACGGTCATGGATACCGACCACCAGAAGAAACGGATACGCAGTTCTAAGAGCTCCAAGTTTCGCAAGCGACCAACTTTCTTGCGAAACTCTTCTTCCCATGCACAGAGCTTGATGACTCGGATATTCGTAATGAGTTCGTTACTCGCCTGCACGCGAGAATCCGCTGCGCCCAACACCTTCATTTGAGCTGCTACCTGGCGTTTCGATACCAAGACGTTCAATGGCAGAAGAGCAATCATCAAGATCACACCTAAGATACCACTAAGCCCAAGTATGCTGTACAACACCAAACATGCAGTCGTAATCTGGAGAGGAAAATACCCATGCGAGGTGCATGTGAGCACCAATTTCGCTGACACTGGCGGCATCAACGGCCATCAAATTGAGAATATTTCCATCCGTGGCACTAGTATTCTGCGAGGAGTTTCCTTGATCTTCTGATCCCTTTGTAGGCTTCGTGACTCTTCTATTTAGTACTTTGGTGAAAATAGCGTCGATGAGAGTAGCCCGTAGCCTTACGCTAATTTTGCGACCCAGCCATTCACACTGGCATTCAGCAATACCAGTCGTTATTCCGGCGATAAGAAGCCCTGCAACACAGAGCCAAGCGCTATTCCGAGACGTGATACTTGGTGATTCCAGGTAATCAAGGAGGAAGCGAAGGAAAAACGCCGGGCAAAAGCTCACTAGGCTAAAAAGGACCGCCCACGCGCCCTGTTTGAGCAGGTCATATTTTGCAAAGTAATACAATCTCCAGAGAAGTTTAAGCGTAGCAGAGGCGCCATTTCGGAATCGCCGACTTGTGACCAAAGCCGTGTCATTCCAGTTGAGAGCATACAGGTCGGAGGTGTTCAACTGATCTCTGAACGCTTTCCAGATCACAGAGTTTACCCAGGAAAAGGTCCATCGGGATATCAGACTTGCTGAACTTTCTTCCCCTAGTTGAGTATGCTCGTGCAATCTTCCCAAACTGGACCGCACGATAACGTTCGGCGCTGTGATATGGAGCAAAAGAACAAGTGTAAAGAGAGCATCCACAAGTACAGCGGTGAGCGGCCAAGCCTTGTCCATCGGACTTGTGAATGTCGAGAGTACGATGAAGACAAGGCATAGCCAACCTGATGCATAAAGCGCACCAGCATGAGACCGGACTAGGTTCTGAGCCTCCGGTGAAAAAGAGAGAGCCCATTGTCGCACGCCCCACAAGCCGAAACAGTATATGGAAGAGATGAGAAGCCCGAGTGGAAGGCTTTCCAATGATGATCCAAGGTACGCAATGGAGGAAAGAATTATAACTACAATTGCCACAAGCAGCAAGCCTTCTAGCCAGCTAAGCCGCGGACCATGGGCAGCAACTCCTTTGACAGCGTTTAGGTCGATTTGTTGATGAGAATCCGAATTTGCTACCGGTTCAAACCCATCTGACTGGCGATAAAGACGCCGCCAATGTTGAAATGCAGGGAATATAAGCAGCGCAAGGGATATAAATACTGTCGCAAATGGAATGACATTTTCCAGATACTGTTGTCGGGCACAGGTTGAGAACCCGCCATTTTCCCAGACTGGTACGGGACAGCTTAGTACTGAAGCAGACATAGTCCAGTCTATGACAGGCGATAAAGAGATAAAGAACTAAGGGTTGACGTAGATGTGGTGCTAGAGAAATAGTACAGCTGTCACTAGAAGTATTCACACGATATGATGTTGCCTAGAGCTCTTCGGGTGTTGCCTAGGGCAAAGCCTGCTGCCTTGAAGAAGGCCGATGAACTTCCCGTCAAATGGATACGATTTTTTGACATTAATCTCTGTCAGCAGTTACTCATATTGCGCCGTGATATCAAGGCTTCTAAGAAAGTATTGCTTTTGTACCCAAGTCCCTGTCGAGCCTATTTACTGATTACCAACGTAAACGTCGCGATATAGCAAAATAAAGAGGGTAACCACCGCTGTTCCCGTATAGGCAGTAGTTCCGTTATGGCCAAATTGAGCGGTCCGGCTTTTGAGCTAGCTTTGTCTCAAAAACATCTAGGTAATACCAGGAACAAGAGTTGGGGTCGTAGGAAAATGCATTGCCTGCTGGGTCTTTGATGAGGGTTAATTTTTGGTGAACTTTGCTGAGCAGCATCCCGTAGAAGAATATTGTTATGGTGGAAACGGCAGCCAAAATCCCAGCCCCATTACACCCGTCGCTCTTTCCAGATAATTCTTCAGAGGCAATTCGAATAGTCTCTTTATTAATAGCGATGATCTCAATAGATCCATACTGTCCCCATTTGCCCCCGAATGACGAAGATGCGGCCTGAGGGAAAGCGAAAACGCTGGAATAGTTTTTGATGCGGCCAATCGTAATCAGTCAAAGGCGAATACTGAGCAGAGGTGGGTCAAGCGGTTCCTTGGAACATTACAACAGGGCGCAACGGGAAGACGCCTGGTCTGCCCACCGTTGTGGATCTGCATCAGTATGCTGACTTTTCTTTCCAGTCCAAAGTTCCTCTCTCAGAGAGGTCGGATGATGGGTTAGAAAACAGGCTCCTGCAGTCGCTAAATTAGGCAGCCTCTTAGTACAACGCCTGTAAGGCTTGTGAGGGGCTAGACCGGGAGGATATGATTGATACATGACAGACTGGTCCAGGCGAACTCGCCATCAGTCAGCTGTTCATTATCGTAACATGTCCTTGAATCTGACTCGGCTCGAAGACAGACCCGGATGATACCCTAGAGTCGATTACAATCCGTTGAAATGAACTTGTTGCTACCCCATTCTGGGTGACAAAATGGCCTTTCCGAATGTAAACGATCTTGCACCGATGACTTATTATTATTATTGTTTAAATCTAGCAAACAGCTATTTCTGTAACTAGAAAAACCTTTATCTAGCGATTCAATTCTTTTTTGTATAGTGTATAGTATGTAATATGGTTTGTACTTTGTAGTATTAGCTACTAATTCCAAGACTCATGTCCAGAACCACCACTCTACCGGTTCTCTAAACATGCTCAAATCTCATTCTTCTTAATCATGAAGCTACCCCGTCTTCCAGTGCCGGCTATGTGCCGAGATCCGCTTTCCCGTGCGAGACTCAGGTACCACCCAATCAATGACTACAGTCGCATAGCCTACAGCCAATGTTTTGTAGTAGTACTGCCGAAAGCCTAAATAACGCCACTTATAAATACTGCAGCAAAAGAAATAACGATGTGCAACTTTCTCCATCCCAACCCCAACATACTAATATCTGACCGGGGCGAAACAAGCTTTGATCTCCGCATACCTTACTCTTATTATTCGTTTATTCAATGAATAGAGTTCTAACCCCTGCCAAGCAGAAGATTCCCGTCGGCTCGTCGGTCTATCCTTTTGAATATGGTCTCCTTCAATAACCCATCTTAGTGTCTGCAATGTCGCTTCATCGTTTTTTTTTTTGTTTCCTTATGCATACAAATTTAAGATTTTGGGTCCCCCAATCTACTCCATTACATTTATCACAGGTCTAAGTCAGCCTCAGATTACTTCTAATTTGCTCTCCATTTTCAAGTTGTTTGTATATTGTCATGTATTCTGAGTCTAGGCTGGTGACCTATTTTACAAATACACTAGCTCCAACTGGCCTCTCCCGTTTTGAAAGCTCCTTTCACACATTCTATGCTAAACGAGCTTTTCACTCATAGACGTTGATAGTAATAGGCATGTTGAAATCGAGCTCGCCGATGCAGATTTGGAACTAGACATATTTGTCAGGCAAAGAAAATGCCAAGGAAAAATAGATCAACTTACTCCGTTGTTGTTGTTGCAGCAGATAATAGTCTGGTCGCACGCAGTGGTGTTGGAGCAAGTGTGACCTGCAAGACATCAGATCTGATCGTTGGTGGAAATGTCACTCATCACTTACCGCCATTTCCATCGCTGCTGCAGCAGTATGGGCTACCTGCAGAACAAGCATTCACCTGAGTGTTAGAGCCACAGTCGCTTCCGCTTCCGCTCGCGCTTGCGCTTGCGCTTTCTGGAATCCAAGTCAGATTTAATATTTTCGTGATATTATAAAAACTCACTGCCCATTGCGTTGCTGTCCTTGTTACGGACCGGCATCTTTGGGAACGGAATGTCTGCCACGCTGGGTGTACGAGGTCCGATGGCTCGAGCTTCAACCTCAGGCTCCTGGACTGGAGATGCCATGATGCCGTTGAGGGCAACAAGGGTGTAAAGGATCATAGAAGCATACATGATTAAGGCTTGGGAAGTTGATAGGCAGATATCTAAAGAATGAGGTCGGTTGATTGTACTGAGTAGCCTAAGGAATCATAGAGAGGAAAACGATGTATTTATACAGAATGCGAATAACTTGAGGGATTTTATTGTTTGCAATTATCCTGCTGTAGGAGGATAACGTGCACACAAGAAGCAAATGATCAACCAAAAGTCCAAGAAGCAGTCACTGTATAGAATACGTAAACATGACTAGTTACGTTATATTTACTAACTTTGTCACGCTTCCTGCACATTACAGAGTTAATGCCCCCCAACAATGGCCATTGAATTTTCCAAAATTGTTGAAATTGTAGTATGATGACGATTTCTCATTAAACGAATATTGACGTTTACTACAAGCCGCTGCTCAACATTAAATGCCTGTTAAATTTTCGCATACTAAGAAAGAATACTCAATTATGTCATATTACTGAACGACTCGGAGAGTTCGGCCTAATGCAGCTTCTAAACCTTCAGCTTGCGAAAAGATACAGCTATTCTACAAGACTAGATGAAAACAAGAAACACAAAGATTTGTTGCATGGAATAATATCTCACCGCTACACGTGCGAAGACTCGGCTAATATCATATTGCATCACGATATCTCTCTTTCTGCAAGAGCCAAACTTAAAACACTAAGCCAGTACCTGCTTTGATATAGCCACAGCCATTGAACTATCGACGTGGACCAATAACACCCATGGGCTCGTCTGCAGCACGAATTTCTGACTGCATATTGGTACCTGAATCTATATAGAATAAAGTTAATACTGTAGGAAGTAAGTTCAGTAGTAGCTTGGATGTGAATTTTATTTTCTCGCAAGATTTCGGCTTGTCGCCACTTCGTATTTCCCTACATCGCATTATCGGGATGCTAAATACTGTTTTCGCGAAACTCATACAAAATCTCTCGACAGAAAAGTATAAAGAGGGCCTCTCTGCCCTCTTCAAAATCTTTTTTTCCATCCTCAGACACTCACTCAACAAAGCAATCACTACAACAACACTTTTCAATCTTTTTAGATCAAAACCACTTCCACCTTTCAAAATGCAATTCACTACTGCCATCGCTCTTCTTCTCACCGCCGCCACCGGTGCCATCGCAGCTCCTGGCGGCCACGGCGTTCACACTCCTCCTCCTCCTCCCCCTCCCCCCCAGAACGTTGGTACCAACACCAACTACCAGTCCAACAACTGCGGCAATGGTGCTTCGCCATACTGCTGCAGCGCTGAAACCGATGCTCTGGGCTCAAGCTACTGGGAGTGCTCTAACATCAATGATACTTGCAACTCTATCACTGTTTGCTGCAACAACAACAACCAGAACATCAACCAGCAGGTATGTCCTAAAACAACTTCAATCTCAACTACGTCTGCGACTACTTTTAAGTGCATCATACGTGGTCCACATATCGAGTAAACTCATTGACCGCAAAATATAGGGAGACCACAACAGCGAGGACAACAACAGCGGCAACCAGTCTTGCAGCGCCTTTGGACAACAGAAGGTTATTTACAAATAAATTCGTCTGTATAAGTCTAAGGACTGCAGCAATCTTATTCACGAGTCTTCTAGTCTCATAAGATAAGCACAGCCTAATTTACCAGCAACGGATTTGGGCTCAAAAATGTGAGATATTGTGTTGAAAAGGGGGATTTGGTTCTTTTCTATTTGGGTCGAAAGATAACTTGTACCAAGTAATCTTTACTACCCAGCTACTTTCTTTAACACTATTTTGGCCGATTTAGTTTACAAAAATAAAAAAGGATTGCTTTGAACCTTCCAGATTATGGAAACCGGTGAACTGCTTGATGTCTCTAGGCGGTGAGTCGAGTTAACGATAAAACCATTTGCTTTGTTCGTTTAGGAGCTACCTGAGCTCAGCACCTACTCAATCGGATCAAACAGACAAGTCAGGAGTGATAGTAAAAACCAATTATCTCTTAATTACTTGCCATCGAACAATCTTATATCATCTCATAATAGTAACATACGAAGATCTTGCAGTTGGTAATAAGATATTTTAGAATACCGAGCGCACAATGGAGGTATTGAGTAGATCATATCTAATGTAACTGCAAGCAGACAAGTCACTGATCAATGTCTTAAAGCTTTTAGTCAAAAGGTCCAGCCTCTAATGACTATTTTTTTGTCTCATGTCCTACATGACAGCTGCGCTAAGCACATGGAACAGCAGGCAAGTACTATCCTGCTGGAAGCGCCAAGCGTAGCGTTGATTCAATATGTAATTTGGTAAATGAGGTACGTCAAGAACTATATAAGCTATTAGTACGAAGCATCTAGCGTGACTTGGGTATATTGAGTTATTGAGCGAGACTGCTTGTAGTTGTGAAATTACGGACTAAGTATTGAAGCGTAGGTGGTGGTAATCTATTAGCCTATGTAGGTGGTCTCAATTTCGCCATGAAGCACTCAAGAACAACTCATTAGTATTCGAAGATATAGTATTTGTAGATGTTTAGAGCAAAAAATTATATAGTCCATTAAAAGTTTCTCTTCCAACTGTCCAAGGCCCGTGACTTCATACAAAGCATGAAACGCGTTGAACGAAATCGGAGCTTCGTTCCGCGAAGACAAAATGCCAATATAATAAAAGATGAGAACAAATAAAAAGAAGTATAAGAAATGCGGGCTTGATGTTTTTCAAGGCTACCTAGGTAGCTAGCGATTGCGCATCAGACTTTAGTCAATCGCTGCTCTTTAGTTTTCAGTACTTTAGCCACAATATAAGACACGCCAGCACTCATAACAAGCGTAGCAGAGAAGATGAATCCATCAGAAAACTTATTTCCCGGCACGTTGATAATGGTCCCCGCAATAGGGCTGCCGATTAAGATACCGAGTGCGGCAAGGAAAAATGACTGTCCCATCCAAGTGCCGACCAATTTCATGTCAGGCGTTAGAGAGGCGACAATAGCGGAGGGCAGCGAGACAACTGCCCCAGAAACAAATCCGTATAGAATGGCAAATACAAGGATGCCGCCCAAGTTCTTGATAACAATTGCAACATAGCCAAGGATACCAGCGATCAAGGTACATGCGATAGCTGTTTCTAATGAACCGTACTTATCAGCTATCAGGCCGGGAATTATTCGTCCAAAGATTGAAGTTGCGTTCAAGATTGCCAAAAGATAAAACGATAACGTAGCGTCCACGTTTGCATGTCGCTGCGCCCAGATAATGATGTAGAAAATCGGTATGTATAAACCTGCAAAAGACAAGAAGAGACCAAGACTGTAAAAGGAATATGGCATGTTTTTGAAAGCGCGTAGATCGAGTAATGCACGGGCTTGCTTAGGCGGAGGTATTCGGGTTCTCATAACCGCAATACTAATCATAAGTGTTGCCAAGGAAATAAAGCCGAGGACTCTGGTAGCCCAAGGAAAGCCGATTGTAGGCTGGAGCCGCTCAAAGACAATGGGATATATGACACTTCCCAGACTGCCACCAGAAGCAGTAATTCCAATAGCTAGGGCCCGCTTGCTTGTGAAGTATGTAGCAACAATAGCCACACTAGGCAAGAAAATAAAGCCAGTGCCAAGGCCAACAGCCAAGCCTTGGGCGAGGAATATCTGATAATATTTCGTTCCCAAACTTTGCATCATGGTACCGAAGACTGTGAAAAAGGTACCAACAATGATGAGTGTTCGAGAGTAGCCGCGGTCAAAGATTGGGCCCACAATGACACTAAGTGCCACGAGCAAGAAGGCCTGAAAAGTGCCGATCCATGAGATATCAGAAGCATTGGACGATTTCAGAAGATCATCCTGATAGTAGGTCTGAAAGACACCAAAGGAGTTCACGAGTCCCCTATTTCAGCAATGGTTAGGGAAGAGGTAAACCAAGTAACTATGGTGGAAAACAATAACTCACCATGAATTGGAAAAAAGAAAATGCGCTCCAAGCACTTGGATCCAGGCCTTAAGGCCACCATTTGGGGGAGGAGGGGGAGGCGGCGGCGGCGGTGGCTGCTGCGCTGAAGCATTGTCTACAGTAGACTTCTCGTTGCCAATTGTTGTGGCTGAGCCATCTTTAAGAGGCATTGTTGGCCAGTCTGTAGGTATCTCTGATATTGCCAAGGTATCTGCACTGACAAGGCTAATATCTCTTTAGTAATTCCGGTTATCCAACTAGATGTACCACGTAAATGTTTTGGCGAGCCTACGATGTCAGGATTTCTATGCCTTAAGATTTTTCGGACTCTCGAGAAGGTACTATGAGCATAGGGCGTTCCGTATAGGGCTTCAAATGCGATCTGGTCAATCGATATGCGGCGGTCTTGGCAAACAGCTAGCTTAATATACCACCAATATTGCAAGCATTGACTTACTTGTCGCAGGCAAACTTGGAGAGCTGAGCTAAACACATCTAGAAAAAAATTCCTTCGCGAAGCCATCGCCGTTTATCATCCACCCGCAGATGCTTGATATTATTAATGCTGTTTTGAGGTGGTAAGTAGGTGCGATGAATTTCCTAATTTGGTAATCAAGATTTATCCGCATGTAGCAAAACAGTCCCTTTTATACCACAGCTTTTGTATTGTGTATTATTGCGCAGGATGTTCTCATTGCTACTTTTGACAACAGTCGCTCGTATGTCCCGATAGATGTTATACATATACTCATAGCTATATCATAGCACGCCTTAAGAAGCTTGTTTATTATTTTTTGCAACTGCTTTTATTAGAAGTTCAACGTGCTGCAATTGGCGATGGGCTTATACATGTCCTAGAGCGAAGGATGCGGCGCTAGGCTATTCACTTAGAATTTGAGCTGCTTAATTAAGTAAAACCAACGAGGCATCCTACTGTTGGTGTCTTGTATGCATGAGAATCGCGATTTCGGCGATTTCTTTTCTTTTTACTTCCTTCTTTTCCCTACTTAGTCTCTAATTTCTCTTCTCGAACTTCGAAGCTCTCTGAAACATACCTGGATAGCTGTAGACGGGATTCGCGAGGGGATGGAGCTAGCCTACCGCCGAACGAGCCGCGATTCGATGTACATACATTAATCCCGCTGCAGCTAGATCTGATGTGTAGAAATACTACGCTGTAATTGTTAAGAGAAAAATTTTGCCCACGTATATCATTGCGACTATATGAAAGTAATGATGATGATCGGTATCTAGGTATGACTGTATTTTATTCCTTACCTTTTGTCACTACAATCTTGACTACTTACGCTATAAGCAATTTCAGGGTATATACTCGAGTAAGTGTACTCATACGTACTTTATGCTCATCAACATCGACCTGTAGCAGGATTCTTTTGGCCGCACGCTGCATGTAAGCTAGGGATACTTGAATACATTGCTGAGTAATGATTCATAAAAGCTTCGTCAGAATACCTTATAGTAAGGTATAGTTACTCTATTGATGTTGATCAGGCTGTGCTTGTTAATGACCAACTTTACTGATGGATCTACTATCTGCAATCAACTACTAGCTACATTAGTTCTCCATAGATATTCCGCCCGGCGCTAGCAGAAATTGGAAATATTATCGCTTAAGGTACCTTCTTATTTACATGGGAAGTATTCAAAATACCCGGTTTATATTACCGCTGCATCCATTGAAGTTATTCCCTAACCTTGGACTACTCGGCGTCTGATATTGATGATACAATATCCAACCCCTGTTGTTAAAATGCAGTAAGCAGCAGACCGACACTGTTATTCTAGCAACTGTCTCGCAGATACGGAGGTACGGAGATACGTATATAAGATCGCTCCCCGTCCGTTTCAATAGCTCTCAACAGCTCTCGCATTGGCACACGCTTGAATTATACTCTTACTGGATCCTTGCGGCACTTTAGAAACATGTTGAAGTCAGCGTTACTAGCTTCAGGTGTTATACAAGCTGTGCTGGCATGTTCAACGCCAGCACCCCAGGCTATCGGACCTTCACAGGACATAAACCCTACCTATAACCCCATACCCGAGTTCGCCGTTGGACCTCCTCTCAACAGCGATGGATATCGCGTTGAAGATTTCGGCAAAGGAGCATACATGATCACCAATGGCTATTACCAAGCAATGGCCTTGGTGTCTACAAAGGGTGTTATTATGATCGATGCGCCACCATCTATTGGGCAGAACTTGCTTTATGCCGTTGGCAATATTACTCATCTGCCCATAACGCATCAGGTCTATAGCCATTCTCATACCGATCACAACGGCGCCTCATTTTTGTACGGCAATGTTACTCGAATTGGACATCGCTTAACACGAGAATACCTCGTTTTAGCGAATGATCCTTATCGCCCACTGCCCGATAAAACATTTTCGGATTCAATGACTTTGACTGTTGGCAATCAGACCCTTCAGCTCAGAAATAGAGGCCCTAACCATTCGCTCGATAATACATACATATACGCCCCAGCGCAGAAAGTGCTGGTGCTCATTGATAGTAAGTAGCGCCTAATACTCTTTCCACAAGCGTCTGCAGAGGGTCTTTTACTCATGAACATATGTTAAAGTCATCTTTCCAAAATGGACGCCGTACCTCTTCTTGGGAAAGACAGAGGATACACCCGGTTATATACAAGCACATAAATATGCTCTAGAATATGATTTTAAGCATTTAGTCGCTGGCCACTTAACTTTATCTGGCACCAGACAAGACGTTGAAGATAGTTACGGTTATGTATCTGATCTTTACAATAATTGTCGCGATGCCTATCTGCTAGGAATTTCCCCCGCGAATTCGACAAACAACCTAACAGCGTCTACTCTTCAAGCTGAGGCACTCACCGCCAATCCTAACAACCCATATGCCACACTTTCGATAGTTATGAATGCATTTTCCAATTACTGTAACGAGATAACCAATAGGAAATGGGCCAAAAAGCTGGCGGGGACAGATATGTATGGATGGAGTCATGCATATACAATCGTTGAGGCGCTAAGGATTGAGTTTGATGTTCCTGGACCATATGCACCGGCTACTAACTAGAAGCTATCCTAGAGATCAATAAAGAATTAAAGAGAAAATGAATTATGCATTGTATTATAGGAAAATATAGAGAGAAGTTACATTTGTTAATGATATAGGAAGTATAATAGTGTGGTTAAGTAGCATGGGATAGTAAATATGCAGCAGTCTTATGTAGTTAAAGGGTATATAAGCGAGATAAAAGTTTCGAATAGTATTGATTCGTTATTCTTCTCAAAAGCCAGAGACTTGTTAGCGGGGTTTGTTATTGTAAGGGTCATGTACAGCGGTCTTAGTTGGATGGTCGCTACATGAGATGCCATGTGTCTGCATGATCTATGCCAGCATTGGACGAACGATTCTTTGCTGAGTTATTGCCCGTTATGTGAAATAGTAGTCCGCTGGACCCTTTTAATCCCAGAACGTCGCAACACATCAATGCTCTCATCATTGTGTGTCCTGTTCTCTGGTCTTTCTTAGTTATACGCTCATAGATCAAGTCGGCCTTTCACTGGTGAAAGATTTCTACGTTACTTGGGCTTTGTATGAGCTCTATTCATAGATTCAAGCAATTAAGATTACTGGTTAACCTCAAATAGGTACTTGCTCTGTACCCAATACGTCACCTTTTACGATCAGCTCTGGGCGAATTTTGACCTCGCACGTAGCTGCTTGCCCAAAAAGTAAAGGACAAGTGTGCCGGTACACCAGCCACACTGGCACCGGCAAGGAGGGAGCAACCTTTGTGAACCCCTAAGTTGATGAAAAGTGGTCGAGCAGCTTGGATACAGCCAGCAGCCACTGCGGATCTAGCAAAATCGTTGCTGGTGAAAAGGGAAGCTCCGTATTTTGGGTATGACAATGGGATGTACATGAACAATCCCTGAACACTTAGGTAGCCTCCGATTGAGAATACAGCATCCAATTAGCGGAACAATCCAGAATATCTCGGCGTTCGCAGTCCACGCAAACATAAACATTCCCACAGGAAGGAAGAATGAGCCGAATATAGAAGGAATTAGGCGATGTTCCTGTTCTCGGAGGTCGTTTTTAATTGTATCGGGAATCAAATACCAGTGTATGTATGAAAAGTACATGATTAATCCAATGATGGCACCGGTAAAATTAGCTAAGAAGGCGGTACTAATTTCACCAAGGTTGAAGCCATAGAACGGTCCAAACACAATAGGAATAACCTCAAAGAATGTATAATAAGTTCCATAGAAGTATGCCGTGTAAAGATTGACAAACAAGACCGATGGGTCTTTGAGCATAATTTCCCACGGGCGGACTAATGTTAAAAAGAGAATTTCTTTAAACTTCAGAGCCTTCTGGTCTATCTCGCTTTGTGACTGAAGATTCTCTATCCCTGTGCGCTTTCTGAGTCTTTGTGCCCGTCGGAGGATAATCGTGTGTGGAGATGTCTCTAATGTTAGGATCAGGAGTATTAGGACTACTGGAGCCGATATCTAAACGATTTCCCGGAGAGGCCAACGCTATCCTTTTGCAGTAGCCGCAAATCCACCAATCATTGGACCAAAAGCTGGCCCGGCCCAAAAGGAGTACACCCACCACCCAAGTCCATACGGAGCGTATAAAAATGCATATACATCGGTGATACTGGCACCGCCGATTCCGATAGCTGGACTAGAAAAGAACCCTTGGAAGAAGCGGAGGGCTAGAAGGCCTCCAAAATTGTTGACAAGTGCGGTAGGAAAGCTCAAGGCAAAGAACATAATGAAAGAGAAGAAATATACGGGATTTCTTCGCACAGCTGGTATCTCCGTCAAAGGCCCAAAAATCATTGGACCAACACCATAAGCGAGGACATATAGCGACAACCCAAGTTCCGATGCCTCTGGGCTAACACGAAAATGCTGTTCGACTCCTGGCTCACAAGGAGCAAACAGTGCACTAGCAATATACGTTGCCCAAGTATAGCCGCAAACAACGAGTGTGATGAAAGCCTTTTTCCCTCGTGACCAGTGCTGCGGATTTGCGGGGTCATCTGTGGTATACCAATCCACAAGGATGACACCGCCTTTTGTCTTGATATCTAGCGGATTGCTTGGCCCAGTTGGGCGTCTCGTATGATATCGTACATCTTGTGAGGCGCAGTCCTTGATTCACAGAATGACAGAATACAAAGAAGCTTGATGTTTTCCCCCTCCTTATTCTTCCAAGCTGTGAGGCGAAAAATGGTTCTGCGGAGAATAAGATAACTCAGCGCATGCTACAACATTTCTGAAACGACAAAACAATATGTGTAGATAGATATGCTGATTTCTGGCCAGTAAGCAATATATAAAAGTGCCTCATGTAAGTCATTGTACAATGGCATGTGCGCAGGACATGTACGCACGGCAAAACAGCTATTTACCAAACCTCGCAAAGAAATAAGATGCTCTGGCACAATTGCTACTGTTGGATAAACATGCAAATCCCTTTTAACGGCCAACGTGGCTATCCTGGCATTTAGAGGCGGTAATCACAGGCAGAGGTAGAGATTGCCGTTCGGTTCCACTTACCGCTGCCGCCTCCGCGCCCGAAATACTAGCAAGTAAGGTCTCCCACCGGCGGCGGGAAGTCAGCTCCTCGCTTCCGGGGCTCACAAGATAATCGGAGATTTAGGAATGGATGTGCCGAATTTTTGTTGATTATGCAAACTAAATAGTACATTACAAGCTTCCCATTTTCCTAGTTGAATAGGGGACACGCATTAGCAACTTCCTATTTTCTTCTCGTTCTAAGTGATACTTTTCTCTGTCTATGAACACTTCAGATTACTGATTTAAAGTCAGTACGACACCTAAGGGGAGCAGAATCCTAAATGCACTATACAATTGTCCAGCCAAACAATGTGACTATTAGTATGTTGTATCTACCTGAGAGTATACTTGGAGTGAAAGCACAACGAAATATTACTATGACGAAGATATGAAGAACGATATAAATGATACGCATACATTACGAGTAGGTAGTAGTGCTTACAATAGCGCTTATTTACCCGATCCCAATGCAGAAATACTTGTTTCGTTCAGGAAGCTAAATTGTTGATAACCGTACGCATTGCTTTCAGTGGAAAACGCTAGGCCTACACATACTTAAACTGGAATATTCCTAGAGTAGCAAGTTGGAATAGTGACAGCTATATGTATTTTGCCTAGATCTAAGAGAATATTTCAACTCGGGCCAGAACAGATGCATACATTTGAGTCAACATATGTTATCGCTCTCATAATATACGATTGACAACTATATATCGGTAGCGTGACACCTACTCACCAAACCCCGGTTTATTTTTCTCCAGAATCATCGTGATACCGAATGGATCACTCCTCTCCGGCTTTTCGCTTCCTCTGAACTTGCTCTCCGCATCTCCTGCCAACACTGCTCGATGGCTCACCTCAATAATACTCGCTATAGCTCACTTCATCTAGCAATGAAATACCATTATGGTCTATCCTGTGCCGAACGTTTGCCCCTTGATCAAGCATCTGAGATGCACACCCGAGTGACATGAGTTTGTCGCTAAGTTGCGCTCAAGATCGACGCACTTGTCTTTGCATGGAGACACTGCGCCCTGGTATAAACTTCAATAAGTTAACCTAGCAAGCGCAGCCTCGCATTCTTCTTGTGCTGATTCTTCTGATACGTCAAGGCTGGCCTGAGAGGCAGATGCCTCGGGTAAAGCCACTGCCTTCCGGGGTACTAAAATGAAGCGCTGGCAGAGCAAAGGTCTATCCAGGCACTGAAGCAGTAGGTCAATCAACAAAAAAAATGTCTCTGCTGGTAGGGATATGGTGCGAAAGCTTGACAAAGAACCGAACTAGGCTAGATTTGCAGCTGTCAGTAATGGTGCAAATGGCAGCTTTCTCTCTCTGGAAATTTCTTTTTTGTGTGGGCTTTGGGAGCGCAAAATCACTACCTACTTCAGCCATATGCATAGCGCGTAAAGCAGCCAGCACATTGACCCTTATGCAAAGTTTGCAGATACGCTCATAAACTTAAATACTCCACGCTGAGGTCATTAATCAGGCAGAACAATGATATCTCAGTATCTAACGTTTTTTTTACTTAAATGATTCGAGTTTAGAGATAGCGCCGAAAAAGTTTTTAAGATAGGTTTAGAAAAGAACAACCCAAGACGCTACAGAGTAGTACCAATAAAAGAAAAGATCCAGTGAAAGTGAGCGACGAGATTTATCATGGCCACTGTCAACAACATAGCTACAGCGATAGGAACAAATTCGAGCGTAATTGGATTATAAGGAGAAGCTTTGAGGGCCTTTGGTTAGATGATGGTAGAACAGATTTATATGAATAGCATTGAGAATAAAGCCTGAATAACATACTTCTATAATAAACTTAAAAAGGTGTGTAAGAGCCAATAGTTGTGTACTTACCAAAGCCCCAACGGTTGTGATACCCCTAGTTGTATGTGCACATCGGCAAAGTACACACTGAACATTGATAAGCCAGGAATATAGCAATTTATGGCATGTAGCGCTGAAACTTGCAACGAAGGGCTCAAAACTTCCAGCTCCAGCAATCATAACAGATATAGTGTGCACAAGTATGTCAACCGCAACACCTACAAAAGGGAAACAAGGCAGGAGAAAAGGTAAGCCTAATACAGAGACAAATTTAGCATGTCAGCCATTTGCCCAATCACTAAAGCGATCTATGACCTCTATGCCCTGTTATCTCCAAACCCTCGTGAAGTAGATTATTCAACCTACCGAAAGTAACATGCTAACCATTGAATCTGGCAATGTTGCATCTCATCTATTTCAGTATAGGCGGCTTAACGTGGCATAAAGAGAGTAGGCTGTGTCACTTGAAATGTCAAAGTTACAGAGCTCGACGCCCTTGTATTTTGATCCTATCCAAGCCATGCATTTACCCTGCGAGAAGGCCTTATTCATGGATTCAATAATACAGTTATTCTGCTAGTCTAATCCATGACGGTTATTAATCCAAGCCACAACATCAGACGCAGTCTGCTTTTTCTGAGTCGATGCAAATCTGGCCTTTTGCACTACCCACATTGAGAAAAGAGCGAAGAGTCGTCCAACCATTCTTCCCTGTAAAGATATTTGCGGCTGTCCGGACTTTCTATACTTGTACGTGAACCCCAGAAGCTGGGGAAATGATTCCAGAATTGTAGCAGCTAAATTGTCGACCTGTTCTCGTTGCTTCTGTATGACGGACTTGTCAACTTCATCCAGCTCATCTTTGCCTTGTAGTACAGAGGCACTCTCAATGGTTTCCACCAATGACTCTCGCAATACAATTTGACTGGAAGCATGGAAATTCCAGATATAAGCCTTGATTTATAGTTAGTGTCATCATATGTATTGCGTTTTGTATGAATCTCCTACCAGCCAGATATCGTCGTAGCTAAGAATCTGCGAGTATTGTAGGCGCGGGATTGGATAGCTATGAACTTCATCAACATCCCCAAAAACTACAATATTTTGGGAATCCTGTTTTTTCGCTCTCCACGGTTCGGACATTTCCGACATCCATTGCTCGATGGCCGAAATGAGTTCTTGCATCTCCTTGGCCAATTGGGTTATTCGGCCTAGCTTTTCCCGTCGTGTCGTCTCGTCATCCTCATTCGTATGCGTGAGAGATTTTGACAGCGCAGTAAGAATATTCATATGTAAAACATACGAGCAGATGCGCAAGTCTGGCTGCTCCATATTCAATTTGCTCACCCATGCAATTTGCTGAGCATCAGGGTGTTCAAAAAACAAGGTTTGCCAAAATTGGAGTCGATAATGAGTCAAACGCCAAAGCGAAAAGCGGCTCGGGCTATACAGCTGTCCATCATCCCTAGAGCGCAAGATATGTTTAATGGCTTCGCCATGTGGACTGAAAGGATCATTTCGACCTAGATACATCAACTAATATTATCCCACGGTTGTTAGTGGAGTTATGCAATTATTTGGAGAATGTGATACCTCAAAGTTATCAATTAACAGCATCGAAAAAAGAATCCTGTCGTCCCCAAGATTTTGCTGGTCGTTGATTACTGTTCTCATGCGATTCAACGCAGCACCGTAGTGTTGTCGTGACTTGGTGTGAAACGAGATGTTTCCAGTATTCTCGTTTCTAATATCTGCAAAAGCCACAGCGCGGACCGCAAGCCAAAGGACTGAATCTTGCTGTGCACTTAGAAAAAGCATAGGAAGCTCATGCATATAGCCTAAGTATATTATGGTTAACAGAATGAGGAAAACCAGTATTTTTCACTGGTTTTGGCCAAACAAACTAAACTCACCTGGCGATCCTCCGTGGTTACTGGGATGTAGCGTCCAGTTAACAAAAAATCGCTCTACGGCTCTTGTCTCAACATCCCTTCTTAACGGCTCCGGTACTGTTGCAAGTGCATGATCGCTAAGCCACGAATATTGTTGTTGTAGACGCGATGAACCGATCGTTACAGCAGCCGCTTGGTGTGGCCAGCCCTGGGAGACAGAATTTGAAGAATTTGAAGTGTCCCATTGTGGAATGAAACCCTCTCCCAGTTGCCTCCTCGCACGCTGAGAGTTTCTCCTCGCCACCTCATTCTCATCGCGAAATACGAATACAGCATCTAGCGGAAGGCCAGAGCAAATGAGTCCCTCCTGAGTACAGCGTCCGCAGGTGGGACGGTTGAGATCGCACTGTCATACTGTGTCACTATACGCACTTGACAAGCGGAATTGGTCACGCACCTTGGCGTTTGCAGCTTTGCATGCCAGGCAACCACGGCCTCTATTCATGGCGGCTAAGCATTGAGTTCAAAACACGAAATACGCTTGACACTGCAGAAATTGAGTTTTCATTCTTCGATTTGACCGCTGCATATAACTGTGGGAAACACTGACGTCAGCGGTTCTGCGGCTTAGCCCTGTTCGCTGATTACAGCGGGCATGGGGCAATTATGCTTTGAATGCCAGCAAGCTAAACCCATCCACACGCGTCAGATGCCGATTCAAAGTTTTATGTGCTAGCAGGCACTTGATAGGAAAGAAACACCATGCGTGAATAGTTTTACTCTGTGGGAATAATACTTTGAAAGTCCCAGTTTGAGAATTCGAAAGTTCTGTTGTTTTTCACAGGTAGAGTCCCCAACATCATAGGATACAGATTATAGACATAGGGCGATTTACCGCAGGTAAGTGCTTATAGTATAATAGTCAATGACTAGGTAGTTGCGAGGATTTTAGGTAAATGAGTACAAGTTCAGCTCTCTTCCAACGTGAGACATGGGAATAGGATTTCAATTATTTGCGCTCTCTGTCTACTAATGGATCGGAGAAGATGTTGCCATCAAAGCTACCTAGGTACTCGAATGGAGCACAATTCTCCGCACAGCCTAGAATCCGGTTTTTGCGTGCTGTGGTATTCCCTCAATCTGTACCCCGGCTAGCCAGTTGGCTCTGGTGTCAATAAACTGCTCAAACTGTGGCTTCAGCTTTGATCCATGTAGGTTGAAGTCGTCTACAGTCCCAATTCTCAGGATGCTCATTCCTGGAAATCTGCTGCTCCTCCTATACATCAAGTTCCCACAGACCGAACAAAAACTGTCTTCCATTGTAGCTCCTGATGCAATAGTTTTGTTTTGAGCCCATCTGGTCAATTTGTCTTCGCCTCGAACATGCGTGAGGCTCTTGTCACTGACTGTGAAGTTCGAACAAAACATGGAGGCACTGAGTTTGTGGCAATCACTGCAGTTACAGACGAATGTGTTGATCAAATCTTCGCCTTCAACAGGCTAATAAGAATACACATCAGTGATATAAACAGCAACGTCATATTGAGATAACTTACAAACGACAATTGGACAGTGCCACAGAGACAGGTCGCTGTCGCTTTCCCGTCTGCGTTGACACCAGACGCGCCGTCCGATGGAAGAAGGATGTTGGGCTCCGTCATTTCTACCTTGAAGAGTGATAAATTTTATTGAAATGCTTGGATTATGAGTAGTGTATAAAAATCAACGACTTCACTGTATAGCCAAGGCCTTTTATAAACATCGAAAGCCGGGTAGATGAGTAACCATCTGAACCTTCTCCACGTCCGGTTGACGCTAGCTGAGCCCGAGTCTAGACCTAAAAAGGCGATGCGTTTACCTATTCGGGATACCATGATATCACGCCCAAGATAAGCTGTGACGAACACCAAGCACAAGAAAAGTTCGGGCCGATGTGCAGACACCGATCTCTAGTTCCTCGGTTAGAGTACTGAAAGAACAGCATTCGTAATGCAGATAGTATAAAGCGCACCATTTATTTCAATAATCTCGTAACTGTTTCTCCGAATAATTGAGAATTACGAGTTTGATAGCATGATAAACAATGAACTGTCTTCCAAAATTGGAGCTGCTCCAGCCACAGACACAACGTAATCTAAACACGAAGAAAAATGCGCATGGCCAAGAAGGGTAGCTTGGGCCAATAGACCCAACATGTTCTCCCGATCTGATTACAGTTAGCCAGATAGATAGGTATGACGAATTTTATGAGGCGGGCAACTAATATCGTGAACTAAGCCCGCGATCTTTCTATAGTAACGGGGGATGTGTTGGAAAAGCTCAAAATTGGCTCATCGTGCTACTTGACAAGTTTACAAAAGTTGAACTGTAGATTTGCAGGCGTAAAATATAGAGTTCCTAGCTGTATTGTATAAATGGCCACTTTCGATTACTTCTGCGATACCATAATTTTTCCCGAGATACCATCGTTCTCATCGGCAATGTTTTCGGTTGTGCAGTACAGCTCTTCGTGCCCGATTGTGGTTTGCTAGTAGTAGTTCCAAATCGAGACTTGTGATAGTAAGTAAATGACCGGCATCATATAATAATTGAAAAAGGGCGTAATTGCTTATCATATCCCTGACAAGTAGCGTACAACAAGCCTCTGCAGCTGCCAAAAGAGAGGATGCTGCTCTTTCGAGCTTATGGATCTCATAGAGATTGTGCGTACCTGAGGCATTGTCTCTAATCCTATAGCAAGTGAGCCAAGACTTTACACGAATAGTGAAAATACCATTTGATTATACCAAGCGTGACCCAGGATTAAGAAACCTGCATCTCACTCAAAATCTTGGCGAGGAAGAAAAGATTGGAATCGATCTGGATTCACACAGAAAGCCCTATTTCTTGCTTGTTCATCTTGTAATCTAAACTGGTTTTTTCAACCTTATGCCTCTTTAAGAGCTAAACAAATCCAACAATGCCCTTTATTTATATATAATATTTTTGTTAGAGCTGAATGTGTCTTTATTACCTGATTTAACGCGAAGCTCACTTCGTGTATACGCGCCCCTGTTAATTTCCAAGCTACCAGCTGCCAAACTTGCGTATTTGAATACGCATCTCATATCTGAGGAAGCAACCCCAAGCGAATAGATATAGGACAGGTGAAAATCGGAGCAGTCATAATCTCTGTGACAGTGATAAGATGCATGCTGGTTGCTCCATATTTCTTTTAAATAAGTGAAATATTACCATGAATCCTTTAACAGTCGTCCATCCATACTCCGCCTGCATATTAGAGCAAGAGTAGATTGCGGGGTGAAGTACTACTAGTATGTGCATTTGACCGAATCACATAGTTGGTTTATAGAGAACGTGGAACTCTGAGATAGCCTCTATGACATGTCAGCAGCATGTTTACGTGCTACGAACTGCGAAAGAAAGGTAATGATGTGTGGAGAGGAGCCCCGAAAGCAGCTTATTTTCCGGAGACACAACTTGTCCTGGCAACATGTTGTTGTAAGTCCCTTTCACGGTATAAGGCTGTTGATACTAGTGGTAATGCAAGAGTTGGCGAGAATGTATTATTTAATATCGTATTAAAACTGTGCTTTGGGAGTAGAGCCAGGGGCAATTGTACGAGGGGATTACCCTTGCGCTGCGTTGGATGCCTAGAATAAAGCCCTAGTCACCAGAGTACAGCCCCTCATTTTAGAAAGAATCCCCACATACCTTAATTGGTGGCTAGAGATCTTGTCACTTATAGATTCCCTCTCTCCTTCTTCAACAATCATAATCGCTGAATAGACGACGATACGAATTCAGCTTTCGAACATGGCGACTAATACCGTTTATGTCGTGACTGGCGGAAATCGGGGTCTCGGTCTTGGAATTGTTAAATCCCTCCTTGCACGCTCCAACACGATTGTTATTGCAACAGTTCGAAATGAAGACGGAGTTTCGACTCTTACACGGGAGACGACGGCGGCTCCAAAAGGTTTAGGTAGCAGCCTACAAATCTTGCAGTTGGATTTATCGACGATTCGATCCACGGCCGAAGTCAAAGAGGCTTTCAAACTCGATATCGATCGCATTGATGTCCTGATCAATAATGCTGGAAGAACGTCGCCCATGGTACCGGCCACCGAGACGACAGCGGAAGAACTTCGCGCGGCCTTTGAAGTCAATACCATTGCGCCTCTACTCGTTTTCCAAGCTCTTTGGCCGCTTTTACAAGAATCACGGTCGCCAAAGCTTGTAATGGTTACTTCCTCAGTCGGAAGCATTGCAGACATGGAGCCACTTCCTGGTGGCGCGTATGGCCCAAGTAAGGCAGCTCAAAATTGGCTGACAAAGGCCTTGCATCTGGAGAATAAAGATCGCGGCCTCATCGCCATTGCACTTCATCCTGGCTGGGTACAGACGCGCGCGGGCCAACTTGTTGCTGATCAATGGGGGTTTGCCTCTGGGCCTCCAGACACGATAGAGTCCAGCGTGGAAGGAATGTTGAAAATCATCGACGAAGCATCTAGTGAGAATTCAGGGGTGTTCATTACACAAACCGGTCAAATTTTGGGCTGGTAATGCGCCTAGGATTGCAGTGGGCAAATTCTCTTCCATATTAAAGGCAAAACGTTAGTAGAATAGTGGAAAATGGGCGAAATGTGAACATCAACACTATTCCATCTCGGGTCAAACAGCATGTACGGCGTGATGTGCAAAATTGTTTGAATCCGAGCACTGACACTGCAAAGCGTTGGCGCTGAGCGTGGCGTCCACGCGCAAGCCACATTGAACACTCTCAGCTCCTGGTCCGAGTGGCAGATTTTCTGCGCTCAATCGTTGGTAATAACAAAGTAGCAAGCTGAACAAACAACATTACGTATTCAATTATCTTTTGACCATTCTCTTTCATTTACAAGCCTCAATTTGGAGAAAATTCAGCCGCGTTGTAGCACATAAGTGACGTAGGTAGTATAGCTGGGCTGGCCTCTGGGCTGGCTACGAGACACATCAAGACTTGGATGCCCAGCTGTTCAATGTTACTAGTGGATATGGCCATTTATGATAGCTGCAAGTATTTATATCGCATTAGAAATAGCGACTATTAAAAGAGGCCACTTCTAACATGACCCAGTCTTGGAGACGGTACAAGAGAGTTTGAATCCCAGCTGTGTAAGGCTTATTTCTTTAGGGTCCTAACTCGCTTTTGTGCGTCACTCAAAAGGGCCATCCAGCAATCCTTTACCTCGAAGTCAGTTATTGAACGCTTCAAATTGCACTTCCAACGATAATCTGACAATATCCTGCAGAACAATCCAAATCGAGCATCGAGCAATACAATGTCAAACAAAGCGTTCTCTACTGCTGCTGCTAGTCCTGTTGCTGGAGCTGGCGATGATACAATGTCCGTTGCTGTTGCATCTGCAGTTTCTAGCGAGAAACTTGAGCTTGTCAAACCAACTACGCAGGACAGAGGCGCCCTCAGCATGGTGACTACAGTAGCCACTACAATTAGAGAAGCCATCAGCTCGTCATTTACCGTGCCTTCCACGCAACTGATGACCGTTCAAGTGCCGGGAACCATTATTGATCCAAGGTGCGTTGCATCATAAGGCCAGCGTCTACTTTATATATGCTAATTATACTTAGTGAATTTTGCTGGAATGAAACCATAGATTCGATCAAACCGTTAGGCGTTAGAATTGCCGAAGCTCAATTGGTTGACAACCAAATCCCAATTAGCAAAGTAATGGTGGGTCATCTTTGCTCAATTAAAAGGATCAAAGAGCTGATGTATTTAGATCCACCGCACTGGGAAAAGTGTTTCGAGAAGTTATCTTGCTGCCTTGGACTGCTTGGTCTCCGTCAAAACCTCTGTCTCATCTAGCGAAGATGACAGGATGCTGACTGGTCGTCAATCCGAAATTCGCGATAGATATACCCAGGCCATGAACTACTTGACGACAAGCGATGATAGCGAATCCGGAAAATCGAGACTGCAGACGTATGTGGAGAAGCAGGAATCTTGGAACCAAGCGGTCGAACGTTATAACGAAGCTCAAATGAGACACCTGCAGACCATCAAGGAAAAAGGATTGACCGCAGAACAGCAAGAATATTCGTTTCTTGAGTGGTTGCAGCTGAATGGTCGCGATTATAAGGCAGCCATCCAAGCCAAGTACATGGATTGGGTTGTGTATGGGCATAAATTCCCAGTCGAGTTCAATTTTGGACTAGTTGATCTCGCTTCTGCCATGAAACGGGTTGAAAGTAGCAAAGAGGCGTTCCGGAACCTTACTCTACTGGCTGCCGATGGCGTTACTGAATACAACAGTGTCAATCTTTTGCCTTCAAACTGGGCCAGTCTGGTACAGCAAAAGATGGATGAGTGGCAAAAGTTCAAGAATAGCCCCTCCATAATCGAGCTTCATGCAGAAATCAAGCGGCTTCATCACATTTTGATCTCCCATCAGGGTCTTTACGATGCTATTAGCAGCGGCAAATTTATCCCACATCAATTTAGTGAGACTGAAAACAAAGCTAGTACAACACTACGAGGCCATTATGAACAAGCTTACGCGGATGCCGACGCAAAGAAGTGGGCTCAAGAACAGATTTCTGCGAAGGGTGTCGAACAAATTATGGCAGAGGGCGCCAAAATACTTACCGGAGAGAACAAGATATCTGCAGGTAAGGACAGCAAACCAGCTGTACAAAAAGAAGACAACGTACCGTCAACATTGGCCGGTGACATTGAGCATAACGTGGAAGCATTCATCAACCCTTTTGACGCTATAATCGCCGAAGCGGATACCTGGAACAAAGCATTCACACCTCGGAAAGCTGGAGTCATGCAGGCCGTCGATGACGCAGGTAAAGAAGAGGCTAAAAGCTATGTTAGAAACCGCATTGAAACCATCACACGCCAGATTGAAAAGCTTGAATCCAAATTGAAGAGAGTGAGCTCTGAATTGGTGCCTCTTCCAAACACCATTGTTGTACCAGAGGTCTATGCAAATGGCAAAATTGTCGACGATCATGAACTGATCGCCAATAGAAGGCTTTTGGAAGACTCAATGGTTAAGGATTCATCGCCATGGACTCGCATTACAATGAAGGTAGCTGTATCAGAACATGACTCGCTCAAAGCGGTGAGCCAATCTGCTATGAGTGAAAACTTTGGCGTGGGATGGGGATTTTGGTCAATGGGAATCGGCGAGTCCAACTCATACCCTAAAGACGAGCCAGATTCAGCCATGGACGACCTCGAGGTTGAGGTTTCAATGGATTGTATGGTCGTCGACATTGAGCGCCCTTGGTTACAAGCGGAGCTCTTTGCTGATCACCAACTCGATGCTGCTCCGGGATTCACGATTTCGCCTGGGCATGAGGTCTTACGCGAGGCCGTGGAGCAGGACTTACCCGTGGAGATGTCTCATGCACAATTTTGTAGTTATCCAAGTGCCTTTATTGTTGCCTCTAATGTGGAGTTGGAGTTCCATGGCAATACCGCGTGGTTAGAGAGCAGTCTGGAGGCATCAGCAGCAGAGGCCAGGGCATCAATTGGCTGGGGACCCTTTGTACTTGGTTCTAGCTCTTTTAAGAGCTCCAAATCAGGTTCCAAATCACGCATTCAGAGTACAGAGACGGGTGTACAAGTCAGTCTACAGACGCCACAGATTATTGCATGGACACAGGAGCTCTTGCCAGCGCTGCCAAAACGCACGGCAGGGGATTTGGGCTTATCTGAACTGTCATTAGCCGAATTCTCTGGTTAGCTTCATTTCAAACAAAGTTCAAACTAAATTGACAATTGTGTGGTATATTCTTCGAAGAAACTTGCACGTACAGCTCTCAGTAAATTTATTGTTGTAATCTGTATCCATGAACATAATGAATTACTTGTGAAGCAAGAGTTATCGGTATTCGGTCATATTTGCCTCATCTGGAGAAAGAATCACAGCGGTAAGAAAACACGCTCGTCATTGTTTGTTATTCCACTCACGACGACGCGAAAAGGTGAGAGTGTGTCGATGTTTCTGTAGTGATCGCAAACTTTAATTATGGCGGCTACATGTTGCGTGAATAATTTTTTTCGATGATTGTATATAAGTGCAATCGTTCAATAATCCATCCCATCTAAACAAAAGGCAAACGTTCGAACATCTTTTCATTCTTCAGAATGCCTAAATCTAACCGATCTATCACGGCGCCGTTACGTGAAGCATTATCAGAGTGCTTCCAATCGATTATACCATTGATTCGACCTGATATGCAACATGAAATGATTCTTGTGGGCGGTGCAGCTAGCGTGGCTCACTCTTCTGCATAGTATACCGAAGATATAGACATTTTTGCCCCTGCTAGTGTCCTCATCGAAATCTGGAAGGCGATTGAGCTTGGTGCTGCTGGGTTTAGTTTCGAAGATGATGGTCGAATTGCTTTTGACTCAAAACAAGATTTCCGCATCCGAGTAGACCTTGTCGAAGCAGGTGGTGAATATATCAACCAGATATACGCCACAGTACCATACTTTGGAGCCTCTCTAGCATCTAAGGCGGATCTTCTCAGACTAAGAGCAACAACGATAGTAGAACGCCAAGATGATGGAGATATGACAGATTTTCGATGGCTACTCGAAGAGGTGGCCAGAGATGGTGAAAGTCTTCCAACATTAACTGTGAAAAAAATTGGCGATTTGTTGGCTGTTGGTGCACAAATCGGAGTACTCGATCGTTTGATCCTGGCTGCCATTATGGGCACACACAATGAAGATGCTGCTTTGCGGCTACTCAAATTGCGATAACTCAATTGGATATCTGTCTTTCAGGGTATAACTCGATCAAGGTGGCATCTGATTTAATTACAACTACTCTGGTTAATATACGTATCAAAAGTAAACAGCTATTGGCTGTAAAACACTTCCCGCTTCATTAAATCTGTGATGCATTCGCTGGTAGCTGGATATCGACAACCCAGGGGAGTTGATCTAGGTTGTCGTGGCCTTGACTTGCTGCGTTGATGAATAAAGTCTTTCCATCTCCCAGAGATAACGAATCATCGCTAGAGGGGCTGACTTGGCAATACCCACGTAAATTATGTTCCGTCACTCTTCCCTCTCTCATTTCCTTTTCTTCTGGTGACTCGAATCTTGATCCGCGCATGCTCAATAGTGTCTCAATATTTGTTGATCTGTCGTTATCAATATCAGTGAAGTGAGAGGGAGTATTCGAGATTTGGGATCTCCACGTAACCAGTTTTGCACCCCATCCCTCGTGGACATGCCCGAAGCAGTGAATCTTAGGCTGGGCTTTTGCTACAGCCGCAAAGAGCTGCGGGCATCCGATTCTTTTTCTCTCTGCAGACATATCCATCATCCCGTACGGTGGCCCATGAGTAATGACAATGTCGATTCCGCGGTCGATACTAAAATTGTGAATGTCGCTGTACTGGAATCCCCATTCGCTGGATGATATTGTCGATGGTGTACAAGGGCTTGCATACACTTTTAAAAGAGCGCCGTTTTTAAGTGAAAATTGGTGCGATCCCTCGTCGAGAAAAATTATGCCTTTATTTTTCGCTTCATTCATGATTTCTCGAGCTGCGCCATAGTCACCATATTCTTTTTTGACCACTGTATCATCCAGAGTTTCCAATCTGGATGCCTCAGATATCTTCTTCCTGAAAGTGGGTATGTCGAGCGCAAAATCATGGTTTCCGGCGATTATGAGTTTGAGAGGTGCGTTGATCACTTCCATTTGACTAATACCTGCCCTGAACTCGTCTAATTTGGAATGCTGGGTGAGGTCACCACAGTGGATGGCCACATCGACAGGTACGTTAGCGTCGACCGGGAATTTCATTCCATGTGTATCCGAAATGATGAGAAGGCGTGTGCTGATACCGCAGTCCGATTGTTCGTCGCAGCTCGAATCCATAGTTCGAGCACGAATCAAGAGGATATGGCTATGGGGAAAAGATATTGGTTCGAATTGTGAGGTTACAGCTCTGGTATGGCTAAATTGGAAGCTGATGAACATGGAGCACTGCAAGAAGAAGGTCTTCAACATTAATAGTCCGCCGAGGTCTTGCCTGCAAATTGCTCTTGTGGAAGCGCGGGCAGGGTTGTAGTATTCGTACTATTTTTTTTTTTCGGTTTGCCTTTGTGCGTTAGGTACCTAATTCAGAGCATCAGAACGCAACTTTATTTCAGCGCAACCGAACAGAACCCAACAAACAGCGAGGCTTTTAGAGTTTTGGCAGTAGCTTTATAGTGGCTTTCAGACTAAGCCCTGTGATACGCAAAGAAAGGTAAATAGAAAGTGCACAGACATGTATAATATAGCAAGGTTTCAAATTGTTGAGCAACAGATAATTTTCCAGATCTGCTATAGGCTATCGAAAAGACAATGCATATTTAATATCGCTTTAGAGAAACGAACCATGCCAATCGTCACAAAGATCCAATAAATCTTAGGCTTCAGGCGGCTGCCACATGTTTATTCAATGTTGCTTTCCGACTGTTTAGCGCAGCGCCACCTGTGGACGAAAGGGTAGGTATGTAGGCACTCCGAGTAACGATTCGCTTGTCGTTCTCAAGATTGCAGATTCAACACCAATGAAAATGGTTCACTTCTCCTCAGATAATGCAAAGTCATACGCAGCAGATAGTAGACTAATAGAGTTGGGTTAATGCAGAAATTATATCAGCGAATGTCAATAGCGTGTGAAGAAGCGACCACATATCTATGGCGTCAACAATTCGGTTGATTAAATACGCCTTCAAGTCACAGCCATCGCAATACATACTCGAGTGACCGAATGAAGCACTACGAAACGGATAGGCCCACTGTGGAATTCTACAAAGCACAGCGACTTCTATGACCTATTTTCTTTTCCCCGAGCATAGCAACATGGCATTGTTTCATGCATCCGCAAATCTGAAGATGAAGTATATGACCGCATCGGCTTTGAGGCACCACACTAGCTCGCGGGAAACCGGCAGCTTAGCGGCTGACGATCGCGTATAACGGAGCTTGATGCACTTGTTTTGAGAATCAAGCTGAATCTCGATATTACTATTGGGCGGCGTCCACATCACCATTGCATCATTATCCTGTTAGCGAAATCGCGCAGCCACGCAGAATGGACTGATGAATCTACAGTCCGGCCACCGCACGTCATGCCATGTATGTTAATAGAATATATAAGGATAGCTCAAATCCTATATAATAGGTTATAGCATAGTTCTTCAAGTACACCTATTCATTCACAGTTTAGCCGTATAGCTTCTACGTCTTTATTCATTGACTCTTCATCCGCAATGGTTTGGCAACACGGCGATCACCATGATATTCCAAGTCAATATCGCGTCCACAAGTATGAACACATTGATTTCTTGTTATCTTTTGTGGTGAATTTTGGGAGTTAACCTTTTTTTTTCTTCGTAATTGTCTAGGCCGGGCGCCTGGCTTCCAGCGGATCATCGTGTTCACAGGGAATATCTTCGCCGCGTAACTCATCACGTCGACAAGCACCCTGACGAAAAATTAACCCCGGCTCTGCAAGAGTTTAAAGAACTTATTGAAGGCAACAGCCGAATCTATATGTACTTTATCCAGATGTTTGAAGAGATTCCGAACAAACGGCCGTACTGGAAGGATCCCACAGGCACAAAGCAAATTCGTGACTACCAGCATATGCTACAGGTGCTTAATCACGTTGTCTCAAGGGCGCCGGAGTGGACAGATGCAGCCGAAAGTGCCGGCGTGGTAGGAGTACCCTTTTGCGCGATCCTTGATTATCCCATGGGTACACCAAGGTAAGAATCTCGGCATGCTTTACGCCACAGGCGAGATGGCTTATTAACTCCGCTTTCAGTGGCTATGCTGCATTCTTGGACCCGGACGTGAATAAGGCACTCAAAAAGGTTTTGAATGAATGGGGCAAGTTTCTAGAGGTAATGCTACGCAACCCAGTTCTATTTGTCATTTTCGACGGCGCTTCGTCCCACCAAACGATAACAAGCATTGACAGTCGGCTGACATGAATTTGACTGCAGACGCCAAAATCAGCAGAGGCCTTGGGTGACCACAAGCAAGGCTGGTTTGGCGAAACTGGCCTAAACGATGTTATGCAAGTTGCGAATGCTCCTTTGAAGTCATCCATGAAATTTGAAGAAATGTTTGTATGCGAGCCATCAGCAAAGTACTACGGCTACAAATCTTGGGATGGTAAGTGTATCATAAACTCTAACCTAGCCTCTAGCTTTTTTGAAGCACAATGGCCCAATCGAGGATGGAAATACTAAAAAAATTACGCAGACTTCTTTACACGCAAAGTACACGATGATGCAAGGCCTGTGGCATCCCCAGATGATGACAACGTCATTGCGAATGCATGCGAATCCAAGGTGTTCAACGTTCAACGGAACGCGCAACTGCGAGACAGGTTTTTTGCCAAGGGCCAGCCTTACTCAGTGCTTGATATGCTAGCCCACGATCCACTGGCTGAACAATTCGCGGGAGCAACGGTTTATCAAGCTTTTCTGTCTGCCCTTTCTTACCACCGCTGGCATTCTCCCGTTTCGGGAACGATTAAGCGCGCGTTTGTCCAGGACGGCACATACTTCAGCGAACCTCTGTTTGAGGGTGTTGCAGATCCTAACAATCATGGGGAAATCGATACGAAAGGCATTACAGTTGGTCAGGGCTACCTCTCCGCGATGGCAACCAGAGGCATCATTTTCATTGAAGCAGATAATCCTGCAATTGGCTTGATGGCATTTATCGCTATTGGCATGGATGAAGTCAGCTCGGTCGATATTACGGTGAAGGAGGGGCAACATGTGAAGAAAGGCGACCAGACCGGCATGTTCCACTTTGGTGGTTCGACGCACTGCTTGCTATTCCGCAAGGGGGTTAAGGTATCTGATTTCCCCGAGGTCGGAAGGAACGAAAACGTTCCAGTGCGTAGCAAAGTCGCTGTCGTTAAACCCTAGATGATGTCTATAGGTCTGCAGCTCCATTTTCAGGTCTTTTTGAGAGCGTAGAGAGGAGCTACGCATAGGAACGACGCTGAATGATTGCGATTTGCCACGACGGGCTGTCTCGTTCCGATATGGATACATTTTAATGTCAGATAGATGCTTAAACTTGAAAGTCTAATACAATAAATATACTGCTAATTTATCAATCTGTCGAATATTGAGTGTTGTTTTATTAGTGTCGATCCAACCTATGAGCCATCCGTTAGCTTTCTATATCTCGATAGTCGCGTCAAACGACCTGCTCTAATTGTTGGTAATTCGTTGTTGGCGCTGAAGCCAATCCTTCCAATCTGCATCCTGAGCAATGAACCTAACTCTGGCCTCTAACCATTCTGTATTTCCCCAAAACCCCCACGAGGCCTGAAATCGACACCAATCCACAAGTGCGGTTTCCCAATGTCGAAGAAAATCGTCCCAATCATACGCAAGCATATCGCGCCGAGGCCGATTGCTCATGAGGATAGACCAGTAGTGCTTGAGTAATATCAACTCATTTTCGTTCATTTTTAACGAAGAAGGGATCGGTTTATGGCTCGTGAGCAAACTGAGCGGCACAGAGCAAGTAAAAAGCTTCGCGAGGTCACACACGCCCAGCCCAATGCCCGCATATTGAAAGTCAAAAAACACAACGCCGTCGCTGGATTCTGTTGAAAAGAGATTTTCAGACTTTACATCTCCATGGATATATGTCTCAAAGGGTCTACCGCGTGGTATTAGAAAGTCAGCGGCAGCTTCAGCCAAAGATGGCAAACCATCTGCTGAACTGCAGAATATATCAGACCATTCCGAGAAATGATCATGCGCGAGCAATTTATATTCCTCCTGCCTAGTGGCGAGATATGTATAACCGCCATTCAGCCAGAGATTTGTGCCACCGCATTTGGCGTCTGTTTGGCGCCTCGCAGCTTCTTCGAGGGGTGGCAGAAGAAAATCGCTCAGATCTTGAGGCAAATGAGCCCAAGAGCTACTATGGAATTTGGCCAGCCATGACAGCGCTGCATATACCTGATTGCTCGATAGAATTGCCCTTTTTTCTCCCGCAACGGGGAACTCAGGTCTTAAATCGTTCAATAGAGTAGCCATTACATGGTCAATGCCGGCATCAATGGCTTTTTGCCGCATGCTCCGCGTCGAAGCAAAGCACTGGGCCACGGGGATACTGCTGGCGAGGCGAGGCGCAACTTCATCATAGAAATACTGCTCGACCTCATAGCTAAACATTTTGCGGAGATGTCCTTCGTCTCCTGTCTTAGTGGGAGGGTGGACTATTTTCAGGACGAGGCGGACGGTACTGTCTTTGTCGTTTCCCTGAGCCTTGGACAGTCGATGCCACTTTTCGGGCGCGCAACTGGCAGTTGGTTTGGCCGCGATGGCACAAATGTGGCCATAGCCCGCCCATAGGCCTTGAATGACTGTGCATGAAATCAGTTCGAGGTCTAGCCAAGAAAGCATAATGGCGGCAATGCGGTTCGGCTCATTATGCTGGCTCATGGTGATGGTGATTTGGGTCCGCAATAGAGCTTCTGTATTTATTCAAGCGACAGGAAGGTTGAGGTTCTTTAGATTTGGGCGCTTTACTTCTTTCCTACTCGATACAGATGAAAATTATCGTGTATTATGTAATCACTAATCTACTCTTTGCAGAGCACCTGCTTAGGTACCGCAAGTAGCGTGGGCTCTCGGCAGAGGCTTAGATACTCTGTAAGTGCAGCTTCAAAGCCCGAATAACGCCTCCAGCAGCTCTACACAGAGTCTTTAGTCAACATGTTCAAGTAAGTCTTTAAAAGCAAAAAGTTCTTTTTCATATAAAACGCTCGGATTCATTTAAGAGTATCAAAGCTACTTATTTATATACATATACTGAATAGTCAGTCCAACTATATACTGATAAAAAGGTGTATCATAGATCGTGCAAACATGGTATCTCTACAGAAAAAAGCCAAGATATATACTGACTTCAACGCATACTATTCTTCCCTTCATATAACTCTAACCAATGCGAGTAAGCAAGTTGTCGCCAAAGGTCCAGTTACCCGCTCCATCCCAGTTGATTGACCACGTCATCAAGCCCTTCAGAGCACCGTTGTAGTGGTCCCATGCTTGTCCCACCAAGCTTGGGTTCATATAGCCACCGCCAGCTCCTTGTTGAGCGGGCAGACCAGGTACTTGCATGTCGTATGGGATCTTGATTGTGGTGCCTTGGATAGTAAGTCCTGCATTCAAGCAATCAGTCTGGGCAATGAATCCCGCAACAGTGCCGGCTGCGTATGAGTCGCCAGAGCAACCGTAGTAGTCGTCGTTGTAGTATTGCATGTTGAGCCACCACAGTCGGCCATTTTGAAGATATTTCTGAATGATTGGTAGGTATGACCCCCAAATAGAGCCATACGTGACGCTACCACCTGTAACATACGGTGTCTCCGGTGCCATAGTCAAGCCAAAGTTCGAAGGCATCGCAGCAAGAACACCATCAATGATGCGAATCAAGTTGGCCTGGGATGTAGAAAGCGTGTTGATGTTTCCGCTGCCGGTCAGACCGGTCTCAATGTCAATGTCAATACCGTCAAAGTTGTACTGCTTCAAGATTGGTACAATGGTTGCGATGAACTTGTCGGCGACTGCACTAGAGCTGAGGTCTATGCCAGCAGCAGCGCCTCCAATTGACATAAGAATTGTTGCTCCAGCTGCTTTAGCCTCGCACATTTCCTCTGGAGTTGCGACAGTGGTATCAGGAGCCATGTCGTTCTCCCACAGCACTGTGCCATCTGACAGGATAACGGGGAAAGCGGCGTTGATCACATTGTAGCCATTCTGTTTAATAATGGGGTTTTCGATTGGTGTCCAGCCAAATCCGGGGTGAACGCCATTGGATGCTCCATCCCAGTTTTCCCAATATCCCATCAGGACTTTGCCGGCCGGCTTTCCCTTGAGTGCACATGTTGTACTTTGTGCAGAAGCGGCGCCAATCAACGTCGATGCGATGGCAGGCAGCAGCAGAAAGCTGGCGTCAATGAGGCGTGTCATGGCTATAAGTCTGATAAGATATAAGATGAAGTAAAACTGGTAAATTATATATTCGAAAGTTAATAGGAAGTATAGATCAGATCATACACTTTTAAAGCAGAAGATGTGAGCTTAAACTATTCCATTGATAGGCATATGCGGTGCTTTTATAGAAGTCATCCCCATGATTTCTTGGCTTCCTGATACTCTTTCTTTGCTTGCCTATTCTAAGAAGGTAGTATCATGGCTTAGTCTGGTGAGCTAAATTGCCTTTTATGGACCATCCGTTTTGTCGAATGATAGCCTTACATTCCAGAGATAACTTCGCTCGCTGAATAAGTCTATGTGAGTTGCTCACCTGCTTTAAACGTACATACCCTTCAATCGCTTCTCAGCTCAATGTAACGAAGCACGCTGGACGCATTATGGTATTGAAGTCATGCAAAAGATCATTTGTTTGCCCAGCCTGTGACACCCACCGAGTACATGGATCAAGAGCTTGGCGCATGTTTCTCATTTCTCGCACTCAGTGTCGTTCGGCGCGTACAGTCCGGATAACGGAACAAACAAAAGCACTTATCTTATCGGAATATAAAAACGTATGCATTAATAGGAAGGTGAAATAGCAAGCTGCCCCCCTCGTAGACGCGTAACGTAGGATCCTGTTGCGGCATAGAGCAATCTGGGGCAGTGGTTAATAAACACTGCTCCAGCGCCTGAAGATGGAAGTTAGCAGTGTAAGGGGCTGTAATCGCAAACGCGGAGACCCCCGAATAACTTGCACTAGTATGGGTTTGAAACTTGTGACTTAGTCATGGGTTACATTCTTTGGCGACTAGAGAGGCATGTAACATCGACGTGAGGCATCTCTGCACAAGAGATCCTGCACTGCTCTGGTAGCACGTGCCTTTCTTCCGATCTGAAGAGAACATGAAATTACATGGCTATATAAAAATTACCGTACTGTTTTTTCTTCTTTCGTGAAAAAGAGGGAGTTAGAACTCACAAGTGAATGAGCGAATAAACGACTACGACTGACGCTGACCCCACGAATCTTGTCCCGTAATCTAAGGGCCGTAGATCACCTACCTATGGCAGTAATTTGTCCCACTACGCCTACCGTCTTGGGCTTCCAAGCCGGGGTCCACAGCATACAAAATCGGTCTCTTGTTACTGTTACCAGTAGCTGTACTTTCCTTTCCTGGATAAGCATCAAGATGTTGTATACTACTAACTTGAGGCTTTCCTTTAGCCATTAATCTCTACTTTAACCGCACGAAATTATCTGCGGTGACTTGCTTGGTGCCGTAAGCGTGGGGACGGGTTGTAACGTTGGCACTCTATCTACGAGACAGAGCTTTCTTGGAAATCAAGACTTTTTAAGCTTTTCTCCCTCTCTTTTTATCATTTTACTCTTCATTTATATTATTCCAAAGAATAGGATTGTAACATTGTTACTCCAAGACAATTGAAGATGAACGCTAATTGCAAAGGACGCCCGCAGCTACTGCCCAGCAAAGCACAATCGATGGGCTTCTCAATATATAGATATGTAAAAGAGGAGTAAAGGTTAATAATCATCAAGAAGAACTCTTAGATTTGCTATCTAGTGCTCTCACAAGTAAATGTTCTCTGCACCCATTGGTATGATTATATATCTCAATGCAGGGTCATAAGTCGCCAAAAGTCGCCAAAGAGAATACACACTATTGCTAGCTGCGTTTCCGGACATGCTTCGATAGAAATATAACTACTTTCCAGGATAAATTGACCCTTCAAAGATGCCAAAGAACGCATTAACCTCGTGGCCGCCATACCCTTTGCCCTTCCGTCACTGATTCGTTCCCTGGTAGTATTTCCCTCAGCATCTCATTCACCCCCTTCCTTTCATCCCGTGCCATTTCCCAGTGCCTGGGATATCCCAAGCTGACCTCTTCATACCTCACGCCTTCCTTTACATCAGTACGTCTAACATGCAGATGTCCTGATACGACCACTTGCGCTCCTCCGTAGTCAGCACCGAAACGCCCAGGTTCCGCCCAGTCTTGAGTCCTTTTAGTCCCGCACCACAGGGAGAATCGTGGAATCTTCGGGATGTATACCAAGTCCTCTCGCAATGGCCAGTGATTCACAATCACAAATTTGGTATTTGGATACCGTGCTGAATATTCGGAGAATTTTTGCTCCCATCTCTCGCATAGTGCTGTACACCATTCGTCCCGTGACTCATACGGGTCTGGATGCAATAACGCTTCATCCGTAGCCCAAACGTTGTCTTCCATTGCCCAATCCAGTGCGCCTTCTCGAGAGACATCATCTGGCCGGAAAGAATAGTCGTATAGCGTAAATATAAGTGCAATCACGACGTTGACTCCATCCGATCTCCGCCAGAGCATCCAATCATCCTCGGGAGTAAGGACTCCGTACTGCCGGGCTAGCTCTACCAAGGCGTTGTACTTTGCCTCTCCTCGAAGATTGTCAGCAGGGTGCTTAGCCACGGAGGGAGAGACGGAGTAGAGCTCATGGTTTCCCGGGACCCAGAACACGTGTGTGAAACAAGCTTTGGCGCGTTCAAACACATTGATCAAATGCGTGGCTGATTCGCCAATATCACCCGCAAGGATCAAGCCTGAGCCAGGCGGCTTAGGCTGCAAAAGATCCCACTGGGAAGCATTAAGAGGATATGCAACGTGCAAATCGGAGATACCATATAGCTTCGCCATCGTCGCTTTGCTATGTCGAGAAGAGGCTGGACAGAGTGGGGTTAAGAGCTGCCGAAGTGATAACGTTTGCTTACTAAAATGAGATTTTAATCCTCTCTATTGCATCATGTATAGCTAAATACTATCATATAGATACATATAAGATACAATTATCGGACTAAGGAATAGGTGTCACGACATGAATACTTGTTGAATGAAAAACGAGCCCCGCGCTGATCAGATGAGGTCACTATCCTTTTAAAGAATATCTACTCTAACGATATTCCAATGTTATCAATGTGTTATCAATAAGCTATGCCTAGATATGACTGGACAGTAGTCTTCTAAATGTATTACGGCCTCAATTTGCATTGTTCTAATCAGTTGCCTCTGCGCTGAAACGCCATAAATACCTATAAGCAGCCGTACTCTAGGTTATTGGGGATTAAGAGGTGATGTGATGGAAGCAAGCTAGCTTCACCATAGTTGTTATCGTCTCCATCGTCAGCTTAGTCAGAATACTGGTCGCGCTACATCTACCCGCTCGGTCATGGCTCTTCGAAGAGCACCAGCATCACTATCCTTGAGAGGGTTTGGAAGATGGGGAAATGATCTACACTTGGATCGTAGAATTCGGGATGCATAGCTACACGAAATCTACTCCGTTTTCCGAGCTATTCTAAACGCGATACCCGCAGGCAGATACGCTAATGCTGGGCTAATGTCTAAGAACGAGAGTTGCTCTATCCCCTAGGTATCTTTTAGATTGCATAAATGTCGTTTATCAGGGTTAAAGTTCAACCGCTTCTGTCCTATCTATCTAGTACTGCTTGCTCGGGCTGAAGTTACGCGTTATATAATGCTTAGGCTCTGTGATTCCCTTCTTTTTTGTGCCGCAAATGGGTGCATTTGTGTGTATAGGTCTCAGAAAAAGAGAAGAAAAAGGCGCAACATCGCTACCGACGAAATGGCCCATTTGTTTGTTTTGATCAGGCAATCAATATTTGCATTCTGCATCGGACGAAGTTGCGAAGTGCAGCAGAGCGATACTGACGTGGAATAGGGAACCAGGAGTGCAGCGCTCAATCTATCTATATACTCATGCAATAACCTACGATGAACAGCTGAAATAGAGCCGGCATTGCAAAAATCACATGCTTAGCATTGTGTGTGACGTTTATGAATCGAGCTAGCCCTACCTCTAGACTGGCCCTTTTGCTGAAGACTATCCATCATACCGATTCAGCTATTCAGTATTATCGGCTATTCCATGGAACCCTGGGTGATCGTTATGAGACAGCTCTTATACCGCTCTACGATTACAATTAACTTGGATAGAGCATAAATCGATCTCTCTAACGTACTAAACTAAACAGTAGCCCTTCTTGGATACGGGGCTCAAAGAGCATTTTGTGTTTGGAGACATTATACTGATGAGTCGAGATTGGACCATCTCACAATTTACAACGCCGCGCCCCGCCGGTTGGATTAATACTCCCAGAGTCGTCAGATGCCGCCAACAGAGGTCGCGTTTAGCCAAGATGTGCTGATGTCTAAATCACTTTTGTTCTTGTATATACAATTTACAGTTTTGGCCACTCGAGAATAGTCTGCGTATCTCATACAGAAGAATTATAGGTTACGCGCCTTTCGTCGTTGATTACCCTTGATCATTTTTACCCCGCTACCACAACGACAAAATGGTATCTTGGCGGCTGTGTAAGTACAATGGCCGACTAATTGGCAGAAGCCGCCGCTGCTGATTGTACATGAGTATGCAGCGATATCTTAGTATTGCTTTTCATATTAGTCTAAGTGTTACCTGTCCTTCTTACGGCTTTGCCTATTATTCTTTGAGGCTCTTTTCCAGGCTGTAATGCGCTTGTTATCAAATCGTCTGCGAAGTCTGCGCATCACAAACCTCAATACCCATGCCACTACTAGTGATGAGCTGGCCGCTTAGTCAATTGTCGCTTGCGTTTTGACCTGCAGCACTCAAAATACCCAAGTGTACTATTTACTCCTTTTGCATCCTCAAGCGCCTACATTACCAATCAATTGGGCGGTTAATTCTCAACAAGTTGATGCCTACCTACAAAAGTTGCTAGCAAACTGGTTATTGCGTTACCCGCGCGGGAATTATCTAATACCAATCTTGCTCGCCGCTTTTTGTACAGAAAACCACGCTCTTTGGAAACTGACTAACTATTGGTACTAGCCAAATTACAAACTATGTGTCAGCAGCCAAAAGCCACTCTGTAATGCCAGCCTAAGCCATTTCTAAGCTTGGCCTATGGAGAGGAGGAGGCTGTAATAAATTAGCCAAAAGGCAAAAGTCAAGAATTCGTATATATTGTGCTACAGCCGCTCTCAAAAGTCGTGCATCAATCAGCTTTCGCATCACATTCAGATACATCACTTCACAGCACCTTAACTCTTTTCATAGCCACATTAACATCCAATCGCCGATATGTCTTCCACCGTGTCCGCTGATCAATTCCTGGCTGCCGCCAAGTACCGCCGCACCGTCTACGGCCTCAAAGGTACCTCTGCTGTCTCTGACAAGCGAGTTGAGCAAATCGTCGGAGAGGTTCTCTCTTTCTCGCCATCTTCATACAACACCCAGCCAGTTCGCGTTACTATTGTGACTGGCGAGAAGCACAAGCAGCTGTGGGACATCATCATCAAGACATCCGAGCCCATCCTTAAGGGCGCCGGCGAGGCAGTATGGGCGACCATGAGCGGTATCTTTGAGTCGCACAAGGCATCATATGGATCGGTAGGCATTCTTCCTCTTGATGAGACTCTTCCATAGCAATTATTCTTTCAATACTGACAAAACGGCAGGTTGTTTTCTGGGAGAGTGGCGACAGCATCAAGGCAGCTGGAGAGACACACAAGTCGGGCGCCCACATGTTCGGCCAATTTGCGGAGCACACGACCGGTATGGCTCAGATTCTCGTCTGGACCGCTCTTGAGTTGGAGGGACTGGGTGCCAACCTCCAGCACATGCAGGCCATTCCTCCCGTTGAAGCGGAGATCAAGAAGTTCCTCCAGGTGCCTGCCGACTACTCACTGAAGGCCCACTTGAACTATGGTGATGAGCCCGGCCCACACAGCACCACCGTCCCTGAGAAGCTTCCCCTCAGCGAGACCCTGAAGATTGTCAACTAAATACATGTTTGCGAGCTACAACTTCTCAGCGCATCTTAGAACTATAGAAAGCTGCTTTAGCGTTACATTCAAAATGAAAGTGAAAATGAACATTTACATATAACATGCATGCTCTCAAGTACATATATATATATTAAAACGCAGGAATTTAGTGATTTGTAGAATTGAACTACTAGTGAGTGCACGGCGTTTATCACTAGGTTTATATGCGGGGTTAAAAAAATACAAAATCTCCGACGGTAAAGCCATCAGAAGAGAAGCCTTGTTTTCTTAATCCAACAATAAGACATACATGTTATACAGTTACAATACTACAATATTCGCCATTTTGGAACGAACTACGCAGCGTCAGGAAACATTAAAGCAAGGGTTTTCTGTTGTATCTTCTTGTTTTAGCGACCTATAGAGGGACATCTATTTACGTTGGAGATGCTGTAGAAATCCATATACCGACCGCACCCCATCATGGTGATCATTTCCTTCAATGAGCTAAGCAAGCTAAGCAACTGCTAAGCTGCCCTTCCATGAACATTTTGCCTCATCCTTCGCTTCATCAACGTCTTAAGAGCTGTTTCCGTTGAAGATGATAACGTTGGGGCTGCCGTTAAGGCTTCCGGTTACACGACCAGATGTAGCCAGAGCCTTAATTCGGTTAGTGACAGCAGTAGGAGTGGTGAGGCCCTCAAGGGATTGAAGATAGAGGGCCAGGCCAACAACGTGAGGCGTAGCCATAGAAGTGCCGCTGATAGTGTTGGTAGCAGTGTTGGATCCAATCCAAGACGACAGAATGCTAACACCAGGGGCAAAGACATCAACGCCAGCACCATAATTGGTGAAGGAAGCAGTGCGCCAGTTGACGTCCAGTGCGGCAACGGTAATAGCATTAGCAACATTAGCAGGAGAAGTGCCAGAGACTGGCTGCGGGTTCCCCAGAGAGTCGCCATTACCAGCGGCGACAATGGTAAGCACGCCCTGGTTAAAGGCTGCGTTGATGGCAGTTGTCCAGGTGGATGAGGCAGGGCCTCCAAGCGACATGTTAATAGCAGACTTGCTAGCACGCTTTTTCGAGACGATGTCGTTTACAGCCCAGTTATAGCCGTCAAGGATAACAGAGGTGGAAGCGCTTTCGCCAGCAAAGACCTTGACAGAGATTAGGCTAGCCTATCGGCAGTATTAAGTCAGTCTTGAATGCATATATGTATCCGCAGCAAAAGAAGTCGACGAAGAATAGCTCACCTGCTTGGCAACACCATATGTAGAGCCGGCAATTGTTCCAGAAACATGAGTGCCATGGCCGAGAGTGTCGACATGCTGTCCTCCTGCGGCATTATAGCCAAGGCTGGCACGTCCGCCGAATTGCTGGTGAGAAGTGTTGATACCGGAGTCAACCACATAGGCAAAGGTGCCGGTGCCAGCAGAGCTATCATAAATGTAGCTTGTGGATCCAGAAGTGCGGTGGGAAACAGTGCCGAGGCCCCAAGGCGCACCAGATTGAGTGGTTAAAGCACGCTTGTCTTCAACAATATCCGACAGATGCATAATGTAGTCTGGCTCAACAGATGCGACCTGACAATCTGATTAGCTTTCTTTGTTTTCATCAGGATATAGTGAATATTTACATCGGGGTTGGACTTGATCTGTTCGAGTGTTTCCTCGTCAAACTCGCCTGCATAAGCATTCCAAGTATGAATGTTGTAAGTCTTCTCGACACCAGCAGTGCCACGCTTGGTCAAAGAACGACTGTGGATGTCGTTTACCCAAGCCAAGTGAGAGTCGGTATCAATAGAGGCACCCTCTTTAAGAGTGATGATGAACTTGTTAGGCACAGCTTCAGGCTTCTTGTGAAGGGCTGCGGGAGCAGCGAGGACAGCTGGGAGCAAAGCTCCGAGATAGAGAGCGAGACGACGAATGCTAGTCATGGCTGTGGATGTTCTCTATGTAGTGGAGGAGAGAAGAGAGGAAGTCGATGGCTGTTCCAACTTGCCAGATATTCTTGCGAATACAGCCAACTTAAATAGTTTTCATCACCACTGCGGATGAAGTGCTCGATTTCGCTATCTGAAGCCTCCATCACGTCTACCAGAATTACTCCATTGTTAATTGCTTGCCAAGCCTCTGAGTATAGATATCCAAGCTGCCTAAAAAGAACTAGGACGAATAGATCACACCAAGACTATATGTTTGTGTTACGGCAGCCACGGTGCCCAGATCTTGGCGGCTAGTTTGAATGCGGAAAGAAGCATGATGAAGAAGTAGTATTTCCAAAGCCCTCAACTGAGAAACGGATGAAGATGGGTTGATAAAAGGCCTATCTCTTGAAGTCGATATCTTGCTATTCAGTATTTCCGGTCCAAGGGTGCTGTCTCCAATCTCTTCATCACTACCAGACAAATAATACAAATGGCGAATCTATACAATTTAAGATTCATTTAAGGTTATTTGACGCCTGTAGACTAAGATTCTCTAATTTACGCTTAAAATCGAACACTCGATGGCTGTTTGTATCTCAGGTGAAAATGCCGAATGCCGTGCGGACCAAAGTTGCGCCAATAGCTGTGCACCTGCTTTTTAAGTTATCATGTCCGAGGATTAAGGAACCTTTGAATAGAACGCACGGCAAGGCTCTAATAGCGCAATCATAGCCGGCGCCTTATCAAGATTTAAGAAGGAGGGGTGGCCGGATAGCGGAACTTTTTATATTGCCCAAATGGGAAGGTGATTCTGCTAGATCGCTGCCGAAGTTTTCAATATTGCGGATTGCACGTTATTGGGAATCCGCTATTGTGGAGCGCTGGGATCTCGGATTATTATCCATGCTGCTCCCACAAAGCGGCTGAAGATTGTAAGTGATAAGAGACGGCAAACGACATGTGATGCTTTTGTTTGTAAAAAGACGTGATAGAGAGTGCTCCCCACACGTGGAAGTCAAGCGCTAGAAAAGATAATTGCATCAATATTTTTAATACTGCTCTTAAAAATTATCCACATGAAACACAGCACAAGGCGTATTACTAAGGAAGGTACCTAGGTATCACTTTATTTAAGAAAGATGTTGCTTGTTATACTAGCTCATGATTTAGGTAGCAGCGAATGGCTTGGGGTACAAACTTGTGACGAAGAATGAAATATGATCAAACTCAGCAGCTTTAAGCTTGAATTCGGCAGAAAATATTGGCAAGAGTGTTGGATTTCTTATTTTATAGTTTATATCATATACCTAGCAGGAGATTGTGATAGTACCCTCTCTCTTGCGTATACCGCCGATGGCTAAAGTAAGGGATTTACACATATTTCTTCAGAAACGAAATCTGGACCGCAACATTCTCCTTGAAAATATCACCTTGGTATTGATCAAAGTGACCGCAATCTTTCAGCAGATGGAGCTGCTTGGGTCCTTGAGCTAACCCAAATGCCTGCAGGTCAAGCGACAGCAAGCTGTCATCTTTTTCTCCCACGACCATCAATAGAGGCGTGGGCGCAATGCGGTGAATATATCGGATAGGTTCGAACCTAAGTAACCGGAAAAGAGACATTGTAGTTAGTTTGTTCTCCCAATTGCCGCCTTGCTCGGCGGCATCTTGGAAAAAGCGGAAGCTAGCCGCATCTCGGAGTATAACGGGTGCAGTGCCAGCCTCAGCCTCGTCAAGCGTGGAAGCAACAACACGAGTGAGAGGCCATTCTTCTCCGCTGCGTATCTTGGCGCGGTCTTTTTGAACCATGTCGAGAAAAGGTTGCCCAGTGCCTATTAGTAGCTCCCCCGACACGAATGGAACCTGAACAACAACAGCTTTGACTCGGCGATCAATTGCTGCAGCAGTAATAGCCACTCCTCCTGAAAAACTCGTTCCCCAATACACGATACGTTCCGCGTCAACCTGTGGAAGAGACGCGGCGTAGTCAAAGGCTTCGATATAGTCATCCTGGAATTTGACAGGATCGGCATCGTATCTGCGACCACCGCTTTCTCCGAAGCCGCGATTATCGAAGACCAAGACATTGAAGCCTGCTTTCTGGAATTCGAGCGCAAAATTACCAAGAAAGTGTTCTTTAAGGGCCGTAATCTAATGTCGAGCCTTATTAGTCTTGTTCAAGTCTTCAAGCAATTCTTCCTAACATATTTCATCAAACATACCCCATGGGTCATGATAATACATGGGCCTTTTTCTGTGCTTGCTTGAAAGAACCAGCCTTTCAAAGTCACTCCATCAAATGTTGGGAAAGATACATTTTGATATGAGTTAGACATTTTGAAATAAAAATAACACCCGAGATGCTATAAGATAACTTGTACTGGTAGAAACGATAAAGAGGATTAAAAAGCAACAATGAACTTTCCTCTATCTTTATACCCGATTCCATCAGGGCTGAAAATAGTAACTAACTTTACATGGGCACGGACATAGCAATTGGTAATTCTTGATCAGTAAGCTTAAAGATAATATTTGTTTACTGATTAAGTGTATAGCTGAGCTTCAACAAAGTTTATATGACTATATTGCCCCTAGAAACTGACACAACAACACCAACGAGAATAACAAAGGAACAAGCGGGTGTGGCTAATCCAGACTTGAGGCTGTTCAAGAGATTAATAAACATACTTATGCGGAGTTACGTGGCTATATTGACAGAGGCTAACGCATGCTCGAAGAGTGGCATTGTATGCAACGATGCTTAATTTTCGAAACTTACGCTGGATATATTTCGTCCGGTAAGCTGAGTAAGATGTAAACAACGTTCAGCTGTAAGCGATTCGTAACACTATACGGAGAGCTGGCAGTGGAAGGCCTTGCAGTCGATTCAAAGACAACTCAATGAGTGCTGAATTGGATTCTTGATTGATGCTATTCTGTATCAAATCTGCAGTGGTAGTTAGGGTCGGTTTCGCATATGGCATTCTAGGATGAGGTTTTATTCAAGATTATTCTATCACCATTTTCCACCACCAGTCCCCTATGGGAAATTAGCAACTATTTCGGAACTGAAGTTTATTAATTAATATTGATTTTGGATACTATAATCTAAATATTAAGATCTCACTTTCATAGCGCCTATATAGCTATTACATTTCCGATTCGGACGAGTTGGGCTCGTCCTCCTACTGGCGGCCGGACGAGCTCGGAAGAGTTAGTGGACACGCCATAGCGCTGGTAGTGCCTCGTGGGTATCTCAAGCCTATAGATGCATTCCGCAGAGAGGGGTGGAGGAGAGGAGCTCGGTTCCGTACTCCGAAATCGCCTGGACTAAATCTCATTTTAGTTTGCTTACAGGCTGTGCTAGCTGTCTTGGCTGCTTTGTTGCTAACAGACTGCGCCACTCGATTCAAAACTTGACTGATGCTCTGGTGGGCAGCCCAGCACGTTGATAGACTGCATAGGAAAACGTCAAATAGCCAAATATTGGCTCTGGTATATTTTATAAGCCAATTGCTGAAGTCTCACAACAATGTTACTTGTAGATGTGGGCTTTTTGCTTGCCGCCTAATATCTGCTTCCCTGCAATAGCTCGTCAAATATTGCTGTGGAGACGGATCCACATAAAACATGCTAGGGGAGGCCTGGAGATGGCAGATCCAAAAACGCATAGTACCGTACTTGTAGCAACACACCTTGATATCCTCGATATCTCTTTGTAGATATACGTTTATAGACACATCTGTGCGCTTGCGTTATGAGAAAACTGCGCGACAGCTAGTTTTCAAAGCATCCGATGACATTAGCGTTTGGCATTTGGTTGCCGCTTGAGGCTTGTTTCAAGCATGCCACTTCCACGCTATCGAAGAAACTATTACAGCGCATGCATATGTTCGATGCTCTATCTGCCCCCCACAGGTTGGTACTAACGAATACCAAAAGTCGCTATTCTTGGAATCCCAACAAATGTTATCCTCCCACCATCTACTTCGTCGTTTCTGTTCGCGTTTTGCTGAAGCCATCAGCTTTCACAGCAGTAGTATCGCCATCATACCCAAACTGAAAAATGGGTGACGTGCGGCAGACCGTAAAACAGTCATTACCAGTGGACGTCAACAAACCATATGATCCTTCAACACTCAAAGATAAGACGATTCTTATCACTGGTGGCGCCAATGGCTTAGGCGCACATATGGTTCGCCATTGGGCCGCTCATGGAGCAAATATTATCGTCGGAGATGTTGCAGACCATGCCGGCGAAGAGCTTGTGGCCTCGCTTCGAATGGCTTATCCCAAAGGAGTTTTCGAGTTCCGGCACTGCGATGTCACAAATTGGGAGTCTCAAGTCAGCCTTTTTGAGGCCGCCGTCCAAATTAGTCCCTACAGCTCTGTAGACATTGTGGTTCCCAACGCCGGAATCATTCTCCCTGCAGAGGCTACAAAATTCGAGAATCCCGATTTTGTGAATGGGAAGATCCCGGAGCCTAATACAGCAACACTGGATGTGAACGTGAGAGGCGTCATTTACACGTCCCATCTTGCGCTGTACTACCTCCCGCGAAACAAGAGGTCTGACAGATGCCTTCTATTCGTGGGTTCCGTGGCCTCTATCATTCCGCTTCCCGGCCAGAGCCAATACAGCATGAGCAAACATGCTGTTCTGGGTCTCTTCCGCTCGCTGCGCGGCACAGCTTTCCTGAAGGATATTCGCATAAACATGATTGCACCCTACTATACTGCACAGACTAAGATGCTACAAGCAACAGCAGAAGCCCTTTTGCTCGCTGGCTCTGCTGGACCGGGCCAGGTTCCGGATGTCATTGATGCGGCAACACGACTGATTGCAGATGAAGCAGTGGCTGGTCGCGCCCTCGTCATCGGTCCACGACTGAAGCCTTATGATGCCGAAGATCTTGACTTGGCAAATGGAGGGGAAGCTGTTGAAGGTCAGGCAGTTTGGGAATGCTACGCGCACGATTATGACCAGGTGGAAACGTTTGTAAAGAGGTATCTATGGCTGTTGAACGCTGCAGCAAAGGCTCGGGGGATGCTGGCCTGGATTCGCGATGTCTTGGCTATATGGAAGAGAAGCTGAAAATTACACGGCTTTCGCAATGAATAACTGGTAATAGATAACATGATGCTCGTCGACTGTTCATTACATGCTAATGGTGAAAGGCTGGTTTTATTGGCGTGGTCACTGGCCGCGGGCCAGCTCGAATCGCGGACTCCTCGACGGTAGTTAGAATGGGTGCGTTGTACCTTTCGCAGATCACTTCTCAAGACCCAAATATGTATAGAGTTCAATGTTAAAGGAGTGGACAGAGCCTTTTAATTTAGTGATAGGATAACAGCCTGCATTCGCGGTCCATGAATGTTTGTCACAGCTAGAACTAGGGATTGCATGTGGCGAGTCGCTGTCCAATGCTGACAAAACCACATGTTCATTATCTAGTGGCCTTATCTGAGAGCTCCGCAATGTTAGTCTTTAGACGATTATTAAATATCAATGAGGATCCAAGCCCACAGCTGCGTCGGCCGATGCATCTTGAGCATCAGATTGATGAATCAGAGTTGTTCTCATGTCTGCCCAAATTCCGCTAACCCTAAAGGCCCAACGGCCTTGTCATTACTGTGCAAGTCGCAAACAAGGCTGCGATAGGTTGCTGCCCAAATGTTCTCGCTGCACCTCGTAAGTCCTTCTTCATTCACGTATGGACATATTTGACGTCATCTTTGTTCTGACGGAATGTCAATGTCACAGAAAATCTCTTAGGTGCGATTACAGCGTTCACCGAGATGGACGTGCCGTGACTCGCCAGAATGAAGCTCCTGCGCCAAGTAACGACCTGGTGGAATCACGCGGTTCTTGTTCTCTTGACCTCTCTGCCAAGGCCGAATCGTTATTGCTTCGCTTAGCGTGTGATAGCGGCAGCGAGGCGGCAGAGTTTGATGGACATAGCTGCCTATCCGAGCTATTCTTTAAAATACTTGACGCTTTCGATGTTGATATTCCGAATCTGCTGGACAGCTATTTTGCGAGCGTTCATCGATGGGTTCCCGTTATCGAAGAGGAGCATATCCGTCACAAATGTGCGAGTTTAGAGACTAGTAACCATGGCGATATTACACGTCTGCTACTGGCTTTCTATATTGTCATTCAATTTCCATGCAATCACGGAGGGCATTCAATGAATACTCGGCTCTATCGTACTATGAAACGGCTATTTATCATTGACCAGTCATCACCCGGTATCAAAGACCTTGATTTGTTGCAATATGGGATATTGCTTGGGGCTTATGAATGTTCACAAGGCCTGGAATCTGCCTATACCACATTGACACTATGCACGTCACTGGCCCGGATGATCGAAATCCAAAGCTACGAATCTAGTGGCCTGGACTCGAGACATTCTGAGGAAATGAGATTATGTGGTTATGCACTGGTAATCTTGGATCGGTAAGTCGAGACTCTCTAGATGAGGGTAGAAAGAGTCGCCGCTAAACAAGAACAAATTAGCCTCATCACACTCTCCCGCATGGACCATTGTCTGCCATTGCTGCTTCCGGACAAGCAATCCTTCCCCCTGGTAGAGGAACATGACCTTGAATTGGATGAAGGGTTGAAAGCCTACGGCTACGTGGGAAGAATGAGGATCACAGCAACTGTGGCACAATCAATTAGCGATGCTCTGGTGTATCTGCGCTGTTGTCGACTTGGAAGAACTCCGCCAGTTGATTACTATACTGTGGACAGCTCTGCGCAGGCTGCACTATTGACGCTTTTACGACTTTCCGAAGAGAAAGCATTCCTCAACTGTGAACCAACGTCAATGGCAATCAGGTGAAAAAAGCCCAAGTCTGTGAGATCTGGAGACTTAGACTTACCACTCATACATGCCCTTAGTACCCTCATGATACTTCGAACCACCTATGACAGGAGCAGAAACGGCCCTAGGGACCCCAAAGACGCCACTGCGTTGTGGTCCATAGCGAGCATGAGTTTAGAAATGTGTCTCTCGGCTGCTGACTTCATAAGATGCAACGGCATTGAGAACTTGTCATTCGTTGGCCTTTGTTGTGTATGGCGAGCGGTTTTACCCTTAGTGGGCCTCAAGGAGTTTCAAATTTCGGCCCAAGAGCTGGAGACTCTCAGAAGTGAGCTGGAGCGCTTTAGCAGCTGTTGGGCAATAGGCGGTATGTAAAGTCATGTAACTTTTGTGATGAAATCTCAAGTTGGCGTTAATCATTCTCAGTGGTCTTTTTACAACACTTTGATCAATTAGTTCACCTACGAAGCCTTTAAATACCAACCTAGTAAGTGCCAGCTGCATTGGGAGGAAGGTATCTCAGATGCCCTGACAAAAATTAGGCTTCTTTTGGTACGATCTTTTCAAGTTCCTTACAAGCTGTTTTCGATGACTTTTGAGCATCACCACAACAAGCTGACTGACCGTCCATGGTTGGAATGACAGACTAGTCTATTGCCGAGGAAGAAATCTTGGTATGAACATATCTTATCACATAGAGAGTATATCATTAAAACTCTCCTTTGGACTGACTCTCTATTAACTGTTATTTAAGGCATCTAAGAAACAAGTCTATTCATGAATTCATGCCTCATACACCCGAGCCATTCTTCCTAAATTAAGGTATACTTTCATTTATTCAGACGGCGCCTCGATATCCCCGTTTTGCTCTTGCTCGCCCTTCTGTTCTTGTGGCTGTTTAGAAATTCTGTAATTACAATCACGCCTGGCTTGCTTTCAGAAACTCTTCGCTGATAGGATAGTCAATGTACCCTTCAGCAGTTTTCTTAGCATAAAAACTATCCCGCTGGTAGGGACTGAGCTTGATACCAGCTTGGATGCGGAACACTAGGTCTGGATTCGAGATAAAATATCTTCCAAATGCAACGGCGACGTCCCACTTGGCGTACAGGTCATCTACAGCTGGGAAGACGTTCTCCGCAGTATACCCGCCTGCGATGATGACTGGTGACCAGTTGTTCCACTCTTCCAGCAGATACTCGAGCGTGTTACGCTTATATGTCTTGTGCTGGTCAAGCTCCTCTTCCTTTTCGTACAGCCAAGTGACAGGGTCACCGGTCGCTTCTACCAGGTGTATATAGCCAAGATTTAGTTTCAGGCGTTTGAACTCGCGCAGCATATATAGAAACTGAGCCTGTGGATCAGAGGATGTGGCGCCTTGGAAAGTCGCCCAAGGGCTGAGACGAATAGCCGTGCGCTCTGCCCCTATAGCAGCGGCAACGGCCTTGACGGCTTCGATGGCAAAGCGCGCCCTGTTCTCAATGGAGCCACCCCATCTATCAGTTCTCTTGTTGATAGACTCTCGAGTGAACTGATCGATCAAGTAGCCGTGGGCGCCGTGCAGCTCAACTCCATCCGCCCCTGCGGCAATGGCCGTTTTCGCAGCTTGTGCAAACCCGTCGATTTTGGCCCAGATCTCCTCCTCGGTAAGCTCCTCGGGTATTGCATCAGATCCCTCCATGGGACTCGCACTGCTTGATGCGTATTTGAGGCCCTTGGAGCTCGCAAATTGCGCGTCACCTGCGCGGCCTAGGCTCCAAATCTGCTGCACAAAAAAGCTACCCTTGGCATGTACAGCGCTGATGATACGCTTCCATTGGGCCATCTCCTCATCACTCCATATCCCGGGGCCATTTGGATCAGTCTCATCGTTTCGAGATATGGCTGTTGCTTCGCTGATAATGAGCGTTCCAGGGATTGCCGCTCGGTCGGAGTAATACTCGACTGCCATGTCCAGAGGCACATGGTCATCTGTGTTGCGATATCGCGAAAGTGGCGCCATGACAATGCGATGAGGCAAGACCATTTTACCAACCTTCAGAGGCTGGAAAATCTTGGACGTCGCTGGTGTTCTCTGCGATGGCATAGTTAAGTCTCTTGGCGAAAATTTATTTTTGGCGAAATAAGTTGATAGCTTAAACAGAAGTCTTCAGATGGCTGTTAATCGAAAACTTCAGAGGTTATGATAGCCAGATCTCGAACTGACGGGGTTGGCTGCTACTGTATATATTACATTCACCTTTGCAAGGACTTGCGGTTTAACGTTGTCCGCAGCGTGGATCAATGGCAATTTGGGTCATGAACACGACCGACAATGCCGACAGTGGTAGATTAATGTAATATAATTAATAATTAACAAGCAGCCATGACCCAATCCATTTAAAATCAAGTCGGCCTCGGGGCATCGTTTCGCAGTATTACGTTGTCTGCAAGCCAAGTTTAACGGTATATCCCGCTTTGCAATGCAAGATTCACAACAGGACTTGGAAATACGCCCTTGCTAAGCCTCATTGATTATTCAAGCTTTGCATTTGTAACCATTAGCCAAGGTGTTTCTTACCTCGATGTCACTACCACGATTTTTCCACAGCAGGATTCTTGAGTGATTTCCTTGATTGACTCGCATTGATGTCTGCTGGGCTACGGGTAGATGGTGGAGTATTGCCGTCTGCGAATCGGCACGCGCATCTTATAGGACCGTCTTACTAGGTATATTGGGCAGTGGGCCTCTGTAGTATATGCTTACTGTTACAAGTTAGCTGGCTACCCTTCTAGGTAAATGATGGGGTATTTTCTACCAGATTGTGGCAAAACTCACCGGCCAATTTTTCGTGGTAGTAATACGGTATGTCGGAACCTGCATTTCGGCAGCTGCATCAGCTCGAAGCCCTATACAGCTAAGAAGTTCCACAACAGAACTTACGCATCGTATCATGGCCGGAAGGGTAATATCCATGGATAGTATAAGCAACTTGGAAACTGTTGACTGATTAGCGTGACGATGCTTAAACGAAGCCTAGAAAGTAAGCATCCTCTGTCTATTAGTGATCGCATATCGCCATCTTTTCCAAGCGAAGAGTCTAGACAATAGAATGCCAAGGAAATACAACAACTGGCTTTACCAAGCCTCTTGCATGCGCTTGTGTAATACTTAAAGGCCGCTATATCGTCTTCTAAACTGTTTAGATACCACAAATAGAACACAATCCCTAGAGAGTAGAGTGCCCAAGCAAACCATCGAAATACAGCGGCAACATCGACAGCGTGCATAACGCATATACTCTTTACTAGGTTCATATTATTCATTTGGACAAGTCTTGCTGAACCTTTACCATGTCAACGTTCAAAAACATCATCCTCATTGGCGCCACGGGCTCCATCGGCAGCGTCGTTCTAGCTGCCCTGGAGAAGGAGCCCAGTTTCACCATCACCTTAATACAACGTGCCTCTTCCAAAGCCACGATGCCTGCGCGTCTCAAGACAATCACCGTTTCTGACTCGTACCCTACGGACGAGCTGATTCCTGCATTTCGGGGCCAGGATGTTGTCATCAACTGTATGACCTCGCTATCGGTAGCCGATCAGTTTCGCATCATTGACGCTGCCATCGCGGCTGGTGTGCGTCGCTATGTACCCAGCGAGTATGGCCTCAACAACATGAGGCGCGATGCCCAGGCGCTGAACCTTGTCTTTCATGACAAAGGCAAGATTCAGGAGTACCTCCGAGCTAAGGCCCAGGCAGGAGTCATTGAGTGGATGAGCATATCGTGTGGCATGTGGCTTCGATGGTCTATGGCAAATGACTTTCTCGGCATGCACATTGGCGAGCGACGGTTTGTCTTCTGGGATGACGGCGAGGGTTATTTCTCTTGCACCACCGAGGAGAATTCAGCCCAGGGCTTAGTTAATGCCCTACTTGCCGCTGGTACTGATCGCGACGACTGGAAGAATACCAATATCTATCTGAGTGACTTCGCCATCACACAAAAGCAATTGCTCGAGGCCATTGAGCGCATCCAGCGTGTTAAGTACACTACAGAAACTATTGACAGCTACAGCTTCATTAAAGAAAAACAGGCTGCCGTAGCTGCCGGCGACGTTACGGGTACCTTTGCCCTCATAGAGACTGGATTTGTTACCGGACGTTACGGTGGCCACCTTGAGAAAGAAGGCGAGATTCAGAATGACAAGCTCGGGCTGCCAAAAAAGACGCTGGACGAAGTAGTCGAGACTGCCTTGAAGGCCTATGGGATATTCAAAGGGGAAAATTGACTGGGTAGCACGCTTGGAAGTCAAGTTTAAGCCTATTGTACATATATAACTCTTGCCGGAAAAGCCACCAAACTTGCATAGGTTCGTTTCATATGACGCTAATTAGTACTTCTTTCTCAGAATATAGATGTAAGCTAATGAAACAAGTATAGTATATAACTATGATATCTTTTTAACCAAGTACTATTGTACGTTTTGTAGACCAGCTACTGGACATGTTCCGTGCCGTTCGCTGAGCACACTCGGGGCGAGTGAGATGCTAGTGGTGGTGCGGATGGATCGGCGTCCTTCGAGATATAGCGGGGTTGTGAGTGGGCCAGGGTGACAGTCGCCCGTAGTCGAAGCAATGACTCGGTAGAAAGCGCGAAGAAAGTGGATGTGGTAGCTCTGAAGAGTCTTAAATGAGAAGCTTGACGGGATGCTACGTCCGCATCGCCATACAAAGTCATTATATGAAGTCGACATACGATAATCTGTTTCAACTATAACTTCTACAGAAAAATGGATCGAACCTATAGGTTACTTGTGGACTACATCCTCGACAAGTGGGAAGAGAGGAAAGCAAAAGCGACAACTGCTAGCGGCAGAGAGCAACCGATTCCTCGCCTTATAATCGCAATAGCAGGTCCTCCTGGCTCTGGGAAGACAACAATAGCCAACCAAGTTGCCAATATCATCAATTCCCTACCATCAAACAGCCCTAAAACAATTGTTATATCCGCCGACGGCTTCCATCTACCACTCGCTACTCTTCAAAAGCTTCCCAATGCATCAGAGGCTCTTGCTCGCCGCGGCGCGCCCTGGACTTTTGACGGACATGCAGCGGTGAGCTTCATTCGAAAGCTCAAGACCAGTTCTCGCCGTCAGCTCGTTCTCGCTCCTACTTTTGATCATGCAATCAAAGACCCAGTAGCCGATGGGCTACTAATAGAGGCTGATGTGGACGTGTGCATACTGGAAGGCAACTATCTTCTCTGCGATGAGCCTCCATGGGATGAAATCGCAAACCTCGTCGATGATAAGTGGTTTGTTCATGTGGAACCAGATCTCGCTTGTGTGCGAGTCGCATCTCGGCATCTAGCTGCCGGCATTGAAACAACGATGGAGGGGGCAGTCTACCGAGCAAAGACGAACGACTTGGTGAACGGCGAGTTTATTTCGTCTAAAAGTAAGGGCAGATACGATGTAATGATAGAAAGTATAGAAATAAAGGCTTGAAGGGTGTTAAGTTTAGCAATTGTATCATTAATGAATGTTTACATGAATGCGACAAGTACTCCATGTTTAACCACTGATCGGGCAGAATATGGCAGCCTGCTTCAAGCGGCATGCACGACGCATGAAAAAAAAAAAAACAGACAAATTATCTCATCAAATTCTTGTATGGAAGCAAAATTGTAGCGTTTGTTTAGGGGTATTTTTTTGCTTCTAGATCCCATTCAGAAAATCCATCCAAGAATCATCCTGCTCTTGGCTACCATCAAGCAGTGCATTTGGCCACATCATTGAAAATACAGCATCCATTTGGTCATTTGAAGTATCTGCGGCACCCATCGATCTATCACCGTCAAAGTCGGATACTTGGTGATACGTGCCGCCATATACACCGCTAGCATCTTCTCCGCAATTCGGATCCTGCACATTGATATCTTCCAAAAGAGGTATCGCTGAGGCCAGATGAGTGCCGCAGAGGCTGACAATTACTTGGTAGCATCTTCGTGCGCTTGGATTCACCGCCACCAATGATGCAAGAACTTTGAGAGAAACGTCAATTTGATCCCGCCAGTCAGGCGCCTGTGAAGAATTGATGTTGTGTCGAAGACATATGCATGGGATTAAAGCAGCTTGAAAGAGGAAGTACCTTCGTTATGATTAGTTTCAGAATCAGCATCATCATCAGCCCAAGAGTCAAATACTCACAATGCATACCACGCAAATAGGCGGATATGGTCGCACGAGGCCCAAAAATCGTTTATAGATATTATGGTTTGCTTAGCATCATCCAAGCATCGATCGTAAGCCTGGAGCGACTCGGGGCTTAAGTTGTCTTTACGGCCGTTTCGCGCAAGCAGAGCGCGTCTGATGACAAAAGGTCGATACATGATCATGCGAAAGTTTCGCCATCTCCACTGTATAACAAAATGAGCAAAGGCATATTTTTCAGGTACGGACGCCGCCTCTGAAAAATATTCTGGCGTGTTTTTTGCCCATGGCTCAAGACAACGAGCCTCCAACTGAAGCAGTTCTTTTGCACTGGGTAAAGGCTTGGAAATTATCCGAATGTAGATTGGATTTGTAGCAATGGCAAATTTTGCTTGTGTTCGAACTGCTGTATAACCAGTGATTTCGTGCGGATCGGAAGGAAATGATTTGGACATGGCGGTTAAATCCTATAGAAGTCAGTTTGTTGCTTAGACGACGATTGAGAGCGAATTAACCTTGTCGTGAATATTCATTGGTAATGATATATCGACACCGTCAAGCGGGCACACTTGGGGCCGCCCAAAGGTGACGTTTGCACCAATGTCAAATATGCTCAGTGTCCACCACACCCTGCGTCGGATTTCCATGCTTAAAGGCGATATCTTCCACCCTTGGAAGTCTTTATGCAACCCCAGCGCCATGGCCATCCTAGTCGCTAATCCCGAGTAACTGTACGCTGAATTGGGCTTGTCTCTCTTTTGTTGATAATTAGAGATTAAAGTCAGAGCTTGGACCAATGCCAAGCTGCCGACTTCCAGTAAGTCAAAAGACAGCAAACCCTTGATATGATTGAAGATATCAACATCCAGACTGTTCACTGTAGTAGCCGTGGTATACACTCCAAGAGCTGCCATGGTATAAGCCAGAATAAACCAGGATCCTCCGCTAGGTCTCGGAATAACTTCAGAGTACTGAGCTCGGAAGGTCGGTTCATGGACGATAGGATAGCTGACATGATATATCCTGAAATAGGCGTCAATCATGCTGTCGGCGATGTGTTTGTTCATGTTAGGTAGCGTTATCAGTGAAAAGTGGCTGTCCGCTCCAGCTTGCGCATGGCCATATGTATTCTTAGCTTGGGCGGGCTCTAAAAGGCGTAAGAAAGCGGCGCCCGACGCGATTCCAAGATAACCACTTTGTTGTTCAGAAACGGTCAAAGAGGCCATGCCGTCCAAAATCTGTCGTGTTTCGTTGAAATCGCTCGTTGGTAGCTCTCCTGGTGATGGTGGATGAGCAGCCCTATGCTCATCCCATCCAAATTCACCTGTTGATGGCGGACTCTCAAAGTCATCTTCGTGAGACTTTTCTGAGTTTTCTGCGAGCTCTGGTGTTCCTGTTTGTTCGCGCGATACTAGCACATCGTTTTGGCCTAGCTTTCCAATACTTGTGAGATATGAAGCATCAGGGGCCAAATCTTCAACGACGGGGTGAGTTGCTTCAGGTTGAATGCGTGGCTTATCTTCGTGTATTTGGTCTCCATGACTGCCAGAAGCGACAGCAACAATTCCATCCACGTCTACACCTAAAGGATAGCATACTTAGTTAACCGACATAATCAATCCACGAAGCTGATGAAGTAAGGCAGTCGCACTATTAGGACTCTTTTTTGGAAGAGCCTGGTGAGGGAGAGCAGCTCTTCTCAGTTGCCGGATTAGAGCTTCTGCTTGTTCTAGTCTTTCTTCGACTTCAGTGAGATGTCTATATCAGCGGGGTTTAGCACTACTCAGAGTTTGTAATGAGTTAAGTCAACTCACTTCCTTGTAAGTGGTGTGCGCGAGTATTTTTCGTAAAGGCAATGCCTTCTATATCTCAGGCACATGTTACATGTGGGGATCCCTTTGTCACATTTTGACTTCCTCCGTCGACATTCCTTGCACGCCTGATCAGAGTATCCAAGAGGGCTAGGATGCCCCAGCGGAGTCAAGCTAGGGGTATCCATTCATAAAGATTTACTTTTATGTTGCGGCCAGATGATAGCCGATGAAACGTCACGCCATTACGCGGTAACAACTTTATGGGCAGATAGATACTCTAGATGCACAGATGCTCGGCTCAGTTGCTCGAATAAGCAGCAAGACACTTATGGGGTAAAGTCTCCACAATATTTGACGCTCTATGGGAACAACGATGTCCCGGGGCTTCAACCCAGCTGATTGCCACTAACGGCTGCCATTGAAATTTGCCACGCGACTTGTCTCTGAAAGGTGATTTAAGCCGGTGAGCAGCTAACGGTGAGCGTGTTTTGTGCTCAGCGATACGCATGCTCAGATATTCGTCCCTCGATATCTCCAAGGCGATACGCCATGTTCTTTTATTTCTCTACTTTCTCTCAGAAAACTGACGATAGCGTACCTATGGTTGTAGCATCTTTCACTTGGGTTAGTTGAAGCGCGCGATTGTATACTAATCACATGTAGCTTGCGAGCGCTTCAATTAATACTTCAATAGAAATGTTAATTTGTATTTGCTTATCTAAACTGAGAGATTGTCGCTCCGGGAGAATAATATGTTTGATGCCTTTCATGTCTCTCAATTTAGCGACATGACATTGTCGCAGCCAGTTGATGAAGTGCTACGAGTCAATAGTCGCAAAACATTGTCAAGAACTATTAACACTCAGTAGACTTCCAACTTACCAAATATGCTTTTGTAAGATTCGCGAGTGGTTATCCTCTTCCACCATGCGCTCAGGTGTGGCCGAGAATGCATCAGTGTTGGGTATACACTCTGGTCCAAATGATGCATGTAAGGGACAAAGAAAAGATCCGCCACGGTCAATTTCTACTGGAGTTAGCTTTTTTTGGTCTCTTATATCCGTCTTCAGCTCTGACACTCACATCGCCTGCCATGAATTTTTGACTCTCAAGTCTCTTATCTAGCAAGTCAACGACTTGCTCAAGCCTTTCTCTAAGAATCTTGCACTTCTCAGCATCCGTTTCGCCGTGGAACCAATTACTGTTTACATCGTTAGCTGCTGATCATAACGAGTTGTTACATATCAAAGGACGAACGGTTTGAATAGTTCTTCAAAGACGAGCTGATTGGCAGCAGCGTCAAAAGAAGTAAGCTCGATTGATGCTGCTTCTTCAAACTTGGCTATCGCGACAACGTCGTTTGGATCCGGAAGCAGTGAAGCTGATACATCGTTACTACCATATGCATGTGCCAAATATCTTGCAATGGCGCGTGACTCGGCCAACATCAATGGCGGATTATGAGCCTCATCTCGAATGAACGGTACAGCGCCGAAAGGGTTGAGTTCCAAGATATCTGGTTGCTAAGAGAGAATTAGTAAGAGAATTAGTAAAAGAGGAATCGGGGAGACTTCTGTGTGCTCCTAGTTACCTTGTGTTCAAATTTAGAAATGTCAACCTCTCTAATATCATTGATCTGGAGCCCAATTTCATGGATAGTGAGTAGCAGTCTCTGAGGGCAGGGCAGCCGAGAGTCAGTGAAAAGAGTTATCTGAGACATTTTGGTCGATACTGTTTTCAAGTCCATAGATGCCAATGTTACTTGTATAGAAGAACAGAGTTCGTAGGGTCGAAGACGCCAGTTTTTAAGCTCCAAATAGACAATATGCGTAATTGGCAGGCGCCTAAAGCGGAGGGCGTGGATTGTCAAACAGCTAGTCTGAATACCATGTTTGCGCAGGCAGATCGTGTTGACGTAAAGTCGCTATCCCCGAATAGCCTCGCCGAGAAAGTTGCCCCCACCAAGGGTAGACAATTTGGAAGTGGTATGCACACAAGAGATGACCCGTTCCACAATTTTTCCACGGTAAGAGGCAAATCGTTGCGTTTGAAGAGAAAAACTGCAATGGAATTATATACGGCCTTGGGGGTATATGGGCTGGTGATATTAATAGGCGCTGTAAGTGTGTATTAGGAAAGTTGAACAGGCTTTGACTTTTAACACATATTCAGCTCCATGGGAACCATATATACTTCTAAATCTAAACCGGTATCACCTAACTTAGATTTCCTCTTCTATAACAATGACTTCAAACAGCAGATCAATGCTAATTTGGTCGATTGAATAGATTGGTGCTGGGGTACAAGTCCCCCCGAATGCTGCCCGCGAGCTCATACGATGGGGATGTGAATCTGCAATGGACGCAGTGGGCTCACAGCCGCTGCGAATAAACTATCGCAACTGGCAGATAAGTGAAAATGAAGGTACCACTGATTTAAAACGCCACAATAAAGATTACGGTGCGCCGTATTGGCAGATATATCGCCCAGGTTACCATCAAAGACTCCTCGATACTGCTATCAAAGCTGGCGCGACGGTGCGTAAAGGCCAAATCGTTGTTGGCTATGATACCCAGGATACTTCAGTAAAGCTTCAATCCGGTAAAATTGTTGAAGTACATCTTATTGTGGCAGCTGATGGCATTAAAAGTATTGCTAGAGACGCACTGGGGATGGGTAATAGCCCACGCGAGACGGGCGATACATGCTTCAGAGCCGTAATACCCCGAGATAACCTTTACAAAGGCCCTGAATTGGCATCTTTAAATGAAAATCCTTGTTTTGAATAGTTCCTTGGGCCCGATCACCACATTATAGGATACAACATTCGCAAAGAGGATTTTTATAACCTTTTGATGGTCATCCCTGATGATCATAAAATGACGGGATTTAAAGCGCTAACTACAGCGAATGAAGTTCGCCACGCTTTCAAGGATTGGACTCCAATGTGTGTATTATTGTTTTCCTTCTTCTTATAAATCATCATGGTTAAATAAAAAGAAAAAAGAAAAATAGGCTTTCATTTCTAACGTAACATCTCATAGGGTCCAGAAACTTCTCGCGATGCTTCCAGGTGATCTTGATAGGTGGAGACTCATAGATCTCCCAGCTACTACCGATTGGGTCCATAGCAGTGGTGAGATGGTGATGATTGGAGACGTTGCGCATGCTACTTGTTAGGATTTACCCTCTCTCAATTAACGTCGTCGGCTGAACTTTCGGACCTCTTGACCTTTTTTACAAAGCCCGAGTTGAGCGTGTGCATGCAATTCAACGTGGTAGCTTTACCAACCGATTTTTCATCCATATGAAGAATGAGGACCAATTGAAGGCGAGACGATTAGTATTTACAGCTGGTGACTATCCCAGTAGCAATAATTTACTCGGCAACACGCTCTTTCAAGATTGGCTGTATGGTTATGACGCGCTTCTCGACACGCGCAAGAAATGGGACCAGAGAAAGTCTAGGATGATTGATGAATTATAATTGCGATATTGGAGCAAAAATTTGTATTTAATCGGCAGTTGTTCCAAGATATGTACTCTCTATTTAGAACAACCCCCATCATTGCACGACAAATTGCTGGTTGTGGGACTTGAAGAGCTTCGAGCTATCCAAAAGAGTTCCCGTTGACGATTGGTAAAAGTCAACTTGCAAATTCTTCTCATCCAAAAATCGGATTGTCGCATAGCTAAAGTCATCTGCGTAAGCAAATGCTGTATAAGATGGCTCTGATCCAACGCTGCTGAGGCCCTCAATGTTGCCTGCCCCGCCGGCGACAATATACATTGGCGCTTTCGGATCAGTCATGCCTGCGGGGTCGGCAGTTCCGTTGAAGACTGGGTTAAATCGCTGAGAATTATGGACATGTCCAAAGACTCCTAAATCGACGCCGTACTTGTAGAAGAGGCCTTCGAAAGCGACCTGGCATGGTGCACAGCCCGAGCCTCCTGTAGAATACCAGGGGCGATGTCCTCCAACGATTAGCCACGGCGTGACAGAACGATCAACAGATGACAAGTCCGCCTCGAGAAATTGGAGCTGCTGGTTGAGAGCTCCAAAAGGTCCGCCATTGAGGCCCTCAGAGCCATCGGGTCCGTCAGGAGCATTGGCAAAGTCAGTCTCAGTGTCAATCATGACAATATGGGCCATTCCATATTCAAAAGAGAACCAGAATGGAGGATTAGCGAGCTGCTGCGCCTTGTTCGCGTTGACCTTTGCACTGTTGTTTGCCGAAGTAGAGATAAACGCCGTCGGCATGGTCTGACCGAATCGATTGATGAAGTCAGTGAAGTTCTTCTGTCCAGCAGGGCACAGTCCTGTTGTGTGGGGGATCTCCTGGCATGCCGCTTCATGATTGCCAGGACTGGCCATATACGGTTTGCGGCCAGCAATAGGAGCCAGTTGGTGATAGAACTGCTCTAGGATGGCTTGGTACGCGTTTGTCCCGTCAAGGATGTTCTTTGGCGTCTCAATCCAGTCGTCCGCATATGCCAAGTCGCCTGGGTGTATGACAAATTCATAATCATTAATGGTAGTAGCGAGACGCGCGATAGTGGTATGGTTCAATGACGGGTCAATGGTTGGAATTGTGTCACGCTTAGTCTGGTCATTCTGGATGGTGTAGCCGTCGGGGCCTACAACTCCCAAATCGATGATGGCGTTGATGGCAAATGGGGTTTTGTCTCCGGCAATGCGAGGACTCAAGAAATGGTCCACGCTTGAGTTGGTTGAGACAATCTTGTAGTAGTAAGTAGTGGCCGGCGACAAGTTATTGAGAGTCACTGAGTTTGACCATGTGCGCGAGGTAGGATATGTAACAGAGTTCTTAGAGCACGCCTGTTGTGTCAGAGAGGTAGCAGAGCTGCCATAAGCAACACAAGGCTGGCTGAGTTGCTGGTAAGTGTTCCATCCAATTGAAACGCCTGTTATCCAATATCAGTATTGTTTTTTCTTCCATGACTGTGGTCATATGACCATACTGTTGGGGCCGTTCACTGCAATGCGTTGCTGAACTGGAGTTGTCAAATCGACAGGGATAGGCGGGTAGCTAGCAGCAGCAAAAGCACCCGCCGCCAGCACTGGAAGAGCTTTGACAGAAATAAAAGCCGACACCATCTTGATCAACGCAAGATCTCGAGCTGAGAACACTAAATCTTCAATGAAGCTGTTCGTGCAAAAGCAAACGAGGGCTTGGCAGCTTGACTCGCGTATATATATAAATAGGTATATGCTATATTTACCCGTGCGTTTCCATGTGACAGCTTCTACTCCGTTTGCCTGCATACAATACACAATGCATCCAACATTATTAATTCCTCGGCTCTCATAGGAGGCTATACAAACGTGCTACAATTGGACATTTGAGCTGCTATATCTGGGAATATGTCCGTCGATCTCTCCACCGCATCTGCCTTTTGTTGAGGTTCGTTTGTACGCTATACAACTAGACCTTGCTACTCGTGCGGAGACCGTGTAATATCATTGGTGAAGAAGTTCAATTGGAACTGGACAGTTGCTTAACTTACAGCTCTGCGTTAGCTATGTGGTCGGTGATTGATTAGGCTAGACTTCGCTTAGTAAATAGCGCAATGCATCTGTCAGGATATCTCGTGCCGAGGCTCGGAATGGTATATACAAGCCTCAACTTCCAACATCGCTTACGGAACAAGTAACGGCAATAGCCGCTATTTTCACTATATCGTGTTTATGCATTGGATTCCTTATTCATAATTAACCCTGCATTGCGATAGAAAATTTCTTCAACGTTGTGCATCATTAACAAGTGTTGCAACTAGCAGTCACCTCCAAGTCCTTTGAATGGATCAAGCGGCAGTAACTTTTCAATTATAACTGCCGCATATACATGTGCGCGTCAATTGCCCTGAGATATGTAGTTCTTCTAGGCAACGCCAATCAGATAGCATCGAGAAGATCACAATTATTCCATCATAGTATAGATAGGTCTGAACTTGTAAGCATCAATATGACTGCTGCTTGACAAGCTGTCGCAGAATTGAGCACATTTGTTTTGTAGAAAGACTCATGGTACGCCCACTATGAGATACAAGGGCTATAACTATCCGCGAAAAGGAGTGGTACTCTCTCTAATTACTCATATATTGACAAAGGATCCAGTCTTTGACATCCCTCCATTGTGCGTAGATAATCCCTTTTCTGCCCTTGACAAGCTCAAGAAGCTGCTAGTCAATGACTATGTCTTCTGGTGCCTATCTGTCTCACCTGTTTGTCGAGCGCAGCCATTTTCTGTCTCAGACCAACCAGCCACCTTAGACGCCTTCGGGCTACATCGTGTTTTCTTTTCACGTAACTACGAAATAGTAAACGGAGTTGGTCGAAACAATCAGCTAAGAGAATTCCTGATATCATTCTAAGTAGAAACTAGACACGCGACACATAGACACTGGAATTTTGAAAATGAAATCCCCACGGAGTGCATGAAGATTCAGGATGATCTACTAGAGGAAAATATGCACGCGACACATTGCTCCCTTGCACCAACAGATGCAGCTGCCAAGGGTTGTCCGAGAACATATTCCCTTATCAGAACCAGATGCAATTTTCCCTTGGCTAGATATATATTCCAACGACTTGCTGGGCATATTGCCTCCACATCTCATACTTTTGATGTCTTCCCAGGGTTCTTCAAATCGCAACCCGCAAGGCCCTCCATGCTCCAACTTTAGCCTTGCCTGCTAAGATCCTGACCATGAGTGGCGCCCAATTCCTCTCCCGGCGTATTTTGAGAGCGACAGCTCTTCGCCTACTAAATCGCCGATTCGCTTTTGCAATCGCAGCGACAGCTACACTCAGCGCCAAATCAGTCCACATATACGCTCATCTTGACGCGTTGCAGAAAGGAGAGATCCTATTCTGGGGACTCTCCTTCTTTTCGCAAGACACAGCATGTCTATTAGCTATTCGCATGCTAGTCGACCAGTCACTGGGCACCGCGCTGTCAATATTGGTCACAGCTGTGGTGGTGTTTCTGGTCGCAACAGCCGCAATATCAGAATCTTTTTTCTTCACCACGGGGACAGAGCTTCAGTGGCGTAATGTTGCTCTGGCCAGCGATTCGTCTTCAAGGCCGATACTATCAGCAGGGTGGATATATTGCTTATTATCAACCTTTGCAATGTTTATGATTGCAGGGATATTGCAAAATCTCTTTGATCAAGTATCCAGATGTGCACTGGACATTTTACAGTGGCCAGTCTCGCTTCTATCAAATAGGCTACCAGTCTTGAATCACTGCAGCCACTCGAGAGAGACGTATAAGCATCTACCTCAACACGATGTGGAATGTATCGAAGATGTTTACAAGGAAGTCGAACTGGGGGATCAAAGACTGGAAAACGATAATATGCCGCCAACCAAATGCACCTCTTATTTACGACTATTTGTCGGCCTTGTGTTGGCAGCCCAAGCCATCTGTACGATTACACGGCCAACAGATCACTCGCTTATCTTCATGTCTTGGACATTACCGCTAATGCCTTTTGTGGATTTCATGTTCTCGACACCTTCTCTGGCCGGCTTCCTTGCCATGTCAGGCAATGTCATTGATGCGCTGCATAATACCACGGCTTTAGGCGAACCAATCCCCTGGGCTTGGTTGCCAAATAATGCGTCGCTTCAAGGATTTCAGGATTGGTACGAACCGGACAAAGAACACTACAGCGCTTTGCATGATCCACTGAAGCTTTCAAATCTTGATGAAGATTTGCTTCTGCCTCTGCGAGCCAATCTAGATGACGTTCCCATCCGTCACATTGTACTAGTAAAACTTGAGAGCACACGCAAAGATGTCTTTCCAATCAAGAAGAACAGCTACATATGGAATCGTCTCGCTCACTCATCATTTCAGAATTCCTCGATGCCGGCAGAAGCGCAAGAAAGGTTGTCGTCCCTGACTTCAACTGCAAAATACCTCACCGGAGACTTTGGCGACGGCTTTGGCGGAAAAGCTGGCGTCCCGCGCGGTGGTATCAATGCAAACAACGCCTTTACTACTAGTACTTGCACGTTGAAGAGCTTAGTCGGGACGCATTGCGGCATAAGTCCACTGGCTGCTGATTTTAACGTTGAGACAGACCATCATATCTACCAGCCATGCCTGCCTCATATTTTTGAAGCACTGAACCAGCTAAACCACAGGCACGACGAGGTATCGGACGAACATTTTACTTCATATAAGTGGAAAACTGCTTTCATGCAGTCAGTGACGTTAGGATATGACAAACAAGATCGCCTCATGCGAAAGATAGGATTCACTGATCCGCTAGGTTCGTTCGAATTGAGGGATGAGGCGGCCAAGCTCGGACCAGTCGATCTTCCCGATATCAACTACTACGGCATGCCAGAGCGTGCCGTAGAAGACTACTTTCGGGATGCTTTTGCTTCAGCTAAGAAGAATAATGAAAGAGTCTTCTTGTCTCACTTGACGAGCTCGACGCATCACGACTTTGGCTTGCCGAAAGACGAGAAATATGTGCCGCTGGCTGGCGACCCGGACCTTGATGATCTTTCACATTATTTGAATACAGTGGGCTACGTTGACCGCTGGCTGAAAATAATTCTCCAAATCTTGGATGAAGAAGGCGTTGCAGATGAGACCTTACTCGTCGTTGTTGGAGATCATGGCCTCTCAATCGCAGAGCGAGGAACCATCACTCCGTATAGCAACCCGCACATTGCAAACTATCATGTGCCGCTGGTTCTATCGCATCCCAAGCTGCCAAGCATCAACATTGATGATCCGGTCTCTTCCATCCAGATTCTCCCAACTATTCTAGATCTTCTCCTTGAGACTAAGTCTCTCTCAAAATCCGAGGCAGAGGCGGTGCGCGACATGATCCAAAACTACGAAGGCCAATCCCTCATAAGGCCAATGCAGAATTTCTCTGAAACAAACGGACAAGGAGGCTGGCAGTTCGCAGTTATGAATCCCGGCGGATCAACCATCGCTGTTCGAGATGCTCGCCAGCCCAACTGGCGACTGATTGTGCCCGTCATTGGTTACTACGAATGGAGATTTACAGATCTAGAAACAGATCCTCACGAAGATAGTCCATTATTATCATATGACTACAAAGCCATCTTGCGTATCGTGGAGGAAGCATTTGGGCCTGAGGCCGCGGCGTGGGTGGAAGAGGCTGCTACGGTTACTCGGTGGTGGACCGACGAGAATTATAAGCGCTGGCGCTACAATGCATGAAGGAAGCGTATATTAATTTTGGGTAATATTACATACATAATAAAGCAGTTGAGACTTAGATAATAAAGCTATAATGTCACATGTTTTCGAAACGTACCATTTCCAGATCCTACATCTGTCTAAGGTATACCTACATGAGCTTGTATGCCAATGATTCTATTGCAGCTGACAACTCGTCATATAGTAGACTAGAGACCTGAGAAATCCACGGCGTAAGAGAACGGCATTAGTCTCTGGAAGAAGAACAACCATTCTAATAGAGTTTATCGCTTACCTTGCGGCTAAGCCTTTTCTCTCCAAGTGATGCCTACGAACGCGCTTATTCATTCTCCTAGACAGCCCAAAGGATTCAGGCCCCGAGTTCTTTGATGTCACAATGATGCCACTTGCGACATCTTCCATCTGAGATCTCATCGTACCATCTGCCAATGATTTGCTGTGGCACCACGCCACCACGCTCAATCAAACCATAATCGTTCAATTAAGTGATCTCTCTCGTATAAATACGCCTTGATCACCAGGAAATAGCTTAGAGCGACCTTTTGATTTCTCATCCAAATTGATCGCCTAACTTTCTCAGAATTAATAGACTCAAGCTCTAGTGCGTTGCTAAGCTTGCACCTTGAATTGGGCACATGCATCTATATCCATAGTTGTACTAAGTGTTTCAATCAGCACATCGTACTCTTACCTATAAAATTTTGTTTCCTTGATTTCCAAAATGGGCGATGAGCCTAGCCAAGAATTTCATGTCTGCGCTTCCCTTCGTCGGAAATCGCAGGCCGAAAAAGTCGTCGAAAAAGAAGGCTGTTTTGGCCTTAGTCTGACGGTTAGTCTATCGCAATGCTCATATTTTGTCTTATGATGGCTCTATATAACCCATAATTGTTCGTCGGAGGAAGGAAAAAAAGAAGAAGAAACAAGGCTATGATCGTTTTTGAAGTCTCTGTAGCTAATGGCGTGCTTAGCCTATATTCATCGGCATCTCGGCCGTATCTTCTGGATACAAGACATACCTTGTTGCTTTTGCCGTTCGCGATTCTACATATTTAATTGATTTCGCCATTAAAACTGTTTCTGCAGCTGAACAAGGCTCAACCAACGACCATGACTTCCTGGCAGACTACATCATCAAAGCCATCAGAGGATATGAACATCGAACTTTTACCAAAGTCATCGGTGCTGGGCTCCCCCATGCGCTACAGTCGCTAAGCCCGACGCTGTGTTCCCGCCTGTGGCTCGAACTGGACATTGTGCCTCTTGTGATTCAGCAGCAACATGAGCACAAAGAGAGGATAAGTCTATGGCTCAGCAAACGAGTGGACGAACAAGCTGATTCAATGGCGCGAAAATGCATCATGTAAGTGATGTTTCAATGCAAGGCAGAATCTGTCATAGGGTTGTGTATACGATTGACAAATATGTACTAGGAACTTTGGTCCTTCCTTGACTCCTCTCTTACAAGTCGCATGGAGTGGTGTCGTCGAAGTCGATGCTGGATTTCACGCGCCGCTCTTAACCGTCGAAAACTACAAAACCACCTGCGGCCCTGCGTCTTGGGAGACGGTGATGCACTATGCAAAGATTCTGCGAAAGCACAAGACCAAAATAGCATTCTTCAGCAGCACGCCTCAGGGCGGCGGCGTTGCCCTGATGAGACATGCACTTGTGCGATTCTCGCGCACATTGGGAGTAGATCTGCGCTGGTACGGTATGTTTTCAGCTTCATCCCTAGCATCTCCTCCCCCGCATCTCGCTGCATATAGTCCAGATATAAGCTGACAAGTGCAGTGCCAAAACCTCATCCGGGTGTTTTCCGCATCACCAAAAACATCCACAATACGCTCCAAGGTGTGAATCCTGAGGGTGAGCACATCTCTGCAGAAGCAAAGAAGTCAATCGTGGACTGGATTAGCGACAACGCCGATCGTTACTGGTTCTCTGATGGCGGCCCATTGTGTCGACCAGAGAAAGGCGGTGCCGATGTTGTTATTGTGAGTCTCGCCATGCACAAAAAGGCTATTACCCTATATCGCTAGATTTCACCCACGATATTGTTCTACTACATAACCACTCCATTGTTCTATCATCGTGTCTTTTAGTAACTGAATAAATAGATTGATGACCCTCAAATGCCATGCCTCATCCCGCTAATTAAAAAACTCACGCCGTCGCGGCCGGTATTCTACAGATCGCATATCCAAATTCGAACGGACCTAATTGATGTAGCGGGCTCTCCTCAGGCAGACATTTGGGATTTCCTCTGGCAAAATATTAAACAAGCCGACTTATTTATTAGTCACCCGATCCCTTCATTTGTGCCTCATAATGTGCCTCGAGAGAAGGTCCTCTATTTGCCTGCAACAACTGATTGGTACGTAGGGTTTCTGTGACTCGCAGAGATAATGAACTTACTGAAAAATATATAGGCTTGATGGCCTGAATAAGCCAATGGAGATCTGGGATGTTGGTTATTATGGTCATTTGTACAACATCAGCTGTCGCTCGCAGCGTATGACAGAGCTGCAGTGGCCAACGAGTAAGTGGATAGTGGAAGAAGCAATCGATTGCTCTCTACTCTATACTGATTCACAACAGGAAAATATTTTATCCAAGTGTCTCGATTCGATCCCGCCAAGGGTATGCCGACCGTGGTGGATGCGTACGCGTGTTTTCGGGAGCAGCTTGAAAAATACAAAGCTACCGATATTCCCCAGCTTGTCATGTAGGTTTCTCTCAATTTCTTGGGTAAATTCGTCTATAATTCTTTTGCTAACAAGGCAAGCTGCGGGAATGCCTCTGTCGATGATCCTGATGGCACCATTATTTACGAACAAGTCATGACACAGCTGGAAACGCAATATCCTCACCTGATGAGCGACGTCAGCGTAATGCGCTTGGATCCTTGCGACCAGCTCCTAAATTGTCTTATGGCCAACGCCCATGTCGTTTTGCAGCTCTCAACCTACGAGGGCTTCGAAATAAAGGTTTCTGAGGCACTGCACGCTGGTCGTCCCGTCATCGCTACAAACGCCGGTGGCATACCTCTTCAGGTGAAAGACAAGGTCAATGGCTATCTTGTTCAGCCGGGAGACTGGAAAACCGTTGCCAACCATTTGGTGGAATTATTCACTGATCTTAAGCTGCACGATCGAATGTCACATGCCGCGAGGACCGGCGTCAGTGACGAGGTAGGGACGGTAGGAAACGCCATTTCGTGGTATTATCTGGCAACGAAGTGGTCGCAAAGAGGCCCAAAGCTGGAATTGCTGGGGAATGCGCAGTGGGTTAATGATATGGCCCGAAATGAAGCTGGCCGGCCATATGCAGAGGGTGAAAATCGCTTGCCGCGTAACTTTGCCGCTGCTGGAAAATAGCCTAAATCATGCAATTGCAGTTAAAGATCGGAATGATGAATCTAAAAAACGCCGATCAGAAGTGACAAGTCTTGTACGAAATATCGTGGGCAGCTCACAAGATCCCTCAGTCTTCGGTATCCTGCCAGATCAACATCATCTAATACCAGAGGAAACGATATCTCAGCCATGGAAAAAATCCCGCTACTCATGGGTTGCGCTCTTCAATTGCCTTGTTACAAGTTCTCGTCAACCTGTGCTTTAAAAAAAATCTTTTCCTCTTGGATATTCTCATCTTAAGGTCATGTACATCCTGACTGGCATTTCTCTTCAAACGTTATTGTTGATGGCCATAGCCATGCTCAATAGCGTCAAGTAATTGTAGACAGCCGTGTTTAATAGCAAAGCCGCGGTTGGATCTCAATTTTCTTGACTCTATTCAGCCAAGGAGAGTAATACAGCATATATCAATAATTAAAAAGTATCCCCCCCCCTCCCAATCTGCAGTAGGGAAACGCTGCTCTGTTATCAGCAAAGACGAGGAACAAAACACAAAGCTTGAGATCTGCTGCCAATCTAATATAGGTGGAATATCGTTTGCCTCCCCGCATCCGATGATCCACCTACAACAGCCTACCAAAGACTGTTACATCTTCCGTAGTATAGTGGTCAGTATGCAAGCTTGTCACGCTTGAGACCCGGGTTCAATTCCCGGCGGGAGAGATCCGCCAGGCCTCCAAGAGGCTCTTCTTTTTTGGGCAATTCTCTGGATAACCTTTTTGCCTCAAGCTGCTGCTCCGCGCCGCTTGCTGCTTCTGCTGCCAGGGAAGAATGCGCTTATACGTGAAATTACAAGCATCAACCATGCAGGTCATCTCTGCGGCAGTTGATGTTAAACTGTGGGCCGCTGCAACAATGGCGAATCTGAATGTGGAGGCGCCGCGACGGCTTAAGTGTCTGATGTATAACGACAGCGTTTAAGAGCTGCGGGGGCGGCCATTGTGCCATTGACGGCCCGTAGTAGTAGCTGAATTATGATAATCATGGCCGGCTTGATTGGCTCGTTTCTACTCCATCATTCTGTGCCCAGCAGCGACTGGAGAAGCTACGCAGGATTGCGAGTCCTGGGCAAGTGATGGCGACATGAGAGCAGCTGATTCCCGGCTTAGGTAACAGGTCTAGCATCCTATCAGATGGGCCGAACTCACCCAACGTTCATGACGACATGCCGAGTATAAGAGCTTCTTGGATGATTTAGCCGATGGCGGAGTAGTGATTTGTCAAACGAATCGAGCTGCCGATTGAAGCAAGCAAACAAATAAATTCGCTGCCACCGGCGGTTACACTCACGCGCACATACAATTAGACAAACCATCATATCCAGCGTAAACCCTACACCAAGGCATCCCTGCTATCGGGCTGATTCTCTGTTATCGCAAAAGCGAACCAACTTCAAAATGGCCGCCGCCGCTGTTCAAATCCCCAGACAGCCGGACATTGCATATGCCCCGGATTACGACAACTATCTCAGCCGCGTTAAACGCCGTCAGGAGAATGAGAAGCTGGAGAATACCCTGCCAGCAGGCTTTCCTACCAAGCTTGAATCCGATCTCGTCTGGGATGGAAGGACTTTGGCCGAGACAT